GGTCGGCATGCCAATAGCAGTTTTGATAGTAGCCTCTAGTTTGGGTGCCAACTCGGCCATAACATCCGCGTCCACAAAACGAAGTGAGTTGTCAATTGCCTCAGAAATTGGAGATCGGTTCACCATTTGTGATCGAATCTTATCAATCTGGTCTCGGCTATCCTCGCCAGCTCTCTGGTAATGCCAGTTGATCTGCTCGGGCTCGATAGAGCTCAGCAAACCAAGGAGCTGAGGCACCATCTCCGGAATAAATGGTCGGAGAGCCTTTCCACCCTTCTTAGTGAGCTCGATGACGGTAATAGCAGCAAAGGCTTGAACTTCTTTGACAGAACTTTCGATACCCTTGTCAGACAGAAGGAAGGGAAGAGCTTCTTTCATCATAGATTGAGCAGCAGATCCACTGGTTCCCTCCTCGAGTTGTCGAACAAGAGTGTTGGACAAAGTTCTGCAAAGCTTGAAGGCAGCCTCTCGCACAGAACCTTTGACATCATCAAGAACCTTCAATGCTGATGTCCAAATATCGCGATATCGCTTCTCATACTTGTTGAATGGTTGGCCCTGGATGAGCTCCGAGATAGCAGCACAGCTTGCTTCTCGCATGCGCCACTCTCGCCCCAAGATACTTTTGAGCAAGTCATCCAAGATCGCATCAAAGTGAGTACTGAGAATTGCGCCCGAGTCTTTGACAAGTGCCTTCCAAATATCGTCCATGGATCGCTGCACGTTTTGATTGGGGTCAAATCGGTAACGGTAGAGCTTGGGATACAGCTTAGGGTCAACTTCAGACTCTGAAAGAATGTTGCTAAGTCCAAATCGACCGAAGGCAGATCGAGTCGACCAAGTGGCAGCATTCGCAGCAAGTGACATGAACTTGTAAACAAGCCTTTGATCACCAACTTCATTGGCCAGATTCACAATGTCCTTGTATGAAGTTATAGAGCTGCCCTCTCCAGTTGGCAGAGCACCAGGCTCGAACAACTCTGTTTCTTGGTCCACCTTGAGCTGGGTGCTATTGCCGGTGAAAGCAGACACCAGGTCCTTGACAAGGGCACTCTTGAGATCAGAATCGCCACGCTCGTAGACCAGAGACAACCCGCGCGAGGCGGTCTCTTGTACAAGCTCGTCGCGTGCGCTAAGAAGTCTCATGAATGCAGCTTGAGTCTCTCGGAGCCTTGACTGAACCTCTTCCAGGTGTGAACAATATTGAACGATGCAGAAAAGCCAGATGCCGGAAGCCTTCAGCAGTGATGGCTTCGTGGCCTTGCAGTCTGCGAATATCTTGTTCAAAACAGCTGTGAGAAGCGGGCCACGGGATCCATTACGCTTCTGAAGACAACCGCGGGACTCGACATCCAGGGTCAGCTTTACATAATCGGATTCCCATCGCGCCAGAGTTGCGGTGATAGCATCTCCCACAGTGAATTGCACCTCGACTTGCTTGATCTCATGTAGGGCGAAAAGCTCCTTGAGGATGTTACCCAGGATTCCATGCGACCATCCATCTTCACTCTCATTCGCGGCTTCTCCACTTTCACTCAGCCCGGCAGCCAGTCTTCCCAGAGCAAGAATTGCCTTCTCGTTGCCCTTCTTTGCTGAGGCGACGAGCTTGCTGATAACCTTTTCCAGGGAGTGATCGCCTTCACGTTCTGGGATAGCGAGTCCGGCGGTCCAAAGTTGAGCAAAGGCCTCCAGAGCTGTATCATGAAGCGACGACACAACGTTCTCGCCGGTGATAAACTGAATGGGATAGTGAACATCGTCGGGAATGGGTTGCCCGTAGTAAACGCTTCGAGAGCAGACGTAACTGTATGCCAGTAATCCACCCTCAGCAGCGTTGAGTTCAGGTCCAACCAACTTCTCGGCATTCTCGAATAGTGCACTCAGAGTCTTGCGGCAGTTGTCTATCACAGAAGGGTCGTTCGCGAGATGCGACACAAGAATTCCGAGGGCTCGAGCAGTCAGGGACCGGATTTCCTTATTGTTCGACTTGATCAGCTGGAAAAGGCCATCGCTAAACTCGGTCAAGAATCCCAGTGCCCCACCGGGACTGAGGGATGCCACATCAACAAAGCAACGGATGCATTCTTCCGTGATCGGTGAGTCTTTGAGGTAGGCTCCATCGAGGCATGCCTTCAGATAGAAGATTATGAATCCACTATCGATCGTGTGTAGATAAGCCAGGATCTTCTCTCTCGTCTTGATATCCGTTTTGACGCGTGCATCTAGAGTTTGCATCCAGTCAGGCTCCACTTCGAAGTCTTCGAGAGCTTTGAGGAACATTATGTGCTTGCAATATCTCAGGGCAACTGGGAAAGCAGCTATACGAGATCCTTGGAAGTTCTCAAACACCGAGTGCGACTTTTCTGTCACATCCGGAAGAGGAGTAGTAGCAGCCTCAGTAATAGATTCTGGAATGATTTCAGAACCAAAGAACATGATTATCATTTCCTTCCAGTCTGGCAATTCTAGGCTGGTTTCGGCATGTGCGTGGTAGGTCCAGGGGTCAAGACCTTTGTGGCCCTGCTCGATAACATCACTCCTCTCGCCTTCGTAGGCACCAACGGCCAGAATGTCAATCCAGCGTGCCAAAACATCGGAAAAAGCGAGGCATTGGTTGGCCCACTTGACCACAGCATGCCGAGTGCTTCTAACAGCAGGGGGCTCATCAGCGAGAGACATGAACGTTAGCAGCATTGTCTTCAGCTCTTGAGACTCGCTGCCCGTCATTGCCGGAATGTTTGTGGTCAGGCTAGACAGAGCTCCATCTATGTTCACAACTGCATCTGCAGTCGTATCCTCTGACAGTGACTTAAAAAGCCAGCCCGCGAGTTGCAGCCGCCTCCCAATTGGCATATTCGCACTTCTCGCCAGCACTCCAATCGTTTCGTAAGCTTTCGATCGTAGTGCAATATCGTCGTGGGATGTCCGTTGCGGAACAGGCCAGCCTTGACCCTCTATAAAAACGGACAGCTCATGCACGAGAGGAACAGCAATGTCAAATCCTTCCTGTGAGGGCCCAACGCGTGCTACCCAGGCAAGGTACTGGAATGTCGCAGTATGGAGTTTTGTTTGCTCAAGCGCACTCTTGGGGAGCAGATTCTGTGCCAATCCACTTGACGCTTGATCTTGCGTGGAGAAGTTGAGTTTGACTACAGCCATGATATCATCCGACATTGTTGCCGAGATGGAGGATTTGGAGAGCATGTTCAGAATTCGAGTCCGGTATGTGGGCGGCAGTATTGAGTGAGCATGAAACAGACGCTTGACGAGTGCCTCATCTTCCATAGACACGGAGCTTCGCTTCAATACTTCTTCAGCCGCAGATACAAGTCTGTTATCGAAACTTGACGCAGCATAAAGCGCAGGTAAGAACTTCTCCTCGTCGGTAAAAGCACCACTTGCAAGCAATGCAACGAGCTTGAGCTTTAACTCTGACATCCTCTCGAAGACCTTCTGTGACTCTGGACTTTCCACAGCTAGCGATTCGAGCTCAGATTTGGTCAGTGTTGGGTTAGCCGTGGTCCAGTTCTGAGTTTGCGTAGGGTTTCGTAGTCGTAGAAAAATGCTGATCATGCTGGCGAGGAACTTTGCATCGGCCTCGTCTGACAATCCGATTGCTTCTCGGTAATCGGTATCATCTTTGCTGCCTCTTGGAGGTATCCGGGCATCAAGGAGGAGACGTAGAATGATGTTGAAGAATGGTCCGGCTCGGGCAACACCTTGATCTTTGGCGAATCCCGATAGAGCTTTAGGTATAAGCTGTCTTCGTTCATAGTCATCCAGGCGCTCTATGCTATGTTGTATCCCTGAGATATCGAGTTGCTTGACTAACGGGGAGTCACTGGACTTGTATTGATCAAGCAGCGCGCCTACAGGAAGAATTACCCTGTGTCCAGGTTAGTCTTCATATCAATTTCACGGACTGCTCTGACTTTAGACTGCCAGGAAACTTGAGAGTTCGACAGTAAATTCATCCTAGATGATCCTGAACTCGCCTACGTGGCAGAGATGCTTGGTGACTTCAGGGTAATTTAGGATGGGCCTAGCCGACTCTCCGACTACCTTGGGTAGCAATTTTCGCACCAATTTTGGGGGTCTCGAGTCTTCTTTCACCCTGGGGCCTGACTTACTCCGGGGGTTGGATGAACGTCTTCAGTTTGGAGAATATCTGGACCACCTTAGCTCGAACTTGAGCATGTTCACTAGCGGCCTTGAGGATGACTGGCGGCAGATAACGTTGTAATAGTTCGTGCAGCTTCTGTTCCTTGTTTGCAACATTTAGGATCTTGAGCTCGACGGTATCAAGCAGCTGCAGTTCCCTCTCCTTCGTTGATGCCGTCGCCATGATTGAGGGGGTATTATGTATTTTGAACTTGATCAGGCTCAAGCTTGGAGGATCGCTATCTTTTGAACATAAAAATGTTTTAAAGGTATAGAAACGCGTTCAGACGGTGGTTTGCGACTTTTTTTGCTTTGTAAGAGCAGGCACAGGCAGCTCAGTGACGAATAACCTCAGGTAGGTGCTGCTGGGCGATATTGTCTCCAGTCAACCATATCGTGACGTTGCATGACTAAGCTGACATTAGTCAAGTTGGTCACTTTTCTAGTAGATAATAGACATGATGTTAGAAGCAAAAAACTTCCATTAAAACATAAAAAATGAGTGTAAATCATTATCTAATTTTTATTTTTATTTTTTTTTTTCCCAATTTTATTTTGCGTATCGGGTGATGAGGTGTACTGCTTGTGACGATAGGGTGAGATAAGTAAACTCTGGCCAGCTGTTTGCGTAAGTGAAAATAAGAGCCCTGGTCTCAGAGAGTTCATGATTCCGACACAACGACGTTAGAGGCCTTTTTTATTTATTTATTTCTTATTACCAATATGCATATATACAGTAAGAAAATTAGGATTTCATTTAGATAAGAGTTTATTTATTACCATGAATCACAGTTGAAGATACTATAATCACGCTTCCATCTAGGGTAAGCTTTTCATATGAAGAAGTCGCGTCATTGATTTTCCGCCACCGTTACTGCTGCACTCCCCTGTCACTTGCCCCTCCAAGCAAAGGCGCTAAGCTCCACTGACCCGGTTGCGTCACTGTGGTTGGGTGCCTGTCTTTGGTGTCTGTCTGTGCTTCACTTTCACCTTCAACTTTCGCCTTGCAACTTGAAGGTCACATCTCAACCACGACAAGGTCGATTTCTTTCAAGCGCGTTGCCGCTATAAGCTGAAAGAACAACGGCACTGAACAGCTCACTATCCAGCTCACGTCATCAGCTTGAGATCAGTGACTATTTAGCCCCGATACTCTCCCCGCTGTTGTCATAGCGGGGCATCAACTCTCCTCGCCCAAGCTACACCGAACCTTACGATATCACATCAATCAACTTCGTGTTCGACCCCGAACCCTCTTCTTACTTCGATACTCTCGATACTCTAAAATTCCACCAAACACGACAGCCTGACACCCCCTGCCCTGCCAGGAGAGTCGCCAGCCATGGACGACAACATCTCCACATTCATGTCCATTACGGGCACAAGCACTGATGTCGCCCGGAGCTTTCTCGAGATGACTGCGGGTAACTTTGAGCGTGCCATAGGACTCTTCTTCGAGAACCCCGATCTCGTTTCCGGTGTGGGAGCTGGCCTTTCTTCAACCGACCAGCCAGCAGCTGCCCCTGCGACAACAGCAGCAACCAGAGGCAACATTGGCAGACAAGATTCGGCGGGCGTTATTCACATCGATAGTGACGATGACCAGGATATGCAACTCGAAGACTTTAGCGACAATGATGATGATAATGAGAGAGCCGTCGCAGCTCAAGCGGCAGCTCTAGCCCAGGAAGAAGAAGATATGGCAATGGCAAAGCGATTACAGGAGGAGCTATACCAAGGCAACCAAGGGTCTGGATCAGGAGGAAACCCAGATGATGTCCGGGCACCTATCGCGCGGACTACTGAGACCCTGGTGGCACCCGGATGGGGTGGTGGTGAGCACGATGATGGAATGGAGGCAGCTTTTCTAGAAGAGTTGAGACGCAGGCGGCGGGCAAATCCACGTAAGTGTCTGAACCACCCGCAGTAGACTTCCACTGATGCAGCCATATAGCCAATCGTGCGGGAGGACCATTCTCCCAGCAAATATGGGCCGACCCTGAACGCCGCCCAGCTCAGCCAGCCGAGAATGGAGCCCATGCAAGGCGTCTTGAAGATTTGTTTCGACCACCTTACGATCTGATGGCGCGCATGTCTTGGGATGACGCCCGTACACTAGGCAAGGAAGACAAGAAGTGGATCTTGGTTAATCTCCAAGACATGAACGACTTTAACTGCCAGGCCCTAAACCGCGACATTTGGAAGGACGAAGCTATCAAATCTCTGGTCTCAGAGAACTTCATATTTCTACAGTATGACAAGGACTTCCCGGATGCTGAGGAGTTTGTGACATTTTATTTCCCCAACCAAACCCACGAGAACCCTGATAACTACCCACATGTCTCGATCATCGACCCCCGAACAGGCGAGCAAGTCAAGGTTTGGACCGGGCGACCTTTCCCTTCCGCGCAAGACTTCCATGCCGAACTCGCCGAGTTTCTCGACCGCTACAGTCTCGCGGCCAATAGCAAGAACCCGGTTGCGAAGACGACAGCACGAAAGCCACAGAGAGTGGATGTCGATCGCATGACTGAGGATGAGATGCTTGAAATGGCTTTGAAAAACAGTCTGGAGGGTGCTACAGGAAGCGGAGGCTCCTCAACACCCAACCTCCATGACCCCGATGCTTTAACCAAAGACCCTGGCCCCGAGGAGGGTAAAGGAAAGGAACCTGAAGCCCCGGTTGAACAAAGTCCTTGGGCTCAAATTTCGAGCATCACCCCACATACCGAACCAGAGGCTAACCCAACAACTACTACACGCATTCAATTCCGACACCCTACCGGCCGTGTCATTCGACGATTCAACCTTGATGATCCAGTCCGCAGAATCTATGAATGGCTCAAGGCTGAGCCACTGGAAGGCAAAGAAGGGATCGAATTCGAGCTTAAGAAAATGCCTGCTGGCCAGGATCTCATCGAGAGCCTGGACACGACCGTTGCAGATGCAGGTCTGAAGCAAGGGACAGTCATGATTGAGTTCATTGAGGACTGAGCTGGTGACTGATTGAATGATTTCCTTTTATGCGGGATTACAGCAAACTTTGTAGATAGATCAGTATCGGAGCCATCGGAGTGAATTGGACTGGCTGCAGCCAGTGGAATATGCGGATTCTGAGTCCTTGTGGCATCATTGCTATTGGAATTGATTTACCTTTATCATGAGGAGGGCGTGGGAGGTTACTATCTTTAGACAGCTCATCGAAGTCACGCATGAGAAATGACACTTGAAAGCAATGGAACTGTGCAAATGCCATGCTCGCATTCTGTGCCTGGCCATGTATGACAAGGCTAATTTAACACCAATGAAAGTAATCGCAATGTAATTTTATCTACCAAGCTAATGTGATCGCGTCAGCTTGTTCCTGATCCCCAAGAACTAATAGTTTGCCGCTTATTCCAACCCTTGAACAGATTGAAGTCAAAGCATCAAATGATACATTTCACCATGCAATAGAGAGAAGCCATGAGCCAATAAAGCAACATAAACCCTTGCAAAATGTGATATCAAGTCGTCATACCTGAACATCTTTTAATGAGTTTCGTATCTCTAGAGTTTGGCGTTATTGAACGCAGAAGATAATTGGCCTCAAGACCATGTCGATAACTGAGGCTGAGGCCAGGCCAGGCCCTAGCTGGAGATCTTGGAATCAGGTGCGGGAAGTATTTCCCAACGACCCCTCCCCCCTGTGGACAACCACTTACAGGGGGGAGAGTCTAATAAGGTCGCACCAGGAACGGCCGTGAGCAGATCGATTCAGGTTCGATGCGTGCCATTGATTGATTGGCAAAGCAAGGACATGAGCCCGTTGCTCCTCAACAACCCCCACCTCAGGTAAACAGCAACAACCAGCAACCAATACCTAGGTACCCAGAGCCAGCCCGTTCCGTTTCATAGTGGGAAGGTGTTAGCTTACTGTACGGAGTGTTTCTTTTTCTCTACCTCATTAGCTTGCGCCTGCTTGTTTTGGCTGCATGTTGTGTTGATTCTTTCCCTTGCGTAGGCGGAGATTGGCTGTGCTGTGCGACAACCTCTTTTCTATTCTCGCATTTATATGAGCACATTATCATCTCCCTGCTTGTTTCTTATTTCCCTCCCTTCTTTTCTTCTTTTTCTCATCTAGTGCACACTGTTTCTCTTCTGCGAAGAAAAAAGTCGCGGCAACCGAGACAGATATTTACCACGAACCCGGTTCGAAATAAGACTACGATTTCTTAGTGGTGGGGTTGCTGCTAATCGACACCGCCAAACTACGATATCCGAATTGGAAGCGGGTTCAGTTCGACATCACGCGCCGTTGCGAAACCGTTGACCCGAATAAGAGGCCCTGAAGCGATTGCCAACCGATTGATACTGCTTCGAGTCAATAGCAGTCGGCGAATTCGCAGCGACAACGTCACTCAACCGCGGGGCAAACATCGTTAGTTACCCGAAAACATAAGCTTCCCCACGAACCTACACAATGGCAGATCGCGAGCATGAGGTTGACGACGCGAATGAAGCGCTTGACCCGGAGCTTCTCTACTCCAAGGAATACTGCATTGGTTAGTCCTGACGTGGTCTTGTGTCGTGCGACACCAGATTGGGCACTTGGGCGTAAATGTACTGACATGGCGCAGGTGGTGGCAGTTTCGGCAAAGTTTACAAAGGGTGCGGCGACGATAATATGAACCACAGCGACCGAACGTTGCTAACGAATTCAGAGTCGATAAACGAACGGGCCAAGCTGTAGCGATCAAGGTCATTGATATAGAGAGTGCCGAAGACGAGGTCGAGGATATTATCCAAGAAATCGCCATTCTGTCCGAGCTACAATCACCATATGTCACCAAGTACTATGGATCCTATGCGAAAGGTGCCGAGTTATGGATCGTGATGGAGTTCTGTTCGGGAGGAAGCTGTGCCGACTTGATGAAGCCGGGATTGATTGGAGAGGACTACATCGCCATCATTGTGCGCGAGTTGCTCATGGGTTTGGATTATCTCCACACAGACAAGAAGCTACATCGAGATGTCAAAGGTAAGAAGGATGCCCTCGCCCCTGACGACGCTAATCGCCTGTAGCTGCCAATGTGCTTCTTAGCAGCAATGGTCAAGTCAAACTCGCCGATTTTGGCGTGTCAGGTCAGCTTTCTGCTACCATGACCAAGAAAAACACATTTGTTGGAACACCTTTTTGGATGGCCCCAGAGGTCATTAAGCAATCTGGGTATGATCATAAGGCCGATATTTGGTCTCTTGGTATTACAGCTCTCGAATTGGCCAATGGAGAGCCTCCTTATGCCGATATTCATCCTATGAAAGTGCTCTTTCTTATTCCAAAGAACCCTCCACCACGGCTAGAGGGAAATTTCACCAAAGCCTTCAAAGATTTCATCGAATTATGTCTCCAGCGAGATCCCAAAGACCGACCAACAGCCAAGGATATGCTGCGACACCCGTTTATTAGACGGGCAAAGCGGACAACTTACCTGACTGAGCTTATCGAGAGGCACCAACGCTGGGCAGCTACTCATAAGGGAGAGGACGATGACAACTGGGATTCGGCTAACAGTGGACGAGCTCCTGCAGAACGTGAGCGAGTTGACGAAGATATGTGGGATTTCGGCACGGTGAGACTTGTTGGCGAGCGTGGCGGCATTGTTAATCGACCAGGTCTCAACCAACTGGATGAGAACGCAACAAACGCACGTGCTTCTAGACCACTAGAGAGCGAGGAAGACTATGGCGAGCAACGACGAGATGCAAGCCCAACCAAGTCAAGAGATTTCGCCCTTCAATCCCTTGAGACTGTCAAGGCCAACCCAGGCTCAAGGCAGTCTAGCCCCCAACGAAAGGCTGTTCCTCAATCTCAATATCAGCAGCCACTCCCATCGCCTACGAGGGCACTGCCTCAAACTCCCCTGAAGCTCCCTCCTCCAAGGGATAACGCCGAGACTCCTCGCCCATTGAGAATAAACCCCCCTGCAATAGTGCAGGAGTCTCCAGAGTATGACCGGGAGCTTCAGAGCCAACTACAGCGTGATATTGGCATGCTCAATCTAGATTACGAACCACAGACTGAGAGGAAAGCCAGTCCACAGATCCAGCAGGCCCAGCCACCACAGTGGTCATTACCACCTGCTCCTCCGGCCCATCAACAACGACCAACAACAACCAAGCAGATGAGCCTACCTGAGATACCTCCATACAGGCCAAACCAAGCCCCCACGCAGCAAAGGGTACCTTCATTGCAACAGACTTCTGTGCCTCAAGTTCACACGCCCCTCCCAGGGGGTGCACAAGGCCCTCGACCTCTTCCATCAAAAGCTCAGTCGCCCAGCCCATCGGATTTCAACACGCCGTCGGCTTTCCCTACACCCGCACCAGCCAATCCCAATGGGGAGCTGGATGCTCTGAACGATGTCATATTCCCAGCCCTGGAGGAGGCGCTTAAGCGGCGACAGATAAACCTGCAGCAGATGTATAAGCCAGGACAGAACCCAGCTCAACTGACACCCCAACAACAACGCGCCGAAGCTTCTCACGAAAAGTTACGAAAATTGGTTTATAAGCTGGCACATGTCTGCAAAGAGATTGATCATTATGACAAGGCCGAGCCTGTTGGGATGGGCAGAGAGGTTGGCAGTTTTCTCGAGGGGCTTCTTGAGGAGATTCTGGTGAGAGTCGAGCCTTTGGATGAGGATGAGGAAGTGCCCGCTTCATGATGAGTGTACGTTGTGTGATGAGCCATGTGATTAAGAAGCGCTGAAGAGTGTTTTGGAGTTTGGGTTTGACATTGTATATGGCATTCTGGCAGGTTGATGATAAAAGGACGGAATAGGTTAGCATGACGAGTATAAAGCGATATGACATGGCTGAGAATAGCTGGTATAACATAGATGCCAGTCTGTTGTGATTTTGAGACAGGGTCCAGCGATGTTTGTTTGTGGCATGAGAGGTTATCGAGGACTATATTAGGCTGCAGGAGTAAATGAAGTTTTGAGTTCATGATCTTCAAGAGCATATGATAACATAGGAATTGCGCATCGTGAAATGCTACTTCTCATTGCAGCCTTGGTAGTTTGATGCCTCGGGCTGAAGAGTAGGTCTCCTCGGATTTTGCCATCTCTTCTGTTGAGGGGTTATCATGAATGCTGTTTACCGCGGAGCATCATGACAACAAACGCTACTCATCTAAGACTATAATTAGACCCAGTATGCAAGCCATTGAGGCAAAAAAAAAAAAATACAGTTAGCCAAGCTATAGCAAGTGCTTTCTATTCTCGATACTAGGTTCGGAGTATTCTACCTATAAGCGTTTCGTAAGTACGAAGTCCGAGTAGCAACCAAAATCTTGCAACCTGATACCTCGCCAAGAATTTGCTTGACCCGCAGAAAAAGCTCCACATGGGGAATAGAGCTCGTTATGTCATGGTCATCATGATAGGGCTGCAAAGAATTGGGGGAGCTCAATATCATGAGAGCAACTGTATAGACATAAAGACAGAAACTAGCCGGATAAATTGGATGTAAATATGACCGGGTCAACTCAATTGAATGTTATTGTTGATCCCCAAGTCTGTTTCCGTGACGTCGTTTGCGTCCACAGCTCGGTCCAGCCTAAACCCAGAAAAGCAGTAAATTCTAGCGGCCGCGCCGTGCAAAACTCCCCACAAGCTACCCCATGCAGCCTAACGCTACTCCACTCGGGCCAGTGACAAGCTCGGAACAATCGCGTTTTCCGAGCGGCGGCCGAAAGAAAAACAGTGGTAAAAAAAATTATTCTACAGAGGCTCGGGCCAATGCGACACCATAATTCAGAAGGGAACCTTGCAACTGGTTACTTTGCAGAGCTACCCGACGGGAACGGAAACAGGCTTGCGCGATTTGCACTTGCACCCTTCTTTAACCTCAACTTGTAAAAAAACAATCTTCTTCCTCTTTTCTTCTCTCCTCTCTTCCTCGTGTGCGGTGCCTCGGTTTTTTATCTCTCTCTCCCCACGAAAGCTCTCCTCTCTACCTTTTAGATACCCCCCACTTGTCATCATGTTGTCTCGAGGATCTCTTCGATCGGCCCAGGTACGTTTTTTGTGGTGTTTTGCTTTTGTTTTGTTTCTGTGTCATGATGATCTTTTGTGGTGTTTGTGGTACATGAGTGGGAATGTCTTTGGGCAATGGGCTTTTGTGGCTGTCAGTGATGATGTGCATCATGTCATGATCATCATCGCGACATCACGAGAAGCGAGAATTGGAGTTTTGCGTGGTGGGACATTACTGCGGGACAAAGACCACATCGCGCAAATGGCTCAGATTGATTATACGCAGCCTTCACTACTCAATTGATCCTGTTGCTAACATTTCTTCTCAGCTGCTGCGCGGCGTCGCCAAGCAACAACCTCAGCTCGCCCGATCCTTCGCCACCGTCCAGTCCGACATCTTCAAGCCCGCCAAGTTCGGCGGCAAGTACACCGTCACCCTCATCCCCGGTGACGGTATCGGTACCGAGGTTGCCGAGTCCGTCAAGACCGTCTTCAAGGCCGACAACGTCCCCGTTGAGTGGGAGCAGATCGAGGTCTCCGGTCTCGAGGGCGCCGGCCGAACTGAGGATGCTTTCCGCGAGTCTGTCGCTTCTCTTAAGCGCAACAAGCTCGGTCTCAAGGGTATCCTTCACACTCCCATCAGCCGATCCGGCCACCAGAGTTTCAACGTCGCCATGCGACAGGAGCTCGATATCTACGCCAGCATCAGCTTGATCAAGAACATCCCCGGCTACGAGACCCGCCACAAGGACGTCGACCTGTGCATCATTCGAGAGAACACTGAGGGCGAGTACTCTGGTCTCGAGCACCAGAGCGTCGACGGTGTCGTCGAGTCCCTCAAGATCATCACCCGCGCCAAGTCTGAGCGTATCGCCAAGTTCGCCTTCTCTTTCGCTCTCGCCAACGGCCGATCCAAGGTTACTTGCATTCACAAGGCCAACATCATGAAGCTTGCCGACGGTCTTTTCCGCAGCACCTTCCACCAGGTCGCCAAGGACTACCCTACCCTCGAGGTCAACGACATGATCGTCGACAACGCCTCCATGCAGGCTGTCTCTCGTCCCCAGCAATTCGATGTTATGGTCATGCCTAACCTTTACGGTGGTATCCTGTCCAACATTGGTGCCGCTCTTGTTGGTGGCCCTGGTATCGTCCCTGGTTGCAACATGGGCCGTGAGGTCGCTGTTTTCGAGCCTGGTTGCCGTCACGTCGGTCTTGACATCAAGGGCAAGGACCAGGCTAACCCCACTGCTATGCTCCTGTCCGGCAGCATGCTGCTGCGACACCTCGGCCTCGATGAGCATGCTAACCGCATCTCCAAGGCCACCTACGCTGTTATCGCTGAGGGGTAAGTTCTAAACGATTCATTGAAGTACAATTGCAGTGCTAACAATTCTACAGCAAGGTCCGCACCCCCGACATGGGCGGCTCCTCCACCACCCACGAGTTCACCAAGGCCATCCTCGACAAGCTCGAGACTGTTTAAATGAAGCATCTTTTGTGATATCCCCCTCCCAAAACAAACCATGCGAAACCACCATTTTTTTATTTTTCGTCTATCTTTCCCGTATGTAAAGCGGGAGCCGATTGGACATAACACGCACACACACACACATTCTGAAAAAGACAGACACACCCACCATACCTCGAATATATATACCTGACGACCCGGGACAGCGGATTTTAAGGCGTTCTGAGAGGCAGGGGTTTGGCGGCGACGTCGAAGGAAGAAAAGAAAGAAGAGAAGACGGAACAGAAGAAGACAGAGGATGATGATTGAAATAGCAGAAGGAGATTGTACGTGTAACATGAACTCTCGCAGTCTTGAATATATTGTAAAGTCCACGTTGTTCCCAATTGCTGTGTGATGAGCCTATGAGCAGGAGCTTACGAAGTGTACGTGCTACGGTTTTTCTTTGTGGCAATTTGAGGTTCTTCCAACAGTACGTTCACTTGACACGCGCCTCTTGGGTTCAGTCTGAATAAAGAGTGATTTCCTTGTCATGCTCCGAGCTTGGCGAGTTATTTTTATCGCGGAGACCGAGTTGGTAACCTCGGTTGATACTACACTGAAGACATTGGCAGCTTTGCTATAGGTTAGGATCAAAATGCATGTAATCTGCAATAAAGAGCATGACAGTGACAAGTTGACATAGAACATCTTATTTCTGGTTGAACAATAGTATCGATGGTGCTTTTGTAGGTAGCACTGAGACTTGCGTGATCAAAATTGACCAATAGCGTTTGAGCATGCGAACTCCAAACTAAGGACGAAACGTCTTGTTAGATACGAGAGAGCAATGATGCGTTGGCAACTTCGAATGGCTCACTCAGAATGGTTTGGCAGTTCGTTTCAAGGCCAACCTTTCAGATTATACAAGATCTACTCGCCAATTGCGACACAAGATAGACCTGGCTCTGACCATCAACCGTCTCGCTAGACGTGGTGGTGAATATCACCATTGGGGAATAATCGCGAAGCCTTGGACTTGATATAGACTTAAGAAATATGTGAAGGGGAGATAGGAAGGGCACATGAGAACATCGGGCTTCGAGTAATTCTGTATAAGCCTCGGTGAATTCTAGTTAAAGCATCTACTTTTACCCGTTTCTAAATTCGTCCTCTTTCAAGAAATGCCTTTGGCACATCAACGTATCGACTCCTCAAATACTCGCCAATTCCCTTTCCTAGACCATCAATACGATCTGAAGACGCTATACCTCCGTTCAAGTTATCCAAAACGCGACTGTATCATGTCAGTATCTCAGCTTCAATATCGTCGAACGGGGACTTACAAGTGCACAGCGTTGATACCAGGGAACTCAACCCTCTCAACCCTCCTCTCCGGATCCCCCTTGAACCAATCATCCCCAAACAATTGCTTCAGCTTCGAAACAGTCAACAAGTTCCTCAACCAAGCATACTCATCATCATTCCGAACAAAGAACCCAACATTCGAATTATCGCCCTTATCTCCTGATCTCGCATGCACAACACTTCCCAACGGCGCCCACTCCGTCGGTCCGAAAGTAAGCATATCAACCGGTCCATGCGTTTCCGTCGACGGCCGTACAATAGGATACTTTGCTGTTTTTGCTGGTGGTTCAATACGATGTGATGCACCGGTACTCATCTCAACGCGATGCTCAATCGCAGAAACAGGCATGAGCGCTGGAAACATCTCCATAAACGGCTTGGGCACCATAGTCCTAAAGTCAAGATTCATATGGTACCCTGGATAACTCTGCATGCGGAGAGCGTAAATCGGTACTTTGAACTTGGGCGCATCGATGTCTTCTTTTCGACGAGCTTGCGCAAAGACACGGAGTGATACAGTGCCTGCTTGTTGAGACGTAGGGTTCTCAGCCGGTGTGCCATATAACTCGATGCTTAGACGGCTGAAATTTGAGTCTTTGAACATGTGTGCTAGTTGGTTTTTCATCATGGCTGCTTTCTCGAAGACGTCGAGGCCGTTGATGTAGAATGTTGCTTCGGCTTGGAAGCCGCCTTTTGCGGCGATCATGACTTTTGCTGTTGGGGGTGGCGGGAGGCCTTTTACTCCTGAGACGGAGACGCGGTTTTCTGACTCTTGTTCGACTTGTACTCCAGAGAGATCTGCGACGACATCGGGGTTTAAGTATAAGTGGCCCTGGAGTTCGTAGAGTAACTGTGCGGTGACAGTCTCTTTTGTGACTCTTCCTCCACCTTCTGCTGTTCTTCCAATGGTACATCGTCCTCTTGGATCAATCTCTGCAATGGGGAATGCAATATCCACAAGTTCAGGTAGAAAGTCTTTGAAGCCTGAAAAGTTCGCACCAACGACGTAGGGACCGCACTCAATCAGATGAGCAGCGAGTAACGAGCCCGCTAATTCCTCATACTGATCTTCCCGCCAGCCATGATACCACGCCGCAGCGCCCATCACAGGAGAAGCATCAGTGCACCGACCGCAAATAACGATACGAGCACCCGAGCGAAGCGCTTGGACAATACCCCAACATCCAATATACGCAGTCGCACAACACGGAGTAAACCCCCAAGAATCAAGAGTCTGCTCCGGATGGTCCAAATGCGTAATCTGCACATCCCTCCTCCTCTCCTTATCCATAACAACATCCGAGACATCATCCCCCAGCACCTTCGCAACAACACAATCCCCATACCCCCTCTTCTCACAGAGCGCTCTGACCTTATCATACAGCGCATCAGTATTCAACGCCCCAGCGTTAGTCACAACACGAATGTCGCGCTGCATGATATCATCAAGACACTCGTCAAGTTGCTCGTAGAAGCCATTCTCGTAGCCTAGGTTGGGGTCCACTTCTTGCTTGGTGATTGCGTTCCAGGCGATGTTCATCTCGGAGAGCCAGTCTCCTGTTATGACATGCACGTTGCCGGAGCGGACCATGCGGGACATTGCGTGGGGATGGTCGCCTGTTGCGCCGGAGACGTTCCCGATGCGAATTGGTGGTCTGTCGAGCATTTTGATGTGATGTGAGGCTCAATGTATGAATATGTGTATATGAACTGTTGGTACAGCTGAAGTGAGGTGGAAGTTATAGTGAACTGAGAGAGTGATGGAATGAGTTTAAGCTGCGGCTCTTGATAAGCACCTCCTTAACTAGTGGACCGTCGGAATAAACATATTCTTAATTGTGTGATATCTCGGATTATTCAGGATGTTGAGAGTCTCTCACGACTTATCATAAGACCGCATTTGGTGGATTGTGGATTAGCGGACGCGGCGCCGAGTGGCGATCCACTTACACGGGCCCTGGCATTTCGGCTTCGGCGACCGAGTCCGTCAGTTCACTTGCTCAACATGAGATGGAACATGATGCGAGGTCGTTCCGAAGCAATAGGCTTAGATTTTGTCTTTTTATTTTATTCGGGAATACTGATATGCATATCGTAGATTGTCTAAGAGCTGGATGCATTTACACCCTCTGCAATCTTTGGCCTGAAGGCGATGGCAGAGCAAGAATCACTCAATCACCATTGGAATAGCCCAACTTCGAGCTTAATTCAGAATATAGACACTAAATACTTCATATCATGCAGAAAAATCCAATAAGAAGAAGTACCTTGATAAAGTACACGGTTACTATCAATAATACGGATGACTCTCACCTCCCAATCCAAAAAACCACTCCTGACTCAACTGCGAAATAGCATCATTATGGAACTCATCCAGCCCCAAACTCTGCAAATCCCCAAAACAATCCCTAAAAGTACTATCAACAGTCATACCCGCCAGATCCGCCGAAAACTGCACCGGCGCCGCAACGCTCGCCTCCACGACATCAGCTACCACCGCATCACTCAGTCTATCAAACAAATCCGAACAATTCCTCGCAAGATCCCATCTCTCCGAAACAGCTACTAACACTTTCGAACAAGCCCTCGTGTCGTTGACGACTTGGTTGATGGTAGGTGTTGTATGTAACCTCGCGCGCTGAGGTTCAGAACCTGAGAAATGATGCCGTAGAGCAAAGATGTATGACAACCCAGCTAAGAAGACAGCATGCATCGTAATCCACGAATAATTCAACTTTCGCGATCGGTGCAAACTCGCATATAAGCTTATAGCCTCCCTCGCAGAGTCGTAAACATTCTGCAGCGCATGGCTATTCACAGCTGCATCGTTCAGACACGGCGACGGCCGAAACAGCATGAGCATACCGTTATGGTACAAAAGCCTATACCACTCCTCGGAGCGGAAACTCGAACCACTAGCCGGCGAAGCAGCCGTGTCGCTCTTAACGAGGGGTAGGCTTGCTGTTTCTGTATGCCACTCTTGTAACTCCCTCGCTAGAGCTGTTCGCATCTCTTCATAGCTTGCATTTGGGAATGTGACGTGTTTGGCGCTGCGGTGCAGGGCGTTTATGATCTTGCCGCAGATGAGGCGGTAGCGAACGATGTGGACGAACACAGATGTTGCAGCGCGGTATTGAGGTGTTCCGTAGGGTGCTGATGAGAGAGGACTGCTATCCTCTGGGAGTTGATCTGCTGTTGACGAAGGAGGAAGATCAACGTCTATGTCTTCAAGTTGTAGTGCCAAAGGCCTTCCAAGCGCAAGACTCGTCACGCGATCCAGCGCAACAAGACTCCAGAAACATCTCCTCTTGGTCTCCATCTCCTCCTCCTTAACCTTCCTCGTCGCATCATCCAACGTCTGCGGAAGCGCATAAGTCGCCGCTCGATGAAGGCCCATCTCAAGACACGTCCTCGCCGCAACGCCGATGAGATGCCAAACACTAGTCGTGGTATTACTCGACGTCGTGCCCATTCTATACTGACACACCAACAGCAGCGCCTGCAACCTCTCAATCCCATCTCTCGCCAGTACATCGGCTAGTCTCGTCATGGCGCGGTTATAATGCGTCTCAGCATCATATACCCCGTTCCAGTTGAACTTGTGCACCTGCGCCGTGCCGATCGCAAGCGTCATGTCAACGAAGAAAGCATCGACGGGATCTTTGGCGCTGGACTCTTCGTACACAGCGTCTAAAGATCGGTAGAGGGATTTTGTAGAGAGGAAGGGGTAGCAGAGATGGTCATGGCTGCAGTAGGCTTTTAGGAGTTCTGAGGCGAGAGTTTTGGGGGGAAGACCGGAGTTGGCTTGTGGTGAGGTTAGACCGGGGAGGGAGTTTGGTTTCCAGCCTGATGTGGTGAGAGATGAGGATGGTTGAGGGCGAGACTGGAGGAGGTTGGCGAGGAGAAGACCGCTTGTTGAACCGACGAAGTGATGGCCTCCGCCTGCAATGAGACTCATCTGAATAACCTCCTCGGCCACCTCTCCATCCCCCGGACTATCCTGCACCACTTCCGTCCCAGGTCTCTCAACATCTTCAGATCTCCTTGTTACCTCCTCCGACCGTCTCAACTGCTGCGTCAAACTCTCATTACAATCCATCAACTCCCTAATCCTCCTCTCCAACTTCTGAACATTCCTCCGCCTCAACTGATGTTCACTAACAGCATATTCACAAGCGACATCAGCACGCTTACAGGGTCCGCATTGAGGTTGGATTTTGTCGCAGCGGACTTTGCGGCGGTGACATCTGTCGCAGGCGTTTGAGGGCATGAGGGGACGGAGACCGAGGCCGAGATGGTGAGAGGAGATGATGGAGAGACCCCGCTTGAGAAGGAGAAGTTATGGGTCTTTCGGTTAGTGAATGCGGGTTTTATTTTAGTTGATCTGATGGATGGTTTGGGTGGGATTGGGGGAACTAAGCTTAATTGTTACCTTAATCCTGACTCGTGGGGTTGGGACTGCAACGTTGATGGATGCATCGTGATGTGAGCCTGGGTGTTTATTTCCGCTCGTATTACTCTGTACAATGAGACGTTCGATAGATTTATTAGTTGAAGTATTATCAATTATTATTTAGACTTTTAAGAATGTAATTGATCGAATGTTATTCCCCGGATATCGTTATCCATTATTCATCATCACTTACACAAGTGTCTTGACTCAACACTAAACAATCCTCCTCCATGACTATCTAGCTCCCCCAAAATGGCGTCTTGGCAAAAACACCATTCGGCCATCGGCCCCGTCCCCGAAACCAGGATACTCTCGCTCCTCGCCTCTGGTGATCCCCTCAACAATCCCACCCCCGGATATCCAGAATCTGGGGTATGCGGGGAACCCAAGTTCAGAAAAGAAGTTCAAATACCGCACCGTTCCCCTGCTTTTTCGCATCGATCATCCCAACCATCATTGTCTTCTGTTACTTCATTGAGATAGTCCGTGAGAGTTGATCATCATGACATCCCAAGATCACAAGATGGGCGTTGAGACCCTTGATGCTGAGAAGCAAAATGCTGCTCATGAGGAGTACTCTGCTGAGGTTCTTGATAAGAAGGGTAATGGTGATTACTCTGGTGCTGTGGCGAAGAGTGATCCTGAAGAGATCAAACTCGTCAAGAAGCTCGATAAATGGATCATGGTAAGCCTCCACATCCCTTGTCGAACTCTTCTCTGACCTAATAGCCCACCCTTTGGTTGATGTACTGGCTCAACTACCTCGACCGCAACGCCATCACCCTCGCCCGCCTAAACGGCTTCGAGGAAGATCTCAACCTCCAAGGCTCACAGTACAACACCTCCGTCTCAATCCTCTTCGTCGGCTACGTCCTCGGCCAAATCCCCAGCAACATGATAATCACCCGCGTCAGACCATCATGGTATATGGGCGGTTTCATGATGGCATGGGCCGTCGTCAGTTCCCTCACTGCCGTAGCCCACAACTACACCGGCGCTCTTCTCACGCGATTCTTCCTCGGTATCGTGGAGGCTCCTTATTACCCTGGTGCCCTGTACATGCTGTCGACGTTTTATACCAGGAAGGAATTGGCGACGAGGATTAGTATTCTTTACTCTGGTAATGTCCTTGCTTCTGCTTTTGCGGGCTTGATTGCGGCGGGTGTTTTTGAGGGTATGGATGGACTTGCTGGGATTAAGGGTTGGCGATGGTTGTTTATTCTTCAGGGCGCGGTCACGTTTGTTGTGGCCATCGTGGCGTGCTTTACTCTTCCTGATGAACCGTTGACGACGAGATGGCTTACGCCTGAGCAGCGTCAGCTTGCACATGATCGCGTTCTGAGAGATACAGTCGGACAGAAAGGCGACGGAAATCCATGGAGCGGTCTTCGTGAAGCAATTGTCGACCCAAAGGTCTGGGTATTTATCGTTCTTCAGCATCTTCACCTTGCGACCAACGGCTTCAAGAATTTCTTCCCTACCATCGTCAACACACTCGGCTTCAACACCACCATTACTCTCGTCCTCACCTGTCCTCCTTTCTTGATCGCCGGTGCTCTCTCCATCCTTTGGGCCAAGTCTTCTGGTCACTTTAACGAGAGTACCTGGCACATCACCATCTCCAAGATCGTCGCTACCTTCGGCTTCGTCTTGGCTTGTGCTACCATGAACGTTGGAGCAAGATACTTCGCCATGTGTGTCTTCACCATTGGTACCTATGGTGTCAATTCCATTCTTCTTGCTTGGGTGGGAAATACCTGTGGACAGACGAGGGAGAAGAAGGCATCTGCTCTGGCTCTCGCCAACGTCAGTGCGACACTTAGTCTGATCTGGACTCCTGTAAGTACTATTCCTCCCTCGTTCTTAGTGCAAACCGCTAACTCATGCAGTATCTCTGGCCCAAATCTGACGCACCCCGGTATGTGCTGCCGCTCTCAAGCAGTGCTGGTTTTGCTGTAGCTTGCATTGCTGGAGTCTGGCTTATGAGGTGGATGCTGGTCAGGCAGAACAGGAAAATCAGACAGACGGACTCTGAGGCAACCCTGTTCTATGCTTATTAGACGTACCACTGGCTGTACATCTTAATTTGATAGTTGAAGATGGAATTAAATGAAGTTGTGATACTCCCGCTTCTTTATAAGTGGTGACGACACCTTTTATAATGTGATCAAAGAGTGATTGGACCCAAGGACAATGTGTCACAAATTTAGAACAAATCAGATAAGATATTTATAATTCATCCCTAATCTAGAAGATCAGCAGACAATAATCACCATAAGCTTTATAAAGCTTAGGGTAGTTTAGATAAAGTAGGCAGGTTAGTTGCTCGACAGTGATTCATAGGTCCAGGTTATTCCTTTATGATCACTCATGACATCCAGTGGCCACGAGCTATAACCCATGGTCTATAAAACCAGACTGTTGATTCTCAAAAGATGTTTGCCAAACACAACTCTGGCATGTACTGTGGCGTGTCAACTGCCCTGGGACCTATCGATCCTGTATGTATATGAATGCCGTTAAGGTCAGCTGGAGTGAAGGCACTCTCCATAGGAAACAACCAGAACCCAATGACTGGCTGGGGTGACGTTTCAAAGATGCTTGCAATCTCATGATCCCAATCAACTTTGCGCCCACCCAATTTATTCCCGCCATCGAAATACTGTTCGAGTTGCTCGTACTCACCCTGGAGCCACTCAGAAGCACTATCGCGGTCGCGTGTGTCGGAATCGACAGAAGGGCACCAGTACCACCGGCATAATCTTTTACGACTACTGCCGAACTGATAGATGACCTTGTGCCTGTGTTTAACCCCTAATCCTTCAAGCAGTTCAAACCACCGCTTGAACATGGTCCGCGGGTTGACGCCTAATTCTACTCGCCGAAGATCTTCATCATGCAATCGAGGGTCATATGGCAGTCTTTTGAAGCCTTGAATATCCCCCCGAATGGGAACAGTGTGATTCGAGCGACAAGTGTATTCACAGCCCAGGCGGAAGCCACCCCTCAAATTTCTAGCACCTTCGTAATTCACGAAGGTAAGCCTTCAATCCTGGATAAGCCTTGCTTTAAGGTATATTCATCATGGATATGTAAATATCGTGGCTTCAGTACGGTTCTCAGAGAGACATTGACCAAACCCACATGACGAGGATCATGAGCCCAAATGTCACGAGAAAAGCACCCAAAGGCCTCCAAAGAGCGAAGATTTAACGTGCCTAATTCGGGACAAACATAGAGTGTCCCCCTCGACCTCGTTTTATCTTTCCTCTTGTACCAACATGGTAGTTGAACACGGTAGAAAGCCAAAGCAGCCCTGCGTGACTCAGACGTGGTTCAGAAGAGTTTACTGATCCTCCAACGATGATCCAATACGATATTATACTCTTCGGGCTTTGCTAGCATTTGCCCTAAGTGCGGGGTATATGTGTAATCGAAACAGCCCAGGGTGATATCGATCCATCACTCGTGATTGAGGGCCTGCTGCCAAACAAGCCAGTGAATATCAGCAGGAAAGCGTGCAAACAGGTGAAAGTCGCCGCATGGTTCAAGAGGAGGATTGAAGATTTTCAAGTGTCGTGGTGCATGACTCCTCAGGTTTTAACGTCTCATGGGAGGTGACATGCTGCCGCGAGCCATTGTTAACAAACAAACAACTTTTGATGAAGAATGAAGAACTTGTTTGCTTTGGAAGGCAAAAAACTATTTTTATAACTCATATGTATCAAGTTTGTGATTCACGAGACCTGGGTAGCCTTTATCAGGGCACACAAGGTCTAAATCCTACGAATATATGACGGTCTTCAAAGAAGCATATTCACTAAAGTGTATTGACAACAGAGTTACACTGCGTTATCCACCGCCTCACTGAGATAATCAGCTGAACTGAATTCTACTGAACCAAGGTCACATACGAAGATGCTCTTCGTCTGAGGCGTCTCGTTATACATGATGGCCATGCGTGGTGAGCTTCTGACCTCAGTCAGCTAACTAAGAGGATCTGAGAAGACCAGACCGAAACTATCACAGGCAAGAAAAGTCTTACCTAAGTTTTGCATGGCTCGTCTAAGCTTAGACCAGAGTGAGAATGTCACAATTGCTTCACCATCACAGATGCATCCAGCAACCGGTATCAGAATATTCTCGAATTGTGAAGGAAACTGTCGCTAGTCATGCGCAAGGTAGTCCAAACCCGACCAGAAGAACGCCATCCTGCAAGAAGCCTGTACGCCATCCATACCAATTGATCTCCCAAACGCCATCGTAAGGACATGCCAATCTTGCTATCCCCTCTGTAAATCGGCGACTATCGCGTAGCTGCATCTCTGAAACACCCGACACCTCAGGTCGATTATGCATAACCGATCGACACCTGCAGTAGCTTAACCGCCTACCGTCCACAGTGGAATACCTCCCTAGTGATTGGCCAATGTATCTCGGGGCGTCACCCCCATCGCTTGTCGAAGCGACGGCGTTAACGAATCAGTCGAGTCCCTTTGACGTCCCCAATTCTCATTCGTAGTTGCAGGCGAAGCCGTATTCATTTCCTTCCTGTCCTGTGATCGTTCATACGTCGGCGGTGGGGCTCGGGGCATATCTGCTGGTTTTTGCTTAATCGGCGCAATGCCGTAGTCGTCGAGTTCTTGGAAATCCTTCGGGTCTTCGAGTTTATCTAGGCGCTGGCGACGACGATGGAGGTAGCATAGCAGAGCGATAACGCCAAGGGCTACGACGGTGCTGCGGAATGAGGTCAGCCAAGACAGATTACCGATATGCGAGAATGGTCATAAATACCTGGCGATGAAGAGAATTAGCATGATCTCGCCTGTGCTAATATTGGGCTTTTCGCAGGTATCCGAGTATTGATCATTGCGACATGTTTCCTTGGCTTCTCTCGGAAGCACTCGCGTGAGACCCATTCCCTCAGCGCGAGACGCAAGGGCGCCTAATTCCTTGTCGAGAATCATGATAAAGTGAGTGTGCAATAGAAAATTAAATTAACGATTCAGTGTTATTCTGAGCAAAAGAAAAAGACACAATCAAGAGCCAAGTCTGCAAAAGACGGGAGCAAAACCTAGGAAAAAGAGGGAAGGGGGTTTATTGCATCCAAGGGCAAGAGGCATTCATTAAAAAGCCAATGCGAGACTGACGATGCGCCTTCAGTTGAATGACATGCTTCCGAGAGCTCCATGTTTCAGAAGCTCAGCCCCCCTTGGGTTGGCTCCCGATGCTGCTGGGGTCCCTGTAAATCAGGGGTGCATCTCGTGAGCAGTGAAATTGACCCTCTTGAAATCGGGGCTACAGAGGATTTGATACGAGATCTAGACTGGTCTTGTCACATCATGTTACGTGTACCTGATCGACATTTCTATCAATAGTTTATGACTAAACGTTGATACATATCCATGCATTCTCCCTCAACTTGTCGGTCCACGGCTTTACATACTCTATCAATGCGCCGTGAAACTCACCGCACAAACAGCATAGACCAAAAGGAACAACTCAAGCTGAAACTGCCCATTCCAACATCTCAAACAAATGCAATATTAATTTGCTTCTTCCTCTTCGTCTGCTAATAATCAACATAAACCCCTTATTGTGGGGGATGCCATCATTAATTAAACCAAGTGGGCTGCATAATCCCTGTCGGCAAAGCTTCCCGTTGCCGTTCGTTCCCCCAGATTAAGGGACGCAAAATAACATGACGGGGATAACGGTGATCACGCAACGGTTGAAGCAGAATGAACCAGGAAGTTGATCATGCTGGATGTCAATCGTGAGCGATTAGCGGGCTATAGACGTTGCCAAGCTTTTGGTGGCAGAGAGAATGGGCGATTTGGACACATGGTTGGCATGGATGAGGCTGGGGAGGAAATTACATGGCGTTCAAGATCAACTGCGGCGTTTGACGGTCCTAAATCCGGGGATATGAATGTTCCGTGGATGCTGGGTCTTTTGCACTCTTGAGGTCCCGAGAGTCCGACAGTCCGTTCCCAATAATAGCATCGATGGATTTTGAATGAGAATGGATGCTTCTCATAGGCTACTACGAATTCCGAGGACAGTCGAATTTACTTGATGAGCCGGCCAGCCGAGTACACGGCCCGAGAAGTTGATCGTCATTGCTTACGAGAGAACTAATGGTAGAGTTGAGATACACAGTAGCTATCAATGAGTATATAAGTCATCGAAACATATGTTCTTCATCATGAAGAAGTATCTTACACCTCAATTGACTCAAGTAAATTTCTGGTTATAGTACAATTGAAGTTCAGAGCATTGTCTCACAAGGCGCAACAATACACAAAACAACCTAAACTCATAAACACCAAAGATCGCACATCGTAGCCTCATACAGATCTCAAGTCGGACTCGACTCGACTTGGACCTTGTAGTACTAACATCCTGCAGCTGGAACAACTTTACACCGATCCTCTCACAATGACATAATTTCACTCGCCAAGCTCTCGTCAGACCATGAAGCCATCTCCGCATCAACAACCTGAGGAAATACCTAATTAACCATTATCATGTCCTACTCTCTAACCCAACAGCTTCTCGTCTCAGACGAGCAGGCTTACAAGCGAGCTACCCAGTCAGAGTTTCTCAAGCTCGCAGGTCACGGCAAAGCATCAAAAGAGCTTCTTGGCCGCTGGCTTGCAAACGACCGTCTTTATATCCACAGCTACTGCCGTGGCCTTGGTCGTCTTCTCAGCTTCCTGGAGTACCCTGATACCGTGCAGCCCAATGTTGATCCTGGAGCTACAACAAAGCTTCTAGACTGGATCGTCGCAGCTCTCGTCAACATCCGCCGAGAAGAAAAGTTCTTCATCAACACAGCAGCAGAATACGGGATCAACGTTAATCTTGAGACTGGAGAAGATGGCCGTATTGACTCAAGCACCAAACTAGAAGGTCTCCGACGTTGGGAGGCTCTGTACGCTTCTGTATCTCCCAATGAGAAAGAAGAACTTCCTTGGCTTGAAGCTGCGGTGATTTACTGGGGAACGGAAAAGTGTTACCTCGATGCTTGGTCCTGGGCTAAGGCGCAGCTCTCTGATGATGATGGGAGAAATGATGCTGATGGTGGGGCTGTGAGGAAGGAGTTTATCAACAACTGGACGTGTAAGGAGTTTGTTGAGTTTGTGGATGAGCTTGGAAGGATTATTGATGATGCTGTTAGCAAGCTTGTTGAGGAGAAGGGTGAGGATGTTAAGGAGAAACTGTTCAAGAGGGTTGAGGGGAAGTGGCATGACGTTCTGGAGGCCGAGGAGGCATTTTGGCCAGTCGTCTAACATGAGTGACTCGAAAGGCGCTGCGTTCTTGATGTAGGCATCAGAATGCGAAGGCCTCGCTTTTCTTCAACGAGCGAACTGTAAGGAAAGGGTATCCGTGTCAAATTGAAAGGTCTAGAACGAAAGATTTTCCCACCCAACGCCGTACAATGCCAAACCAGCCCACAAGCCTAAAACTGTATCCGTCGCTTTCGTCCAGTGTACTTGGACGTCGCCTTGACAATCTTTCCCTTCCGTTCCATCTGCTCCTTCTTCTTGATGATCCACGCCTTACTACCCTTCGACATATTCGGAGCATGCGCTTTAATCTGCCTTCTCGCATCCTCAACATCCACACCCTCCATACCCTCAACAACACCAGTAATATCACCACCCTTCTTCTGAACATCACCGCCTCCAACAGTCAAGACGAGGTACAGCTTCTGGTTCTTGGTGCCGGGGTCGTCTTCGAGCATGCCGGCGCCGAAGCCGGCTTTTACGGCGGCTTGGGTGATCATGTGGCGCTGCTCGTCGTTCTTGGGGTAGAATTGGCAGACTGCTCGGCCGCCGCGCTTGAGGGATGCGTAGAGGCCGTTGAAGAAGCGGGTTAGGCGGCCGAAGGGTGATGTATCGCTTGTTTCGGCGCTGCAGAGCCACTGGATAGCGGAGATGCTGATGGCTGCGTCGAAAGTACCAGCTCGGAAGGGTACGCCTTGGCCGATATCTGCTAGCATGAGATCACCCTCTACATCTCTCTGTAGTGCAATGTCCAGCATTGATGGTGAGACGTCCATTCCGATCCATGTGTGAGGGCCACCTTCTTCGGGTTCGATTGAAGACAGGATCTCGCCGGAGAGACCACTGCCGCAGCCAACATCGAGAATGAGGGATGGTGACTTGAGATCGAGGAGTTCGAGGGCTCTTCGTGTCATAGAGGCCTGAATGTTTTGGATTCGAGAGCTTGTTGTGTACTTGCGCGCTTCGGTATCGTCATAGTGGACGTCGGCGGCACTGTTTCTGTGAGCTTGAGGGGCATGATGGCGGGGTTGTGGTAACATACAGGGTATCCTCAGGACGAGACATGGTGAAGACTGTAAGTCAAATGACTTTTGAGGATATTTCAGATCCCAAACTTCGGGAAAGGAATTGCAATAAAATGAATGGGTCGTGAAGCCTGGAGCTGCACCTTATCGCCGATTTCCTGGTGTTGAGCAAAACCAACTTTTTCGTGGCTATCGATAAGCTCTCAACTTCTTAGCGGGGACCCCACCACCGGCTCGGAATTTCGCCCCTCCGAAGAATGGTGAAACTGATTGGTAGTTAAAACCGTGTCCAAAACCTCTCCTTTTTCAACCTGCAGATAATACCATCTCCCCTCCCTTCCAACATGTGAGCTCCAACTCAAATCATTGCTTGCGCCCATACACAACGCAACGCAAAATGTGGATTCTACCTCTTGTCGGCTACATAGGAACCCTCCTGGGTTTCTGCTTCTTGACCCTTGCTATCGCCTCGGGTCTATACTACCTGTCCGAGCTCGTCGAGGAGCACAGCGTTATCGCGAAGCGGTTCTTGACGCGTCTTATCTACAGCGTCATTGGCATTCAGACGGTTCTATGGCTGGTTGACGGCTTGCCCTTCTGGGCTACTGTCTTGACGATCGTGTCGCATGTTGTGTACCTGGGGAATATGAGACGCTTCCCTTTTGTGAAGCTGTCTGATCCGTTGTTCCTGGCATCGTGTGGTATGTTACCTTGGCGGGTGGGCAAATTGAGTTTTTTGCTAACGAGATGTAGTTCTCGTTTTGGTCAATCATTACGTTTGGTTCCGTCATTTCTCCGATACACAGTCGCGCGCGTACCAGCGTACCTCGTACTACGACAAGGCCGATGTTCCTAGCTTCGCGCAAATCGCGTCGTACTTCGGTCTTTGTGTTTGGCTCGTGCCATTCGCGTTGTTTGTTAGTCTGTCTGCTGGCGACAATGTTCTCCCCACGATGGGTACTGAGCCTGTCCATGGGCTTGATGGAAGAGGCAAGCCTCAGGGCATGATAAAGGCTCTTGTTGACCAGATTCGCGGGACGATCGGTCAGATCTTTGGGACGAATGCTTCACCTGGACTTGCCCGGCCGTAAAGGCTGTGTAGGCTGGATTGAGATGAACATTACGTGCGGATGATGCTGGTGGATGGACGAACCGAAATGTTTGTTTCATTCATACTCGTACGTTGATGCTGAGTAAGTCACTATCTTATTACATTCACCACATCACCTCCCAAATGATGACCTACAAACTTCACGCTAGATTGTATTTGACAAGAATTCTTGTATGATTCCATTTTAAGTTTCCTGATACCCACTGACACATCTTGTTTTGTCTACATGTTCCTGTTTTGTCAGAATACTGACCAAACTACATAGGGTTCTTATCATCCCTCCCCGTCGAGAGGTTGATGTACATATATATATCCCGAGCTTCACTAGTTCAACTAGCAAGTCTCCATTGAGCACACCAATACAGAGACCTTGACTTCTACTGTATGCAACCGTTCGCATTGTGCGTTGTCGTTCGAGTTTCGGGGACTGAGCCAAGTCGTGATTATGTCGACGACTGTTCGTTGAGGTCTTTCAGCGGCACGATGATGGACGAATTAGTGTGGCATTCGAGGTCGACTAGACACTTGACTATGAAGATGTCAGCTATGTTTGGGCCGAGAGGGAGGCATCAACAGCATCTTCGTACTTCAGAACAGAAGCCTACTTGGCGCTGCCCTGAGTGATAGGGTTGTGTGAAGCGTTGGTGTTCGGGTTGGACTCAGATGTGTTGGTGCTAGACGTTACAATTGAATCAATGATGTGCCACGGCATATCTTTATGATCCTCTCGCAGCCAGGCGTTCATTTGCTCTGAGTATGTGGTGCTCTGATGTACAATGTTGGGTGATGGGTTCCCTTCACGAGGGACTTGAACGTAGGAAGAGGCTGACATGATGAAGAAGGGGTAGTGTGTTATTTGGTACCTGTAGATGAAGACGAAGATGGACTACTCAACACACTATAGAGATGGGAGGAACAGAGGCTTTATACAAATTGATGTCAGCAGTTAGTGACTTTGACGAGTCTACCAAGATTGATCAAGACGCCATAACCCTCCCAATTCCTCGATGGATCGCATCAACCTGCCTGGGTTATTATGCAAATTTAACACCCACATGAGAATACGTGGGGACTACCCAGTACCGCCGCTCAAGAGGAGCAGCCAATGCCGGCGCAGTAGTGGTAGCATGGTCCAGGGCCATTGAGACCAGCTTGCCATCGCCTTCTGCACTTCTGGTAATTCAGATCAGCCCAAAGCTGACTCGAAGAACCATGCATTAGAGGATAGGTAACTTGCATAGCCGTCCTAGTGGCATGTCGCAGATATGCGGCGGCAGGAGTAGAGGAGGTTGCAACAGAACCCAGCAACGCGGGTAAACGCTGAACCTCCACTACATGGCTACGCTACCTTATTGCAACCACCCCTCGGCCACATCTGGCCACAAGGGGAAGCATTCACATGCATGCACCATGCCTTCTCCCTGGAGTGCCGAGGAGACCGCATCCTCTTACAGGTCACTTATATCTGCAATCTACAATTGTGGCGTTTTGCCGCTGCATTAGCGGTTGCCTTCTTTTCATTACCCTGGCGAAGAGGTTTGGGGTAATCCGCTATCGACTGCCATACCCTCTCTCGCTTCTTCGAGGTTGTTTCTGTTGAATTGTCCTGATTGGCTAGCTAGCGGGGATGGACCCTCTTTCGGTACCTTGGTAAGGTCGCAATGTTGGCAGCTCACAGTCTCAAAGCGCCGCCGCTGATCTAGAAACACCCCTGTTTCCTAGGACCATGGTCATGACTGTATGTATGTTGGTTCCAAGTTCCAAGCTTGCTGTATACCCCAATTGAGGCTTCTTGTCAAGCTGAAAGATGACAGCATCCGTTGCCTCGAACACAGAGCGGAGAGGTTCATGTTCACTTGGAGGTCAAAGGTCAACGTAAATCATTAAAACTGTTAAACAGCAGTGGCTCTCAACCAGTAAGCTTTGGGGGGAATATTCCTGGATTCAAGATGAGTACCTCTTCTGGGTCTTATTATTTCTGATAGAATGGACGCACCGCTGATGATCCTAAGATGCATGAATATGGATGGATGTTTGGACGTCTAGAGACGGTCTGGCTGGAGGTGGGTCCGGTCAGTCTTTGTCTGGACATTCTCTGTCTGGACATTCTTTGCCTGGACATTCTTGTCTGGTCATTCTTCACCGATATGTAGGATTACCTATTAGAGAGACTTTTTATTCAGCCTCCACTTCACCACCATCGTCCCGTCGGTCGCCAATTTAGCCCTTTCTAATCTCAACGTTCCGGAAACGCTATCAACGCCACCTTGCTCAGGTCAGACTGTTGGACCGCGGATCGATTTAACATGCGGGAGGAAGATACCTCGAGGCGAAGCAAAGCCCGAAAGTACTCTAAAGCTCCTCAATCGCCAAGTTTTCCTATGCTTCCTTTTTCTTCATTCGAAAGTACCACTCATAATCAACCCAATGAAGCCTTTGTCATTTCTCCAGAGGCGGTACCTCTGCTACATTTTGGTCTGCTGTATAGACGGCTCTATTGCATTTGACTCGCGGCGGGACCCTGGAAAGCCTATGCACTAGGCTCTCTTTGAACTAACTAAATGCGCTGGGATGGATGACCTCCGCCATACCGTTACATTAGCCCGTAGATCCCCCGGCTCTGATAAGGTAGTATCGTCCGTCTCATCTCACACTCGGCCTAAGAATTTCCATTGTCTGCCAGTGGCTGCCGGTTTGGTAAGTCGCATGGCCGATGCGCTGGGCCAAATACTGCAGCATAGAAGTTCATCCCAAACAGCACTCGCTAGTTGCATTGCATCCTTCCTCAGGCGACTTTCATCTTGCTTGACTGTGCTGATCATGGAGCCTAGAGCCATTAGCAAGATATAAGTTCTATATATTTGAGTCCCATATCTTCACAACAAATGGACATGCTACCATCCTCAATGTGGCGCTGGCTCTTGTTCAAGGATACTGAATGAACTTCTGCCCGCATAGATACTAGGGGCTAAAATCCCCGGTCTCCAAGTACCTCGATGTGAAGCCACATTTCCCCCCATTTTCAGGCACTACGACTCATCAGCAGATGATTGTGCATACGAACAAGAGACAATCCAGCGTCATCCTTGGACCCCAGACCCCTAGACAAAGCTACTTGGGCCTAACTAACACCATGCTCTTCGTCATCTTTTCAACCTCTAGCCCCCGTGGCTCTGCCTCTACCGGGCATGAACGCGCTAGGCTCTAGAGCGGGGTTATTGATCGGCGGTTGAGATCGGACCGTGGACAGCTCACTTACACCAAGGATACTCCTATAATCAATATTAGGTTGGCCTTGTTGAGGGAGAGTTATCATACAGTAGCCCCATATTGATCGCTTATTTCGCAATGAGCTTTCCGTCAGACCTTGAATAATGAGCGAAAAGTTTCACAAGTATACACCCCAAAATAAACGATCTCGGAGCGGTGTTTCCAAGCTGAACAGGAGCACCACCACTACGGATATGCCCTTAGGTCTAATGCCCCTTTGCCATAATGCTGCTAGCGTTTACAGGTATCTCATCATCGTCGATAAGCGTCTCATCTCACAATGGTGGGTTTCAACCCGAGAGCCCTAGCACTTGCTTGGTCCTGTTCTCGGTCATCCGTGATCTCAGATCGTCTCCCCCATCATCAAGGGACGATGGTCCAACAGAGATCATATTTTAGCGGCGGGTGAAGCCAGTACCCAGTCAGCAAAGTGCGACGATGCGCCAAGAAACATATCGAATTCACCGATGTTGACAGAAATGAGTGCGAAGTTTGATGTTCAGTCTCTCGGAATCATGCAAGCAGGCGCACCCATTTGTGACTCCGGATACTATCACTACAAGCCCGCTCCTCGAACCTGCAGGTGGGAATTACCTGTTCACATGCGGGCGCCTTGTCTACCATCTGGGTCCTGGCAGCTCGAATAATACAATGGACCAAGCGTCACTCTCCTGCATGGGGTGCTGAGAGTGTCGCCATGCAAATGACCTCTTGAATGGCATCTTGCGTATGCCTCATGCTGCATTGCTCCATTTGTGTCAGGAAAGGAAGCAGACATGTAAAGACCTATCTATACAAGAATGTATGGTAGGGATGTAAACCGAATGAGCCCGGAGCTTTCGATATGATACTAAAGATAACAGTTGTTAATGGAGATGACGGAGAGGTCAAAGGGGAGAACAAAACTACGGGTTATCTGCGCCCACACCCACATCCAGTATCCACGGCCCAAACACTGCTTGCCAAGAATCATCCCGACATCTGACAGGGCTGGACGGACTGGAGACGGAGCAACAAGGTTTGAGATTACTGTACTACAGAGTCTCGATTAAGCTTCAATTCTCAGTGAAAACCACTCCGATATGAGCATGGATATGGCATGATCTGTCCTGTGACGGTTGCGTGGATTTGTTTAGCGTTGCTAGCGGATTTACCTATTTTAGGTGATGATATATATCGTCACCAAAATATGGGATAGTCTGATTTCTGATCACAAAGCATCAAGGATACTTCTTTTGGGTGGTAGTATGGAGTCTGTGTGCTTGACGGCAATAGTCCTGCGAAGTCTAACACTACGACGCAGGTCTAGTGCTCAAATGAGTTCAACTTTCTTTCTTGGTCAACACCCTAGGGCGGTACGCGCCATCTTACATGCGTTGCCGCTGATCTAGAAATGAGCTAGAAGCACGGGCATGAACGGCGCCAGCCACGATTGGGGCACCATCCGTCAGACGCAGCATATTCATTGATTTAACTGGTAGTCAGTCCCTGGGATCCCGTTCCTTGCGTCAGACCGCTGGCCTGGGTATCCGTAATCTGTAGATATACCGAGAAGGTTCGTGTTGTTGCGAGTCAGACAGTACCTAGTCTCTTTCCACAACGTGCACTGTCTCTGTTCATCTAAGCCCCTTGGTCACTCCACAAACACCTGACGCTATTGGTTCCCCATTTGATGAGAGGTCTTGTGCTGTTCCTCATGTAAACTTCCCGTTTTAGAGATACAAAGTTCGAGACAAGGTAAGCAAGAACGGAAGCTTTGCGTTGCAGGCCTCAAAGACTGTATCCTTCGACCAGGTCTATCCTGGTACGTCTCCCTGTTTAGTCTCTTCTGACGACTCCTGCGTAATTGGCACAAGACGTACCGATGTTTGGGATCAGAAGCCCAAGGCTATCTTCAGTCACTCAATGACCTTGGTAGGCATCGAAATGCGAGTTTTGCGTATAATACTAAAGGCGCTATTAAGACAGCAACGCATCTTAATGACGAGAACCATCAAGATTTGTGATAGAAAAAAGAAAGGACCCAGTCACTCAACAAAATCCTCCGATAATCCATGTTGCAGCCTTGGATCTGCAGATCATCGTTCTGGAATTGACAGGGGTTCAATAGAGTTGGCCGAGTGTTGGGGGGGTTGCTTGTCGCGAACTCAGCTACCGAGAACCGAAAAACAAAAGACGGCAGAAGACAAAACAACAAAAATTACCAATGCGCGCGGAGACGGGGACGGTCATCCGATGATTGTGATTCCAGAATCATAGTTTCCAGCTAACCTCAACTCCCATCATGGGTGATTAGGGGTACTCAGCTGAGGCATACTGTTCTGAGTTAAGGGAAGCTTCGAGAAAAAGCTGTAGAAAAAGTCCAAAAGTTAATTCCGCTACTGGTACTACAAATTCATTGGATTCTGTCTTTTTGGTGTCAGCAAACTATCTATGAACAAAGATGTGTTAGTGTGCCTAAAGGCATTCACATAGCAATATGCTCGAAGATGAAAAGAATTATGCATTAGGTCTCACAGAAAGCTGAGGTACTCATCAACGAAGTTAATAATCTGCCATTATCACTATCCAAGCTCCCCTCAATACATAATGGGTTCTGCATTTCTTGCTACTTTGAGCCCCAGATGACCTTGTTCTTTTTGGGAATAGCACAGAAAGTCTAACTCTATGACGCACTCCCATCTTAGTTTATGTTATTGCTCTGGGGATTGGGTCCAGGCTTGATCTTATGTCGAGTACTGCAGACTGTGCTTCCAAGTTAACTTCGGGTATAAGGTCGACGAGAATGAGATTAGTTGACCATTAACAATGTTAGCTTGTACAAGTCTCGGCGATGGGAAGTCTACCAACACCTCTACCCGTATGTATTCCTAGCATTGGACTACTTGTCACTGCCTTGCGTGGCAGGGGTATCAGACGGCGCGTCGTTGACATTGGAGTTGTCTTGCGTGTCGGATGCAGCAACTGAATCGATGTTATGCCACGGCATATCTTTATGACCCTCTCGCAGCCAGTTCCTCATCTGCTCTGAGGACGAAGCGGGTTGCTGTTTAGTGTCAGGCGAGGGATCTTCGCGAGGAACTTTGATGTAGTGCGAGCTTGACATGATGAAGGGGTACTTTGTGATGATATACTGGTGACGATGTGCTTCAATTTGTCTATGGACTACAGACCTGAAATAAATATTGAGGGAATGAATTCTTTTATACTCAACTTATATTGAGACTACTGATGATGAATACTGCTGTCTTGTTCGCTGATTCTACCTACGTTTGATGAAGAGTTGAGAATCGCAAGCCGTTCCTACATTTTGGGGGGGCAGTTTGGTTCTGGGCGAACCACCTTGAGAACAAGCTGGAGATGCCGGCGTCAGCTTTGGCTCGTTTATGCCAGGGCTGTGTGCGAACCACACGGTTTCAGCCCACACCTAGGCCAGGGCGAACCATTTGCGAACCATTTGCGAACCATGGCGAACCATGGCGAACCAGCCGCCACAGAACAAGGCAGTTGTATATAAATAGGGGTGCCCTCTTCCTCTCATTCTGTAAAACCCCGCTCCTTTTCACAAATCGCCTTGTACATGTGAGCTTTCTGACCAAGTCTTAACTACAATTATTTACAAGTTTGGGATAACTAACAGTCTTTAGAGCATCGTTGCGCCTCTATTTATTGTGTTTTATTGCATTTTTCGAGAGCGACAATCTTTCACGAAAGGATGAGCTTTAAGATCAAGGTATCTTAAAGTTTGCATTTAGGCAGTTCTACAGGCCAGTGCCATGTTGAGCGGTGTGGTAAAACGACCTTTCGAGCCATCGAATTTAAACACCAAGATTCTCATCCGGGCTTATGCCATCCCCACGAGCGGGTCTCATTAATTGCATCCTTCCAACCACGTTGCGCCTCCTTCATTTTGGACTCAGTTTCCGTCCTTCGCTCGGTCTAGGTTCTAAGGGTTATGGAAAGTCGCAAGAATGCCCTTCTAATTACCTTGGTTTTACGAGAAGTACTTCGCCTCCTGGGGACCATGAACAGTCCTTTGCCTTCCTGGAATGATAACGAGAAATACTTTGCCTCCTGGGGACCATGAACAGTCCTTTGCCTTCCTGGAATTACGGGAAATGGTCCGCCTTATGGAAATTATGAAAAGTCATTTGCCTTTCCTGGAGTCATGGAAAACAGTCTGCCTCGCTGGCAGTATGGGAAATAATTTGCTTTTCCGGAACAGTTTTCTGCCTTATTCGCATCTATGAGACCACGCTTAATATGCGGGGTTGATCCAGTGACTATTTCCTCAATTGGGCTAGAGGGATAGCTTCAATAAAGGCAACCTCGCATATTATGAGGCTCCCAGCACAAGGCAACTTTAACTTATGAAATGATAAAGGCAGACTCTTTGATTTATATATTATACGGCCGCCTTGCACACAAAACGGACGGCCTCTACATGCGTCACGCACTCTTATCCCATCCTCCCCATGGCACAAAGCCTCAATTTAGGTCCCGAAGCCTGAAATCGATTCTGACTGGGATATACGCCCCGAGGAACGGGTGAATGACCCTTCTCCAGTATCACCTGGCGCAATATCGCACATTGCCGACACCTCAGTCTCTTTTTCTCCATACGAGGATAATGCTGGAGGACCCGATCTTCCCGACGTTCGGGGATCCCTGGGCCCATTTTAAAATAAGCCAACAATCACAGTCTTCTTCCTTCTTCCTTATCCCTTACGAGTTCCTCGTCTCCCTATAGCATGACCTAATCCGCTGCTGATCTTGACGCATATCCTATCTGGGTACATGGTCGAGCTACTTATCTTCCAAGATGTTATTCAGGTAGCGGCGAATAAAGTCGAGATTTGGTCGTGTATTAGCCTCTATAGGGATATGGTCGAGCCCGAGGCTCTTCACCCTGTCTGTCGCAAGCTGTCTCTTGACATTGACGATCTCTTTATCGGCCTACCCTTAGACTATACAACCAATAAGATGAAGTGCATGTTGAAACTGTTCTTCTGACCCGGCACTGTTAGCGGTATCTGCGATAGCGAACCCCCATTGTCCAGGTCTGTATGCACCATTTGAGGTGCTCCAAGTTGTGGACAACGTTGCGATGGCATTGGGGATCTTCTGAGAAGCGTGCCAGTTGATACTCAGGACGGTGCCTGGCTACAAACAGTGCGAAGCTATTATGATAGCTGGATTATCTCTAAGGAGGGCTCTTCAAACGCTGGCGATATGCGATATGCAGCATGCATCATGCTAGATACCGAGATATTAGCTCAACTTATGCCGGTGCCCAAAGACCTCTCCTGCAACACAACCGAGCACTTCAGATCACCATATTGGGTTAATATGGTGGAAGCGAAGCCCAACATCAACACCAACACCAAAGAAGCGTTCCGCGTTGCGCTCTTTGGTGAATTCGATCTGCTGCACTATTGGTTTGACTGAAACATTACAAGATTTTTGGTAACTCGCCGAAAGAAAGGTGCTGATGCTGGGGTCCTTTGTTATGGCCCTACGCCGTTCGAATGCCCGCCCGAGATGGAGAAATACGATGAGGCCTTTCGTAAATATATGCATGGGGAATGGGATGCGATCCTACCTGTAGGTACTTGGGAATGACAATACACCGTGTTATGCGATTGGCTGAAATTGTAAGTTGCCGACCATGAATGGCTAGTGGGAGACGGTCCAGACTTAGATCCACTTCCTAAGACTGACAGCGTCGAAGACACTACCTTGCCCATGAGAAAGATGGCCCCTTGGGCAAGATCCCAGTTCTTGAGTGAATATCAAGCAGAAATGCGGTGATTTGGAGCATCAGGATCGGTAGGTAGCCTTGGGGTAGAGGAAGTCAACATTCTGCCTCCATACTAGAGGTAGTACTGATGATCCACAAGCCGACCTGAGAATCTTCTATGTGGTCACAAACGATGGGCGGGCACAATGCTTCTAGTGATATAATCAAGCAGAGAGCATGCCTAGAATCTATCATGGTGGTCCCAAGAATACTGCAAAATGAATAATTCACCCGGGGCTTCTCACACATAATGGACAAACACAGCGTCGTCAAAACATTCAGACACATAAAACTGGTTCAATTGACCCCATTCATATCGTGTATCTATTTTCCACGGGCCTTCCTTCATATTTCTTGCATTCACGGGCATGAAGATCAAACTTCGTATAGAGTATCATCACCCTCATTTCTCCTTCGGCGGCGTCGCATTATCTTCATCCTTCTCGCCATGCCTCCCATCCCCCCAGAACTTCTTATCAACCTTATCCCCCGGCGCAACATTCCCCCGATCATGTTTCTTATCAAAGTCCCTGTTATGCTCCTCAACCTCCTTCTTCTGCTCCTCCGTCAATTCATCAGTCTGGTTCCCCGGAATACTCTGGTTCGACACTTTAGGCTGAGGAGGTGCATTCTTAGAACTCGCATCTAGTGCTTCGCCGCCGCCTGTACGTCCTTTGGCATCGCCCTCTGCGAGACCGTCGACGAAACTTCCGTTGCTGTCTTTGACTTCGTCTTGATACAGAATGCGTGCGGCGTGGAAGGGACGGAGGGGGATGCGCGGGGCAAGACGGATTGTTGGGCGGAAAGTAGTTAGGAAGCGCATTTTGACAATTGATGAATTTGTGATGTTATTGATTGGGGAGTTTAGTTTCGTTGTGTTGATGGTTTGTTTATTGCAAGTTGAGCTTGGGAGCTAGGAGGGAGCTCAAGTTAAGCTCCTCTACGATATGGTGACGTCAAGAAGAATGACATCACAACGCATACCTTACTTGAGAAACGAAAGTCACAAGACGCATTGAGCCGAGGACAAAGAATGGCGACATATCGATTGTGACACAGGATGAATTGGTGGCGTATCATCCGTAGAGGTGCAAGTACATTATTTAACGTTGCATTCAACGCTGTGGTTCATAGAAGCTCCACAAGCCCACATCCCCGGATTTTCGTATCGCTCCCTTGGGGCTCGAAACTATATGCTGCGTCAATCTGTTGTACAACACTATACGATACCTAACTTTAAATAATTGAGCGATAGTATCGTGGGATCACAGTGGCGGCTATGAAGTAATGTAGGAATTGAAGTCGTGGCCCTGAAATGAAGAGGTTCGTGAAGGCGATCGAACTTGAGGCTAAGTTGGTGTTATGAGTATTACCCTGAAGCTGTCCCAATACTCAAGCTTTTTTTTTAAATCTACTACGTCAACCACGTTTGGACATAATCATGACAAACTATTTATTCGCATTTCGTGACAAGGCCATTGGGAAGTTTTATTATAAAAAAAAGCAATGGAATAAGGTATCTCTAGGCTCTATACTACGCAAAGGGCTAACACTGAACCAAAATTTTACGCATCATCCCAAACTCCCAGGCCACGACAACTTTCCCAAACAAATTACTCCGATCCAGATACTTGCAAAAATTCCTCCTATCTTACAACCGATCCAAAGTCACCTACCCATAACGCGGGGGCTCAGTATCATAGTGCCCAACCTCTCTAGTCGGTTCATACCGGGTATTCAACTCAACATCACTGTCGCTGCGATCGTCCAACAACTGCTTTCCCTTTCGTCCCCTAACCTTGTTCTTGATAAATGAGAACAACCCAGGCATATCGGAATTGGGACCTGCCATGATCCTTCCCGGGTGAACAACATTGAACGCCAAGAGCGCTAAAAACATGGGCGCTGCTTCAAGGATATAGAAATACACCTCATGTGTGACGAGCGCGTTGTCTTGACCCATTCCACCAGAGAACTCAATGAGTCGGTAAATAATGCGCACGGAGATCATGGCGAGCGAGAAGTACAGCGTACAGAGGAGCATACCCCAGTCAGATGTAACGAAGGCTTTGATGCCTTGGTGTTGGCGCTCAATCGTGTGCATCTTCTTCTGAAAGAGGATGCAAAGGACGACAAAGATGACAATGAAGAACTCTTGGAGACCAATACCGCCCATGTAGATGTGTACAGCTTTCATCTGCTCGTCAGGTGGTGAACCAGGTCCAGACATACTTCCGCCGATAAGCTGAACGATAAATGATAGAATATCCAAGCCAACGAAAACAGCTGCCAGAGTAGCAGCCGGCATGCGAAGGAGGGACTGAGAGGGTATGAAGTAGTAGACCATACGACCAAGAGTCATGTATGCGTACGCATTAACCCCTGCTATTATTAGTGATGCAACACCAGGGGAGTGGGTTTGACATACAAATTGGCGCGAGCAGAATAAAAATGTTAAACGTCAAAAGTACACCAGTGCTTTGCTGATGTTTCGTGCTTATCGCTCGGAAGGTGAACGCCATTGTTTCCCAGATCCCCGCCATGATAATAACCCAACACCATGTCTACACCAGTCAGCTTACATCCCAATCTAACACACAACAAAAGTAAAACGTACGGACCTTTTTATACCGAGCGGCTTGCCAAATATGCACGCCTGTAAGGGCTGCAAAGAGTAAAGCGAATACCACAGCTGCTGCAAAGCTGGGGTAATAGTTCCAGTGGGCGTTGCATGTTCCAGGGGGAAGATATCCGTTCTCATCGGGTTCGAGAGTTTGGACACATGTTGGGACGACGATTGAGATTGTTTTGGCGGGGATGGTAACGTATTTATCTGTTGTACCGCCAATAGTAGCGATGTTTTTCGTAGTTGTGAACCATCCGTCTGGCGCAGCTGTCTCTGTCGCAGTGGCACGAGCTACAAGGGTAACATCGTGGCTTTGTGTCTGTGCAGGGATTGCTGAAGCCAAAGCAGATCCCGAAAGGAGATAAAGAATAAGAGCTCCAAGATTAGAATGCATATTGAAGGTTTACACTGAGAATGATACAGCTCCATAATGAGATAGGATTTGGGGGCCTTATAAGTATATTTTCTGTTTCTAAAATTGAGGTTGTTTGCAATGCCTCATTGAGTCCGACATGTTGAAATGCGAGATGGATGGCATGCTCGCCAAAGAGTGCGCAGTCAAATGCGAGCTGGCCAATCGCGTAATTTGATCGGAAACTAGGATCCACTGCTCAGCCTTAAGGGAAGGGGTGCTAGACTGGATTTGGCTAGCTCACAGGGGCTGTCTTGCAGGCTGGATTCAGTAGAACGCTAAACCTAATTCGAGAGGTCGAAATAGGCAAAAGAGCATCAAGATGTGAGAATAATACTGCTATCATAAGGAATCCAGCTAAACCAAGATAACTGGTGCGTGAAACACTCGCTTACCTTAATGTTATTGAAAGTTCCTTTCTAATGGTAGGCTCGAGGAGAAAGAAACCGATCTTAAAATCATGCATTCTGAGGCTTTGTGACTTCGGCGTATCTATTATCCGGCGGGGTATGTCATGGTGGGGGGATTCTTCCTGCATGCCATCTCCGTGTTTTTCTCCAACAGCGATAACAACGCAACCACCGAGAACAGTCGCCCTGATCTTTAACATGGCCATCACGATCATTCTTGGTTCCCAATGGGGTATGTACGCGTTATTCTAGCTTTCCATTGTTATGCGGACTCTGCTAGTTCAAGATTCCGCAGGCAATGGCATTGATGTTCCTTGATGCGCTAATACTTCGTGTTCGACAGGAGATGAGGGCGTACGTTTTTCTTCACAGCTTGAGGCAATTGGGAGACACAATTCTGACATTGTTGATGGTATAGAAGGGAAAGCTGACCGATATCCTCGCCCCGGAGGCTAAACTCTGCGCTCGCGCTGCTGTGAGTCATAGCACAATCGACCGAGGCGAACATTTATTAAACGAAGATTAGGGAGGTCATAACGCAGGGCACTCTATCGTGTGAGTTGGACATGTTTTCCGGCGCAAAGCCGTTTCTTATCAATGGATAATTAACTCCAACAGTGCCAATGGAGTTTCGTACAGGTAACAAACAGACGCTCGAGCTATGAGTTGTTTGACGACTGATCGACTGCTAGCTTCCACTTGCTTCCTTCCGGACTCATCAACCCGAAATGGTATTATCAACCCATTACCTGAAACGCAGCCAGCGATCGAGTCAATTGACATATAACAGCATGAACTTCATCGGCTCCGGAGTAGTCTTTAACGTGCCGCAATTCTTCAAAGAGCTACAAGATCTATCGGACAAGGGACTAGAGGCAGTCCACGATAGAATTCGTGTGTCTGACCGAGTGCACATCGACCTACAGCTGCATATCGCAGCTGATGGACTAGAGGAACAGGAGCTCGGAGGTTGGTTACGGGTCTTGTGGCACATGCAACTGAACATAGCTAACACTGACTAGAGGGCAAGATCGGAACAACTGGGCGCGGTTTGTTTGGGTACATGTCTAATATCTGACTTCCTATTAACCCCTTGCAGGTATCGGACCCTCTTATAGCTGCAAGGCTGCGGTACGGCGACACCTAAAACTACGTTGTGGAATGCTTGCTAAACCCCAATAGCGAAGTGGCATTAGACTGGCTGATGTTTTCAACCCCAAGCTATTCGAGCAGAAACTTCGACGTTTGGCCGACGGTTACCGAAAGCGCTACGGAGATCTCTTCAAGTACGACGTCGAAGAGGAGCTTGCCCAATTCAAGGAGTACCGAGACAAGCTGCGCAAATATTCTGTTGACGGAGTATCCTTTATGAAGTCAGCGCAGAAGAGCAACACTCCCATTCTGATCGAGGGAGCGAATGTAAGAATTTTGGTCTGAGTTTGGTGATGCAATACTGACTAGGTGGGGTCGGGCAACCGCGCTGGTGGTCTCATACCCCCTCCTTTGCTTGTGGACAAACCTCGGCGGGTCGAGGTTGTCTCTCGACAAAGGTTCTGAGCTTTTACTGGAGTCATTTCGCCAGGTGAAATAGCCAGCACAAGCAAGGTCCTTTGCAAGGGAAGGGTATGAGATCCGAAGCCGGGGGCTCATCCCCGTTTATCTAGGCCCTCATGCTCGATCTTGACTATGGTTCATATCCTGTGAGTTTCCATATCCCAGCTCCTATGCTGGATCACCATAGCTGACGAAGCAGTACGTAACATCGTCCAACACTTCGCTCGCCGGTATTATCGGCGGACTTACCTTGGATCCCACGAAGATCACAGAGATCATCGGAGTCGTCAAGGCTTACACGACGAGAGTGGGCTCGGGAGCTTTCAAGACCGAAGATACGGGAGAGTGAGTTTCCCATTGTTCAGTAATGCGAATATGAGGCTGATTCAATGCAGGGTCGGAACCAAGCTCCAAGAGATTGGAAGAGAATGGGTGAGACACTATCAATACTTTATTGAATCACTTAATCTAACGTGCCAAGGGAACATCAACTGGTCGCAGACGTCGATGCGGATGGTAAGCAGGGCCACGTTCATTTAGAGACTCGCTAACACTATGCAGGCTCGATTTGGTGGTTCTGAAGTACTCAAATGACATCAATAACTACACCGCTCTGAACCTGACAAAGGCAAGTACTTGCTATGTACCACCTGTTCCGTCACGATGCTAACTGACGCCTCTTAGCTTGATGTTCTGGACACCTTTGAGACAATCCGCGTCGCAACAGCCTACAAGATCGATGGCAAGGTAAGCATTCTACGCTTTCCTCCTCATGGTGAGACACTAATGTTATTGCAGGAAATCGATTCATACCCAGCTGATCTGGATATCTTGGATCAATGCGAGGTTGTGTACAAGGATTTCCCGGGATGGCAAACACCTACGACAAATGCGAAGTCCTTCGAGGATCTACCAAAAGAAGCGCGTGCATACGTTGAGGTACAGTCACCACTATTTTAAGAACGACTTGTACTGACGAATTGTATAGTTCATTGAGGAATATGTCGGAGTCAAGGTATGCCGCCCCCCACATCGGTAAAGGTAATTTCCTAACGTCCATCTTCTAGATCAAGTACATTGGCACCGGCCCCGATCGCGAGGCAATGATCAAGCGCGTTTAAGAGATCTATGCAAGATGTTAGAATGAAAAGGGCCACTGTTGGCAGCAATACGTTATTCTATCGAAAACCAGGGATCTATAATAACAGCCCTACCAACGCAGATTCGCTCACATCCAAAAAGTCTGCCCGCTATCCGAGACCAAGTGCTTGTTCCTAACGTACTCCTTCCTGAACATCACTCCCCCCTCCGGATGCCCCATAAGGAAATACACCGTCTCCGCGTTCTTATCCCATATAACCGACTCTGCTTCCGGTCCCTCTCTGAAGATGAAGCCCCTTACTCTGTTCTCATCAGGCGGTAACCTCTCATCGTGAAGATCATAATCCTCGGACAAATCAATGTCGTGCTCAACTTCGATAATACGCCGTGACATGTCGTACAGTAGCGTTGCGTTCCACAAAGCTTCTTGTTGGCTTGACAGCCGACGCATGAGGGATAGTGCTTCCACCCTGAGAGCGAGATATCGACATTTGAAGATCGTGAAATGAAGCATAGGATTAAACCCAGTGTCAAACATGAACTTCCCAGGCGTGACATGTTGCGCTTCAAGGTTCTCCGCCGCCTTTCGCGCGCAGTCCACAATAGTGATGAAGTCCTCCTTCATCCCATCATACCCCATCTCTCCCCTTCTAAAACAATTCACAATCCAAATCTTCATAAGTCTATGCCTCGTAATAACCGCCAACGTCGGTGTATCCTCCCTCTCCGCAAAACCTCGTCTGCTGCGAAATCTCTCAAACGCAAACTCCCACGCTTCGAGATCCTGTTTCGCTTCTGCTTGTTCATCAAACATCCACTCCTGCAGGGGCTCATCGGTAACTTCCAACCGATATGGATTTCCATCGCGAACGAGCCTTATAACTCTTATACATAAATGTTCCAGAGCGTTCTGTGCCTCGCTTATGGTGTAAAACACAGGATTCTTTAAATCTGCGCCCACATCACCTAGAAGAAGCGGAAACTCCACGGCTTCGTCAATAAAGAATAATGGAAATACACTCATCTGCGCAAAAGTATTCGAGAGGCGCGATTTATGACCTGCGGAGTTAAGGAGCTGCACACCATGGCTCGCATGCGTAACCGCCGCTTCTTGGTTCCCTCGCAGAAACTCAATGCATATAAACAACGTACACACCAACAAGACCGTATCAACACACGGTTTCGTATCACGTGTGAGAATACTAATAGCTTTGTTATAGTGCATAATCGCAAATTCATCAGCCACACTCTCCTTCGAAGGTTCAAAGCTTTCAAATAGCGAACTTATCGCCAATACAGCATGACGCGCCGCCGGTTCAGACTGCGCCATTTGGACGACGAAATACGTCCAGAAGGATCCATCGAATGGACCGGAGAGTACGGGAGCGACCACGTGATGGAAAAATGATAAGCTGCGGACTTCTTTTGTGTTGGTTATAGGCAGAGTTTGGGGCTTGGTGCGTAGGAGGGAAGTCCATGAGAATGAGCCGGGTGGTGGAGCGATGTAGCCTGTGCATGTGCGGCCTGTTGTCAAGCAGCGTTTGCAGCGTGGCCACGTCTCATCACATTTCACCTTGCGGGCTCTTTGAGACCACTAGTCAACTTATAGAACATGTTTAGTGAGAGAAGGTATTACGTACTTGCATGTTTTACAGCCCGTTCTGACTTTTTGTATCCCTGTGCGCGCCATTTATTCTTATCTCGGGGAAAGTGGAGGAGGGAGGGTAAGATGAAGGGGGATGCGATGATAAATATGCAGAGGACAAGTTGAGCGTTGGTGTTGAAGGATTGAGGCGTAGTTCATCACGGTAACTAACGGTGCGGGGATAGTGCAGGGGTACCCCTTTCAGCACACCTCAACCAATAACAACTTCCATCTTCAAGAATTGAATCCTACCATGACTTCATCTACTCACAAGCTAAAGAACTATACATATTCCCATGCCCAGATAAATAACCCTTCTTATAATCCTCCCCCTCATCTTCCCCAGGCCTCGCAACTCTATCCTCGATAGCCCACGCGACCCTCTCCGCACCGACCTGCGCGCCTCCTAGATTCGGCGCCGCAGGGCCAAGACGCAGTGCAGCGAGTCTTCCCATCATGAACAGCGGAACTTCATCGTTCCACATTAAATCGTTGTTAATACAGGGAAAGCCACCGCGCCCTTCTATGGGGTATTTCTCTAGGATTGTTTGTAGGTAAGGAAGTGAGGAGAAGTCTGTTTGGATGCCTGTTGCGAAGTACATGTAGTCCATGGCTGGCATGTCGATGGGTGGACTGGTCTGAACACTCCATGTATCATTCTCAGCGTCGAATTGCGCATCGACGAGACTTGTCTCTGTGAAGAGTTCGAGTTTCTTCGACAAGAGATGTTTCTTGACTCGTTTGTGGAAAACAGGCGTGATGCTTCCTCCACCTCTGGCCTCCTTGATCATCTCAATCCTCTCATCGTCTGAATCAGCGTAGTAGAACTGCGCTTGCTTCGCATTCTTAAACTTTCCCATCCACTCAAGCCCAACGTCAAAATGCTTGATGCGTAGCGGTCCACGCATGACATGCCAGACCTTGGTGACGCCTTTTCGAATAGCAAGATCCGTTAATTGCGCAGATGTAAGGCCACCACCAACGACAAGAATGTTCGTCGTTTTCTTCTCAGCGATTCTAGTTTTGACGATAGGGTCTGTGAACTCAGTGATGTGCATGCTGTGACATGTCTGAGGGAGCTTTCCATCGGGCATAGAAGGAATATGGGGGATTTTGGCAACGTTTGCTGGACCGACTGCCAACACTACTGTGCGAGCATATCGACGGACTTTGTTGGAAGTAACTGTGAAGAGCTTCTCGCCGTCGATGGATATACCCTTTACTTCATCGTAGTCTAGATGCTGGAGGGCTTCTTTTCGGATCATGTTTGAGCTGAGATTATACCGCGCCGCGACTTTTTCGCAGTGGTCGCAGAAGAGAGATGTTGAGGGGTTGTAGTAGTCATTACGCTCTCTGACGTTGATGTCCACACGAGCTTCTTGTCTACACCTTGTCAGTTCAACAGTCTTCGACAAAGGGATGGGGGGAGAGGGGCTACCTTCGACCACAAGCTCGCTGTCCACTCTTCTTCCTCCCATGTTTACTAACCTCCTTGCCCACACAATTCCTAATCTCCACAAGTTCATCCGCTCTATCATTAGCATACGCATGCGCGAGCAGCGCATCCCGATCGAGGGGATCAACATGCCAGAGCATCGGACTTCTCAGATGCGAGATATCGTACATCTTGAACAACCTGTTCCAGCGGCCCATCCATGTATCGCTATCTGCATCAAGAACCAACATTTTATACTGCGGTTTTGCAGCGTGCTTGGGAGGAGAGATTTTACCGCTGCGGACGTGCTTCAGGGGCATTTTGTTGCCGTACTTGGAGATCCAGTGGAAGCGACGGTGCTCTTCGTCGGTGAAGAGCGCGGCGGGGGTGTGTTCGTGGAGACGGGCTGATATGGCGAGACCGCAGGGGCCGCCGCCTATGACGAGGACGTCGTAGATCTCTTCTTCCACTTGGATCGAAGACATGGTGATGGCGATAGAAGTGCAAGTCAAGTCAGGGGTCCGGGGAAGAGGCTGGTTTATATAGTGACGAGTTCAACCCTCGACCGCGAGCCCTCATGGGGTATCTCATGAGAATTGAGAACCCTTGTGGTCATTCTGAAAGCCATATTGTGTATAGCTTCATTGACTCGTGGTGTTGAGGGCGTACCCTGATGGACATTGCATCATGAGGACATCAAGGTCCCTGGGAAAGTCAGGGTCCACTAGCTCATCATGACAACCCCAGAAAGACGATGCTCATGATGATTCATGCGGAAACCAAAAACAAAGCCATAATTAGGGGCTTATAAAGTTAAAGAAGAAGAATGCCCAGACAACTTGGCGCCATGGCAGACTTGGCAATAGCAGTGAAGGAACTGGATATTGTCACCATTTTATAACCGAGTTTAAGAAGGTTTGATCATAAGTATGTCTATTGCTTCTATGTACACATTTATCGTTTCAAATCGCTTATGCCTATGCTCATGCTCATCCTATCCCATCATAAATGTGAAGGCATCTCGACCTATCTCACCCCGCCAAGTCCACAACCAAGCCCATTCGCAATCTATGCCATAAGCCAAGCTCCAACATCATAATCTACGCCTATATCGTACAAATCCCCCTCCTCTCCCCCCTCCCGCTCCCATCCTCTCACCACCTAATGATTCCACTCCGAATCCAGCGCATGTCCCAAAGGTCCACTCGCCGCATAATCCGTCGTCACAAACGCCCTATCCACAACCCCCAACCCCTCCGCACAATACTGCAGCGTCTCCGCGATATCATGCGATCTATTCAACGGCGTCTTCTCATCCAGCAACACGTCAAACTCAACCCAGACTCCATCTCCCGCGTGATACGCCGTGACGTTCTTGAAACCCGCTACTACCGGCGCGAAGCGATAGGCGAGGTAGATTAGCTTCTTGAGCGTGTGGTCGTCTGCTGCTTCGCCTGAGAGCCGGACAACATTCTCGAAACATGTGTGGCCCCAGTCGTAGATGATAAAGAGGGAGAGCAACCCAGCGCCGACGGGGTCGAGCCACCATACGTTGGCGCGGTATCCGATCAGTGGAAAGAGAAGCGAAAGCGTGTTGAAAATAACATCCGTTTTGCAATCCTGCACAAGAGCTTGTACCTGACTTGACTTGATAGGTCGACATCCCAGCCCAATAGCTCCCTTGAGAACAATCGTCGCTAGCAACGACGCGATAGCAGCCCAGCTCAGAATCTCAGCCTCAGAGTGCTTCAGCAATCTCGAGAACGACTCCTGCAGAATCTGCAGAAACGAAATGACCATGATGATCGAAAACACCAGAATACCCAGCGGTTCCAAACGTCTTCGTCCTACGGGAAATCGTCGCTGCATCGCCTGCAACCGCCACAAGACAAGTCTACTCGTCGACCACACGATAAGCGTACACAGTAAATCCAGCGCTGAATCCACAAGCGACGCAACGAGCGATAGTGACCCCGTCGTAAACACAGCAAAAGCTTTCCCCGCCAAAAGAAGAATATTAGCTATCACGTTGATATTGATAGCCAAATTCGCCTTTCTTGCAGCTTTCCTCCTCTTCTCCTTCTCCTCCTCAGGCAACAACTCTCCAATCCTGCCCTCCACGCGCTGAATTCCTCCACATCTCTCCTGATCACCATCATGATCCGGATCCGGATTCATGCTCTCTAGTACATCATCCGCTATCGCCATCACCACAGCGTCTACCTCGAGCCAATCATTAAGCCGCTCGTTTTGCTGCTCGTAAAAGGCGCGGAGTTTTTTATTCTTCATCGCTTTGAGCTCCTCTTCTGATTTTCTGTATTTCTCGAGCCCTTGACGATCGATGCCGTGGAGTAGTGCACGTTTAATCTCCCCGCGGCGTGCATCTTCGAGAGCTGTGCGCGCTGCATCTTGGAATTGCATTATACGCGGTTTAGGACGTGATTTCTGGTTGGGGTCGTAGTAAGAGTATCGACCTGTTTCGAGATCGCGAGGGTGTTCATCATGGTGTGCTTCGTCACCGACGTGACGGCCGCGATGGCGAGCGCCTTCATTATTCCACTGACGTTTTCCCACCATTTCAGAAGTGTTATCTTAAACAAACCGAGGTACGAAGAGATAATATGAAGATACAGATACAGAAGGTGATCGAAAGACGGGAGCTGCTTTTTGTTTATTCCCGGGCCTTGAGAGCTACCCTTGTCCAACATGTAACATGACATGACGTAGGTGACGTAAAAATCCGGGGTTTCAGAGGCACGCGACGGCGACAGGTTCAGGAACGAGAGTGAGCTCCACTGAATCGGAGAAATAACAAGGAAATAGTTGCATTTCTTTTTCTATTTTTATGTTCCGCCCAGCTTGTTCTTGTTTGCGACAGTTTTTATTGTGGAAATCGTAGCTGCCAACACGCATGCTTCTGTGCCGTTTGTCCCGATGTCTTGGAATCTCGTCGTCATGGGTAAGCCTGTTACGCCATGATAATTCAGTTTCATCTCGATTTACGGATATACGGCGTTTTTAAGCGACTGTTGATCAGATGGCTTCAGACTGGTTTGGGGATATTTTCATACTAACTATAACATGTTAGTTCCCTTTGCGCATTCATTCATCAACCATAGGTCCAACTGGATGCCAGCCTCTCATATCAGGTTGTGACACGTCACGTAACTCATTGGAAAGAATCGTTGATCAACTTGTCCCGAGCTTGAACGAACCTCTGTTGCTGATCGACGGCCCTGTTTTGGAGGAAGCTTTTACTAATGGGAAATCTATAGATGCATTTACTCAGGCCGACATCGCCAAATCCACTAGAAACGAAGTAGATACTATCAGCACAATCGTCGACGCCAGATGCTTATTGGAAACACCCAAATTTGAACCTCAGAAACTCTACTATAACTTCGACAGCGACTCTTGATCTGGCTTCAACTGCGAAATCTTGATTGGTTTTATTGGGAGTATCGTCACAGACCAACAAGGTATGGATACACACTAATGGTGAATCACGTTTAAAACAAACCTAAAATTATCAAAGCTGCCGGGGATCAACATGAAGAATTACCCTCACTTTGCTAGCCGTGCTACTGTGGTTAGGTTGGTTGAGATTAGTGGTCTCTCACTCGTCTCATCTCGTCTAGTTTCCTCCCCTGTCACAAGAACTACCCAGAGTTTATGTTGCTGGAGATTATGGGATTTTTCTCTCGATGGAGTTTATTTTTAGCAATTGTATTTTACGTCTTTAAGTGCACCTACTTTGTAGATCTGCTCTATAGATCTATTTACAACTGAGGTTAGTAAATTGCACTAGCATGTGCCTTAACTCTTGGTCTACCAGCGCTATATTCGATAGCTCAGGCACCAAATCGATAGTTCGCGATTAGACCGACGATCTACATAGTAAATCAAGGTAAGTTAGATGAAAACAAAAGAAAAGGAGTTTTAACATGATAACTATAAACTTGAACTTAAAATACTGTCTGCGGCCTTTCAAGCCCTTCCTGTTGCACTTCATCCTCACTCTATCGCCTTGACTCTAGCAACACCATGAGATTTTCACACTTGCAGCTTCTGGCGGTCTGCCAATTTGCTTCAGCGTCGCCATGCAAACCCTCGTCTTCGTCAGGCTCCTCTGTCGTACCTACAAGCACTGATATCGAATCCTCGCCAACACTGTCAATGGAAACAACCTCATCTACCACTCTAGACTACACCGTGACTCTTTCAGAGACTGCATCGGCCTCTGGCTCGTCTGAGTCCACCGCTATTGTGTCAACCGAAATTGCTGAGCCAACGACTACAACTGAAGCCACAGCAGGCTCATCAACTTTGACGGATGAAACGATGACCACCAGCACTGCCGCCTCTGACAGCCCTAATACTACTACCGCTGTAGATACGACTGCTGCTGTAGATACGACTGCTGCGGATACTACAACCACAGGTACGACTACCACTGACATCGCTATTCCCATTGTTCCATTACTAAGTTAGCACCATAGACACTACGACTGCAGATCCAACAACCGCAGACACGACCTCAGATGCGCCAACGACTACCACCGCCGCCCCAAGGCCGACCACCTGTGCTGATATGGACAACCCATACATAGCCTCCAATAGTGAGAGTTTTGGCATCTCCTGCAATATCGATGTTTCAACCTATGCTATACTTGACATTTTCTTCACAGAAGCCGACTTCGTCTCTTGTATAGAGACCTGCTCCCGGGATACCAGATGTGTTGCTGCGAACTGGGACCATAACGGCGGTGTCTGTTACACGCTCTCACAAGCTGAAGACCCCTTTGCGAGCAATGTTTTCGACACTGCATTTAAACAAGGTCAATAACTCCTTGGGAACAACTGACCTAAGCCGGGGCTCTATCTCTATCCCCCTCCGACTTCCGTCCCGACAGTCAATCTGGTTCACCGGATCCTCCCCATCTACCAGCGACTTCACCATGGGTTACAGACAATTTTTCGACCCATCATGGATCAATGTCGATAAATCCTGCAATTATCATCCTGGCTCAAGCTTAAAAAGGGTGCAAACTGCGGCTATCGACTCCTGGCATGTCGTTTTGGATCTGGAGCAAGGTTTATCGCGCAAACTGGTGTTTAAGTCTTTTCGTCTGTGACTTGTTCTTAGACGCACTGTCAATTGGTGGCTGTATCTAATATCCAGCTTAAGGGCACATGGAGTCAAGAAAACTTATGACCTCTTTTCTAAATGACACAAATATCTAGGTAAATTTAGGACAGATTTATATCACTTATGTTAGTCAAGTGAATTCAGTACAGACTTAGGGAATCTTTACATAACTTGTTTTGGGCACCATAAGTTTAGGGTCACCAAGGCCAGGTTATAAATAAATCATTCTTAGTATTCTATCTATCGAAACCCATTGACAATAACCCAACCATAAACGCATCGTTACATAAGGATATCACGAGTCCCTTCCCAACGCCGCGCATCATCTATTTCATCTCTTCTAGTAATAAAGTCTTTAATTTCCCATTCGCATAGCGTTCACAAGTCTATGCCGCGCGCCCTCTCGGCGACCGTCGCCTCGGCCGGGACTCTCAGTGTAGGAGTCCTGGCGACGGGCATTGTCATAGTAAGACTCGGTCTCTCCGAGGCCTACCTTTGAGGGACGAGGAGGAGGCGGTGGGGGAGCATGGCCTGGTGCAGATGCCTGTTGCTGAGGATGATAAACTGGCTCCCAGTCACGGTTGGCCTGGTAAGGGCCGCTCTGGTAGGAATCCTGAGTCGGGACGGGAGGTCGGCTTGCTCGCTGTTCCTCGCGTTCAGTACGCTCGTCCCGACTATCGCGGTTTCGTCGGGTGGAGTCGTTACGGCTTGATTGAGGGGCCGGTTGTGCCTGGAGAAGACCGCCTTGAGGTGCACCGTTCTGGGGTACACCATTCTGAGGCGCTCCAACCTGACGACGGCTTACCTCTCGAGGCGTCTGCTCTTCGTCATCCGTTTCTGCATCGTCATCGTCATCCTCGTAGGCTCGCAGTTCGCTTCGCATAGCAAGGCTGGCGCAGATGTTTCTAGCTTCTTCAATGGCCTTCTTCTGCAGTTGGAGAGCCTTGCGGCGCTCACGGGTCTCCTTGTTCTCGGCAGCAATAGCCTCAATGGTGGTATCTGGCATGCGAAGAATCTCAATAGGATTAAACAGTCGCAGCATGCCAAGCAGAAGGTGCCGCTCGACGACCTGAGTAATGACGTTACGTGTAAAGATGCGCGCAGTAAGGTCGTAGTAAATAAGCATCTTCTCCAAGACCTCTTCGGCCTCTGTGTAGGTTCCGCCGTTCTCAGTAGCTTCTGCACGCCACTTTCGAAGACGCTCCTCATACTCGGGGTCGAAAGGCTGGATCTCGAGTTCCATATCGTCGGTGAGACGTCCAAGCTCGGTGTCGGCGCTTTCGACAAGATCCTTCATTCTGAGCTCGAGGAAGTGCATGCGAAGAGGGTCGCGCATGCGCATGGGCCAGACGTGATCAATAACATCCGCGAGAAACTCGTTGCAGATGACACCGACGTTGTCCTTGTATTCTTGTGCAAGCACAGGCCAGTTTCTGGAGTAGTCTTGGAAGAGGATATAAGGGGCTCGAGGGTTGGAATCGAGAGGAAGTTCGTTACCCCGGATCTGTCGGAGAAGAGGCTCAACCTCAAACTCGGCAAAGTCTTTCTTTGAGCGATCTCCAACGGTGCCCGCAGCGGGAAGACCATTGCCTTCAGCAGCGCCATTCGTACCATTGACACCATTTGCGGTAGGAGGCTGGCTCTTCTGGAACGTAACCTTACGACCGTGCTGTCGGAACCTTCGAGCGAAGCGCTCACTCTCGTCACGAATGCGAGCTCGGAGCTTTTGTGATGGCGTACCCTTGGGGCTTGACTGTCTAGCAAAGAATCGCTCACCGAACGGGTTCTTGTAGTTACCGTTCACCGCAGGAGTGACGAGGTTGTTGGATGCTGTGAAGAGCTCGCCCATCTGGAAACGCATCTCCTCTGGGGTATCTTTGCCGACACCCATGGCCTTGAGCTGGCTCTCGCAGCCTTCCAAAGCTTGCTGGATCTGGCGGCGAAGAGTCTTGACATGCTTGCCGATATGGCGCTGAAGCTGAGTACTCAGTTTGGCGCGAAGAGCTCCGATACCCCACATCTCTGGTGGGAGGGTTGCCCATTTTCCACGAGAGAAGAACTCGGCTTCTCGGTTGGCGCGGTCCTCGGGAGTCTGCCATTGCTCGCCTGGTCCAGGGTTGAGCAGGACATACCAGCCGAGCTTGAAGTTGTTCTCTTGGTCCTTGTTGGTAACAAGTTCGATGAACTTGTCTTCAAGGCCGATACGCTCGGTCATATCGGGCTTGGTGAGGACACCGATTGTGCGTGATCCCTTGGGATCAAAGTGGCGGGCCTTCTTGAGGATGGGAGCCTGAACATAATCGTTGTTTCCGCCGATAACAGCAAGAATAATAGTTCGAGAGCTCTTCATGTATCGATCGGAGAGGGCTTCGATGGTTTGGATGTCAGACTCGGATTGATCGCGGTTGGCGACACGAACAAGACCGGGAAGATCGACCAGAGTCAAAAGTGGCATGTCGGGGCCCTCCTTCTCGACGACGAGAATATCGCGAGCGGCGAAGCGACCAGGAATGCTCTTGGGAGCGATCAACTCTGTAGCATCACGCATCATCGCATCAAAGGGTGTGTCACCGGTGACATCACCGCCCCATTGCAGCAGGCGAGCTTGATCATTGTAGGGTCGTGTTTTGTCGGGAATGATGGAAACCTTTAGTTTTGTCTCCTTCGCTCGTCGCATGCGAATCTCTGTCGCAAACCGTGTGCAGGCGCCGGCATCGCGAGGAAATGGTGTGCCGGTGAGAGCCTCGAGAACCGAACTCTTACCAGCGGACTGATCGCCGACAACAACAATTTGGGGCAGTTTGACATCATCGAGTTGTGCGAATTGGAGCTTGTCGATAAGGTCTAGCAGGCTTCGTTGCTCAGTTGCAAGGCCCTGATCGCCCAGCGACGATTCAATCGAAGGGCGCATTTTCATTTTTTTTGTATAACAGAAGCAGAATAAGAGGGGGTTGAAAAGGGAAAACTTCCAGCCAAAGGCTTCGTCATTTATAAGTTATGGCGCTCGGGCTTTGGTTCGCTCTTTCTTGGCTGCCTCTGACCGGATGGTTAAGGTTGCGCGGCTGCCAAGCGTCTTTCAGGCCTGGAGGCGACCTGATGATGCCCAGCGTGCGCTAGCGTCATACCTACTGCGCCACTCTCAACAGACGGCAGGGCAAGAAAACTGAGGACCCCTACGAGTCCTATGTGACAAAATAACTTAAGATATCTTAGGGTAGCTCAATAATGAGCTTAGTCTGATCTTTTACCAGTTTATTTTTTCACCCTGCTCTTAATACAGTCTTAAGTCCTATGGTATAGAGAAAGGTTCTGACCTTGAGGCAGCTTACTAAAAATGCCTATTCCAAGGCCCATTCAACCTTCACTAGGTCTAGGTAAGGTATATATTAATTCTACCAAAGTCTTTTTATCACTTGAGATAGTTCTCTTGAGTTTTATTGCCTCCTCGAGAAATTAACTGATGTGTGGCGTATCTGTTTGTGGCTGTGCAACTGAAAGTCTTGGCACATACAGCGCCACAGTTACGTCGCCTGTGAAGCGTAAGTATTGTTCTTTTGCTCACCATGCCAAGCTGTGTTTCATCTTTCCATATTCTATCACCTTTTTACTGCTGCCTAGATTTCGCAAAAATACTTCTTAGTCTTATGAATTATCATGTGAGTTACCTATATTGTGTGCCGGGTGACGTAGTCAACCGCGTGTATAAACGCGTCGACTCACCCTAGACTTATCTTGGCCAGAGAAGCTAAAGATCATAAGCTCGGCATAATACTTCTAGACCTGAGTATTTACCATTTAATTCTAGAAACTTATTATAACTTATAAAACATCCATATTGGTAAAGAAGCCTTTCAGTATTGAGATTTGAAAAACCAAGACTCACCTCACCAGCTTCACTGGACTCATGGAGTCATGATAAAAGCTTATGATATTTCAAGAGATATATTACAGTTAAAGTTTTAAACACATTGCCTCCTACGAGCTTGGGCTGGCCAGAATCTACTAATATACAGACTTAACGTGTCTCATTAATTCGTATTTGAGGTCCAAAACTAGTCCAGGCTGGGCCAAAACGGCTAGAAATCTTCAGTGCAGATATAGTACTACAGGAATTTTGGCATTACAATACTATCGTCGTCTTTGAGCATTTGTTTAGTTGATGAATTTCATGATGAATTGTGTAAGTTTCCTCAACCCAGGGCCTGGCAAGCCTTCCTGTGCCACCATTGGATTCGTGATACCGACATACACGTGCCTGCTGCCCCGACTAGAACATGAGCCCAAAGTCCACGACCCCATCCTTCTCTTCTTTGCGAGGCAGCCCCTAGGGAGCAAGAAAACTCCTGATATTTAACTAAGGTATTAGGATTAGCTGGTCTGAAAACCCTGCTAAGATATACTAATTCTACCTAAGTCTTTTTTTAGCACTTAGGATAAAATTTAGAAGTTTTCTTGCCTCCCACATGAGTCTTATTACCCTGCCTGGCGAGATTCTCGCCGAGGTCTTCTCACTTGATGATATTGTCTTGGCAAGACAAGATATCAAGCCACTAAGACTCACCTGCCGTCGACTAGCTATCGTAACCACGCCCATTCTCTTCTATCGTATTCATATCTGCTACGCAAGAAAATCTTTGGAAGGAGAGAGGATATGATTTAAAAGATGTCGGAGCGTTGGATTCTGCTAAATCGGAAAGAAGAGACGAACATGGGATCGCGCATGGTATTGGGCCTCGAAGGATTTACCATTTCGAGATGGGCTTATGGGTTGATTTGAATGAAAATTTCTACGACCCTGTCACAGATGAAGAGGTCGACGATCATTTTGAGAAACGAGAGCCACCCAATGATGACTCCTGGACTGCCCAAGGCCAGCGTACGTGGGACTCAGAAATGGGCCTCTGGAGAGATGGAGATGGAAAGCTCAAAGAAGTTCGCTACTGAAAGAGAACTGCCAGAAAGACCAGAAGTCCCCGATGAAGACGAAGACTCCGATTTCAATATTGACATGCAGCCTTTCTACGACAGAGAAGAAGACGAATATCTTCTCAGAATCGAAAACTCTCCACGGTGGGACTGGGGACGAGATGCCCAGGGCGATCTTTGGTACTGGCAAGTACCTGGCACAGCTGGCTACGCAACCGAGACCTGGCGTTTCGAGAACAAGGGAGAGTACGCCTACAGCAACGAACCCCTGGATTTCTGGGATGACTGGTACGATGATCGGGGGGATGAGGCTGAGGCGACACCTACGGCTGGAATCTGGTCGCTTTTTCCGAGTGTCATGAACTTGGCAGTGAGATTCCGCAGCGGGGCACATGCGAATCCCTACGTCGTTATAGTATAGACGATGACATGGTCATGACTGACGTTTACGTTCGCATGAATCTTCCTAAGCAGCAGACTTTGAGATATGGTCGAACGTGCCATGGAGTGAGCTTAGGATGGCCCGCGAATCATTTCACACTGTTTTTTTTTAAACTTTTACCTTATATATTCTTTTCTAAACCCCCCTAAACTTAGTCAAGGCTTATATAAATCTAGATGAATAGGCGAGCTTTCTACAAAAGGATATGTAGCCGGAACTTATCCCTTTCACTTCGTTCTCAGGCCACCCTTCATTGCGCCTTTACCTCATAACGCTATAATACGTATGGGAGACTGAAAGGGAGAAGAAATACGTGTGTCTGGGACATTGTAGTTGACGGATGCCGATGGTGAGTCTGGCTCAAGTCCAGCCCAAGACCTCTCCAAGTCTTCTTGGAAGCGCTTGACTATCCAGAAGCCTGTGAGCTCCCGCCGACTTTGCATGTCGCGGCGCACAATATCTCTGTCCTCGCGTTCAGATAGCAAGAACCCAAGAGCGTATACAGGCCAGGTTCCGATGAAACACTCGGACCAGCGATGATCACCAGCACGTCTGGACAGAATATGGAGCGCCACACAAGCTTGCCAACTGTCTGTGGGAGACACCTTGGGCAGTCCCGCGTTTGGGCCAAAGGCCATGAGGTGCTGCATGAGAATAGAAGCGACCATGGCGTATAAACAGTTGGCATCTCTGTTCAGTGCATCGAATGTATCGGTCTGTTCCACAGCCTGCAGGGCAAAGTCTTCCCAGGTTGTGACCTCGGTCTGCAGCTTTACTAGATGTTCCATGTTTGCGGATTCTCTTCCAAGGCAAAGCTGGCCGAGAAACGTGGCGAGTCGCATCACGGCCAAGGGCATACCAAGAACGGGGCTATTGAGGCTCAACAGGGCAAAGTCCATATTGTCAGGATGTTCCAAAAGCCTCTCAGAGCGAGCCCAAAACTCCGAGTTCAACGACTGGAGGGATATGTAGCTGGTTGCGCTGGACCAAAGGCCGTTGTTCAACAGGAAGACTTGGTACAGGACACTCTCAAGTGCCAGACGGAGAAAAGCTGAAAGATCAGCGCTTGTTGCGTTTAGCACTCGGGAAATGATGATCTTGATGGCAGCACTGACGTGTTGAGGTTGATCGTCCCACGAGGAGGAGCCGGATATGATGTTGAATGCGTACAGAAGCACAATGGTAACAAGTATATCATCGTCCTTCTCTGGCGAGTCTTGACAGAGCGAGCCTGCTAGACTGGCCAGGGAGTCGGTATAGTATTGATGGGAAACATGGCACATGCCCGGCGGCCCTCCTCTGACGGAAACGAAGGATGTGGCACACGCCATGAGAGCAGGGGACAGACTCTTGCGCGATACCATGATGCCGCGTATAGCACCATGCCATGTCTTATAGAAGACAGAACTGCAATGTGGTAGTAAAAGAAGTGATGTTCCTCGACGTCCGAACTCGCGGAAGAGTGCCCATTCGATGTCACCCTGTTCCCGTTTACGAGCCGTGACACAGTCGGCCAGCAGAAGCTGCGGCGATGGTGATATCGCTAAAAAGGGCGAGGGGACCGATTGATGATGACGAGGACCCTTTACTACTTTCGACTTCGACAGCTCGCGAAGCTTGCATGATCGGAAGCGGCGGTCGACAAGGTCTTTGTCCATAGGCCACTGGCAATCACGCGGGACACGTGAGGCATAACACGCTCGGCAGACGGGAGTTCGCTCATCGCACTTGATGCGCTGTCGTCGGCATGGAAGACAGCCCGTCTTGGCACGCAGCTTGGGCCGTTGAAGACTTGTGGCCATGTTGGATTGCTTGTATGAGTCAACTGATTGTAAAGCAAGGGTTTTTACGACGCTGTGTTGGATTGTCGTGAGATGCGCCAGGGATGATCTGAAGTCGTGTGTGTGTTTGTAAGAGAGAGAAGGCCAATGGCTTGTTCTTCCTGTACACGATGGACGTAGCCCCTTCTATCGCTTGATCATCCAGTCAAAGGCTCGACAAGGTCTAGACTCGAGGGTCAAGTGCCTCAGCTCAAGATAAGCTATCATGGTGCGTACCCTTCCCCAAGCAAGTTTGCGGGGGAAGCACACTAGCGACAGATGAAGCATTAGAATGATGCGCTTCATTCGCTCACGCTAGTTTAGTTCGTGCATTCTCGCAAAAGCATATGATTGGCTCAGTAGGTAGATGTCTAGACGGTCTTGAAGATCGTGGTTACGTCCATGTTAAGTGTCTCAGAAGCCTCGGTACTGGTTCACTCCACAATCCTTACTTGCACTATCGCCAACAGGTCGCAAATACGTTTCATTGGGTTACTCACTGCGTGTACCTCAATTCTCCAATCATCAGTATTTCCTGATGGCTTCCGTTCAAGCTGTAGAGAGCCCTCCGGGGTGCGGATGGGACCGCACACGACTATAAAGAGAGACCTGTTACTCACCAGTTCTCTATACATATTCCACCGATCTTATACTATCCCTTCAAAGCTCCAATTACCTACCTGATCAATCGTCATGTATGTCAATAACCCTGTACCCGTGCCAAAAGGCACGCCAGAGCACGAGGCCAAGCGCGCTGCTGTTTTCAAAGCACTCGCCGACAAAGTGCCCGCAGAGTTCTGTCTGGGTCCCGAATTCTTCAAAGGCACTCCTCTCGATGTCAGCAAGATCCCTACTGCCTGTGGTCTGCTCACAGACGAGGAAGTAGCCATCACTGAAGGCTATGATGCAACTGGCCTTGCTGAGGCTATCGCCAGACGCAAGTATACTTCTGTGGCTGTTGCGATAGCCTTTTGCAAGCGTGCAATTATCGCACACCAGCTTACCTCTTGTCTTACGCAGTGGTATTATGATGAGGCTATCCAGCAAGCTACGAAACTGGATGAGTATCTAGCAGAGCATGGCACCACGATAGGTCCACTCCATGGTGTCCCCGTCAGTGTCAAGGATCATATTCCCTTAGCCGGCACGTTCTCGTCATTGGGCATTCTGGCTACAGCCGAGTACGACCAGCATGACTCTCCGCTTCCAGCGGTCCTTCGCAAGGCCGGCGCTGTCTTTTACTGTAAGACAAACCAACCCCAAGCTCTGATGCATGGCGAAAGTGACTCGCCTTGGGGCCGCGCCTTGAACCCGTACAACACCACTTTGACACCTGGAGGTTCCAGTGGTGGTGAAGGAGCCTTGATTGCAATGAAGGGCTCGATTCTCGGCATTGGAACCGACATTGGAGGCAGCATCAGAATCCCTGCAGCGTTCAGCGGTATCTATGGATACAAGCCAACAAGTGGCATCCTGTCAACAAGAGACATGGTACATGTGCCCATGGTAGCTGAACTTACTATCTTGGCCAACGCCGGTCCCATGTGTCGATCAGCACGCGACATGGATCTCTTCATGCGTGTTCAGCTTGATGCCAAGCCGTATATCAGAGATCTGACTTTGGTCCCCACGACTTGGGCTGGTTTGTCGACCCAGCTGGGTGTCACCCTTGGCCGCCCGCTCAAAGTTGGCATCATGACACACGATGGCTTCATCCAGCCTCAACCACCTCTCAAGCGTGCCCTTTCGTGGGCCAGTACCCTGCTGTCAGACCCTCGGCTATCAGGACTTATCGAGATCAAGTCGTTCTTGCCTTATGGTGTCAAACAGTGCTGGGATGAAATCAGGCAAGCCTACTCTCCTGACGGCGGCATTCCAACTCGTGATGCTATTCTCGCAACAGGCGAGCCAATATATCCTCTGACCGAATGGATCTGGAGGCCCGTTGCGCCCAAGGGAATGCTAACTGCTGGTGAAATGGCTTACGTACGCAAAGCATGCCTCGACTTCCGACATTCCTTTGCAGAGGATTGGGAGCGTCAGGATGTTGATGTTATCCTTTGTCCCACTGGCGTCGGGCCGGCTACGACTCACGACACAAACTTCTATCTTATGTATACAGCTCTGTGGAACTATCTCGACTGCCCCGGCTTGGTATTTCCTACGGGGCTCAAGGTTGAGGAGGGTGAGAAATACGACGCGGATTATAAGCCGTTAGGACCTGAGTGCGCTCACGTGAAGGAACTCTGGGAGAGTGGTAACTTCCAAGGGGCACCTATCAACCTTCAGCTTGTGGGGAGGAGGTATCATGACAATCAGCTGTTCGGAGCTTTGAAGCTTCTCCAGGGTGCTCTTGGGCTTGAATGAGTGTTGTAAAGAGGTAACGAAATACGTGTGCATATATTTCTAGTTGCCTGGTGTTTTCTGTGTTGTACAGGGTGTAAGTGGTTAGTTTGCAGCTGAGAATATCCTCAGGAAATCGTCCTGAGGTCCCGGACGAAGACCTTGCCCACGACTGGATATACTAGTACCAGTACTTTCATCCTGTTCAGAATACAATGCTCTGCTGTCACTTGCCGCGACACTCAAGACCCATCTGTGTCTGATATCCTATGCTGGAGCTTAAGTTGCCATTACCTCTACATCCCGACTCACTTTCAGCCATCACGTTGATTTTAGACATGTGCTCTTTGAAGGTGTCAATAGCAGTTGCTGACCAAAATATGCAGTCGCAATTTAATGTGATATTCATGAACGATCGTCCTGATAGCGCTAATAAGTTTCGAGACCAAAGCCGTCTCTCCCTTTCAACATAGTAACCGTTTAAACAACCTCGCGGGTTTGCACATGAGTCTGCTGTTCGTCTGCCTTTGAGTCTCCAAAGTGAATCTGCTTCTCGACAGCAGCCACTGTCTTCTCCTTGAGTTCCTCGTCCTCGAAAACTATGATCTGTTAGTACTGTCCTACTAAAGCCATGAGAGCGAGACAACATACGGAAAGCAAGTTCCTCGAGGGTTCGGCCACTGGTCTCGGGGTAGAGGAGGTAGACGATACAGAACTCGAAGAAAATCCAACCACAGTAAATGGCCAGGTATCGCCACTTGATAGCATCGAGAGCAATGGAGTTGACGTTGGTGGAGAAGAAACCGGCAAGCTTTCCGAAAATCTGCTGGACACCGATACCACGGCTTCGCATCGAGTAAGGCCAAAGTTCGACCAGGTAGGCTGCAAATTGTTAGTTTGGACATGAAAATGGTGACTCATGACTTACTGTATGTGAGAGCGTTGTTTCCGATGGCGTAGGTTGGCGAGTAAGCGAAGTACCAAAACAGAGCGGCAATACCAGCAGCGTTGTTCTTCTGGCCCTCGGGAACAGCTTGAATTCTCTCAAGAGATACGGTGATGCCGATGAAAGCACACAGCATGAGGGCAGCGGAAAGCATGTACATGTGTCGACGCTTGAAGCGAGTGACGATCAAAGCAATGATGGTAGCATTGAGAAGACTCCAGCAAGCATAGGCGAGGTTAATTCGAGTCTTTGTGTAATCGTCCGTGAAGCCCATCATGCCGAAAAGAACGCCGGAATAGTAACTCAGAAGAGTGTTGCCGGAAAGCTGAGTGAAGAGACCGATGAAGATGGTGACAACGAATCGACGGCGCATACCGGCAGTGCGGATCACCTCGAACCAGGACTGCTTGGAGGCTTCCATCTCAGCTTTGATGGTCTCTCGGATCTGAACGATTTCAGCCTGGACAAGCTGGGATGTGGCGTCGCCTTCGGCGTGGTACTTGATAAGGACCTGAGCGGCTTCTTCTTCGCGGTCTTTGGAGACGAGGAAACGAGGAGACTCGGGGAGGAGGAAGACAGTGGAGATCTGGATCAGCGAGGGGACGATCTGCAGCAGAGAGGGCAGCCGCCATGACCAGTTGTTGGTGATGGGAGTCGTGCCCAGAGCGATAGCAGAAGCGAGAATCTGACCGATGAAGTACGATGCGTTGAACAGAGATGTGAGGACAGCACGCTCCTTAGGATATCCCAGCTCTCCGATGAGGGCAGAACCAGAGATAATACAGAAGAGAATTCCAACTCCAAGAATCATACGGGCAATGATGTACATGGCAACTGAGAACTCGTCAGTAAATTGAATATTCGATCGATCGGAGGTTTCATACCGTGCTGAGCGAATCCCTGGATGATAGCACCGCCAACCATGATAAGAGAACCAAGCATAATGGACCATCTTCGACCGAATCGCTGAGCAAACCAAGGCGCAAATGGGACCGCAAAGATAGAGCCGAGCTGGTAGGAAGAGTTGACAAAGCCGAGCAGACCTGGTTCGATGGCCCACTTGCCTTCCGCATTCTGTCGTCCGTTACCGAGATCTATAAAAGCCCGTCAGCTCTGAACCAATTCTCCATAGATTTTCAGGTGATTCGTACAGTGGTGGAAGTTCTGAGAGTATTGGAGCGTGTTGATGAGTTGCGAATCGAAACCAGAAGTCATCTCAACACCCATACAGCAGAAGAACAACCAGACGTACATAAGACGCAGATTGGGCTTCTTGTACCATGGCGTCTTGTCCTCCTCGACGAGGCGAGTGACGATGGGGTCCGCGGCGCTACCAACGTTGACCATGTTGGCAAATTGGCTCTTCTAGACTTGTCGAGTAGTATTATGCAAGGGCCCGTCTCCAGAGTAGTAGAGGAAACCAAGCTTGAGAGATGGGAAACGAAAAAATTTCAATGGGGCATTGCAGATCATATTATACATGAGCTTTCCTGCTCTCCCCCGCGTGCGTGTAGATAAGATAGAGAGCTATGAACCTAGCGGTAGCTTAACCGAATTCTCCGTATATAGGCTAATTATGGAGTTGTCTGGGGAAGCGTGGAGTCTCCGCAAAATACTTGGTTTACTGGCTTCAGACCGCTGTCGGTGTTGCATCACGACGTGACATTCCCGTCAGCGGCCGACCACACAGGGACCGACGATTCGCTCGCATGCAGCCAAACCCCGGCCTAGCTCAGGTTGACAGTCCCCCCAGAATCTCTATTCTGTTCAAACGGATTCTCGAGCCGAGGTGCTGCTCTCGGTCCAACTTTGCGGTTAAACGGACCGGCTGATGGTGGGTTAGCTTATGCTTAAAGCGCTGATCATTTTCTATCTTTGTGTTAGACATATGCCAGATCTAAAACAAAACCACATGACTGCGACCGAAATTTGCGGGGTTAGGATACGAGCTAGCCTCTGGTTTTTTGGGGTAGTCCATGGAGTTGGGGGATGGTTCTGCAATTTCCCGTCCATTTGAGTGAACTGATGCTGAGTTATGGAGACAAGGGTGTAGGCCGACTGGCTGAGACTTGAATCATGTATTCATGACTAACTTTAATACTGGGCTGATACAAAACACGGTAAACAGCCTCGGCAAGTGAATATAGCCAGCCATTCAGCGTTGTTTATATGTCAGCGTCGTTTCGCCTCATCTCACAACAATCCTCTTCCCCAGACCTCATGGAATAATTCTCGAAGACAATAATAAGCATAAGCTTCAAGCAAGAGATGTTAGTTTCAATCCCATCTATCATTTTGGAGAAGAGGGTTGCACCGGGATTGTCAATGCCCCTGTCTTTCAGCTCATCAACCGTCCACCTGGAACCGGCTTTTCAGGCTAAACACCCGGAGAATGCAAGAACCATTAGGTATTTAAAGCTTGGCAGCCGCTGCGAAAACGAGAAGCACAACCCCTGGGAGGGTTGACAGTGAGCCCTCCCAAATGCGTGGGGGAACCTCGTGTGCGCAGTGCGCACACGGGTATACAGTAGTGTCGCTCTGCCATTTCCGGATGAATCCTTCCAAGACGACGTGCAGCCTTTGATTTGAGTATGCTTACTTTTAATATGTTTTAGGTCTATTGACAAAGATTCCAATGGCGGGCCGAAAGGGTGATAGTGAACCTCCGCATGAGTCGTCCGAGCCAATGGATGGTGAGATATTACAATAAGGCTGTCATTGCGAGGTCATCACTGGGCTTACAAAGATCCCTTCTTCCGTGTGTGATGCATCAATAATGGCAAAAGGAGACAAATTGCATACCAGTTGGGGATAAAGTTGTCGGGTGATGAGCTTGGCAAATGTCGATGAGACAATTAGGAAGAGGCCGAGACAAGGGAACCAGTAATTGACTGGGTAATAAAGGGATCTGCAATTATTTGAGAGTTCGTTGGCTTGTAGTGTAGTATTTGAAGATCATGTTCTGGTTAAGGCTGATGTTCTGGAGGGTATGATTCGGGTTGCCGAACGAAGACTGAGAGGCGGAGTATATAGATGCCAAAAGTTTTGCGCCTAGTATACTTAGGGCGTGTGGTCTAGGGGTATGATGTTCGCTTCGCATTTTCGTGCATCTGCGAAAGGTCGAGGGTTCAATTCCCTCCTCGTCCAAGCTTTGCCTTTTTGCCAGTCTCGTGCTTTACAATCATCGTTTTATACACAACTCAATTTTATACCAAACCTAATAAACATCTTTCCTTTGTCCTGCTATGTAAAGTATATAATATAAGATATATCTTAGGACTTAATTAATATTAGCTAGTTTATATAAATACTATTATTAGTATTTAAACTTAAGCCTCTTTCTTTAAGAACTAGTAGTCCTGTATTAGGGTGTCTTTGTTGGTATACTACACTGTTACAATGCCCAAAATGCTAAGCCTGTTATTACTTCTAGAATATCAGAACCTCTGGCTTTTGTGCTCACTGCTTAGCTATTGCAGGCGGTAGTTGGCAATTCCAACTACTCGAGTTAGTCAAAATGTCATAGTAGAGTTCATAACATAGACTTACATAAGTAGCATTAATATCTTTAATACTTGCAAGTCCAAGATTGGCGCCAGGACTCGTAATCTCATTGGTGAGCAGGGACATGGCCTGTGAAATACCAGCTGTGCTATACAGGTTAGCGTACATGAAAGACCGCCCCAAGCCAACAGCTCGGACACCAAGCGCGAGAAGCTTGAGGAAATCCGTGCCATATCGGACGCCACCATCCGCATAAACCTCAATTTCTTCGAAGACGCTAGGGTCCCGTTGGTGAAACTCCCAGGCAACCTCCAGCGCGGACGGCGAACCATCGAGAGAGCGACCGCCGTGGTTAGACAGGAAAATTGCTGGTGCTCCAACCTCGATGGCCTTACGGGCGTCTTCGACGGTATGGATACCCTTAGGGATGATTGGTAGGGATGTAGCGGGCTGTAGCTCAGTGTAATAGTCCCAGGTCATGAGGGTATAGCGGGGATCTCTAGAGATACTGGTGTCCTTCCGTCTCCTGAGAGGGCGATATGCTGTTCGGTCGCCTGCCGAATCGACAGTAAGTACAATGGCCTTCATGCCGGCAGCTTCGATAGACTTGAACATGTCGCGAGGTAACTCATCGTCCAAATTCGAGAGGGACACCTGTCCCATGGTTAGTATGTACGCCCGGAACAGTCTCAGCTTATGCTCACCTGTTCCCAGAGGACTTGATTCTTGCTCCTGAATGATGAGATTTTCTTCATCGGAAGGGTCGTTGTTTGCGAGGACTATGTTCGTGTCAGTCGTACTCGTGATTGATATCCTCTGGAATAACTTACAATGTAGAGAGCTCCATGAGCGGCCGCAGCGTTCACTAATCCCCTCTCTGCGGTTTCATTCGTTATACCAGCTGAGGCAAATGGATTGATGAAGAATGGCACGTCAAAGCCATGCCCAAGAATCGATGTTCTGCTAGCGTGATAAGCTCAGAGTCTAGATAGGAGCCACATAATTCTTACGTACTTCAAGCTCGCGTCGATGCCAATGATGTTGACCATCACCCGGGGACGAAAGCGAAATCTGCTGGACTGCCTAGCAACTATTCCCCATTTTAACACATCACTTCGTCCCACGCCAAACCGACTGGCCCGATTCTTAGTCACGACGAAATTTAAAAATATGAAACGATTAGGACATAAAAAGTCTCGAAACGGTCGCCAACGGTGCAAACTAAGAAGAATTAAGGCACATATGCATATGCAAACATAATAGGACACATTCCAGGCACATTATCACCCATCTTTTCTAGATCCTTTCCGTTTCTTTCTTCTCACACCTTCCGTATCTTTCCACAGTCACTAATGCAGTCCTACGTTTAGCGCAATGAAACCGTCCCGTGTAGTGCCTGTACGAGGCACCAAGTGCCCTGTCGCTTGCAAAACACCCAGCCTCAAGAAGCTTACCAGCAACCCGTTTCCATCATGAGTCGTCATCTCGAGGGAGAATCTCAGGTATTCGTAACCCATCAGGTTATTATCTGTATCATCAGGCCCGTTAATCACTATCATTAGTTGCGAAACAGCATGTCATCTTCATCTTCCCAATCTTCTTTAGACTTGGAAACTCCACGTACAGACTCGACCGACCGAATTCCTCGCTCTCTCAAGTTCCTCAACAGCACCAAACGTGGGAGCACAAAGGACCGAATCTCTGATCATGAAATCATGCATCACTATACTTCTGCTGCATACCGGACGTTTGGGTCGTGGGAAGGAGTTCGCCAGACGCTTCAGTGCCATTGTCCCGAGAGAGGGTTTTACACAACCACTCTTGCTCCATCAGATCCTGGCATTCTCGGGTTTTTACCTTGCATACCTACATCCCGAGCGTCGCCATTCTTACCTTGTGTAAGCTTCTCTACATCAATATCAGGCTGTTGCGGGAATCAACTGGGCATTGGCAGCAGGAGTCACCTCGGGAAACTGTCATGCACTTTACGCGAGTTCTGTCTTCCTACTGATATGTGCATTCGCTACCTATCCCTGTTGTGAAATATATCACCCTGCTTACGAGCCGCTAGATGGTCCCATCGGTATGTTTCGGCTGGCACATGGCATTTCACTTATCTCAAGATCATCAGATCAAAACTTGCTTAAGGGCCCCCTGCAGGGGCTGTTTGCGGGAGAGTCGGCACCGACAGCCCCGTCAGAACACATTCGGTTTCTAGTCGACCAACTACTTGATCTCAGAAGGCAGCTATCAGAACCTTCCGCAGACAGCGCTGGAGCGGGCACTGACCTTGTGCTTGAGGCCACCGACTTATTAGCTGACTGCTTGCTCTCTGTCCATCAAAACTGCTCATTTTCCGCGCCAGCTGAAGTAAGGGCTGCCCTACCTTGGCCCTTACGGATGCCTGATGGCTTCCTTGCCCTGATTCAACAGCGTGAGCCGCTGGCTATGGTCCTGTTGGCCCATTACTGTGTCCTGTTTCGATATGCAGAGACGACGTGCTGGTTCATCAAGGGTTGGGCAACAACTCTTATGACGATCATATGGGGGAATATTAGTGGTAGTCCTTGTGAGAATATGATTCACTGGCCTTACTACCTGATCAACAATTTTTCCGTGGCCTCCTAGCATCAGCGTTGCACAGAAGTAAATCATGACCAAATTATTTGTTGCCATTCTATTGACGTGTTCCAAGGCGATTTGGTATTAGGACAATGGGACTTACCAGACAAATTCAAACATTTCTAAATTTCGATCCGTCGCTTTTGCGAGCGAATGCCAATTATCTGACAAACAGGTTCACAGAAAAAGTTGTTTTCGCATGAAGAGTAATACTCGCTGCGTGGTTGTACTGGAACTTGCGACCCTGAATCTATGTCGTAAATGCAACACTCTATAAAGCTATGTATCACTTTACCATATCAAGAGCAGATACCGTCTAGTACATTCAACACTACAATGACTCGGATCCGGAACAGACATACGTAAGCAAGGAAGATATTGTTGGACGATTACAAACCACGGGCTGCCGCACGAGTACCGAGGATCCCTTTCTGTGACCAGCTCCAGAGCCGCGCCTCCAAGCTCTCTTCCTGAATGTGCTTCGGGCATTTTCCGCATCATTCGCAGGAAAAGTCTAAGTCTGGTCGGAAGTGCCTCTGGCAGTATTTGTTCCCATGATATTACTTCAAATGATTGTATATTCTTAAGAGAAGGGCTGTCCAATCCTTTGTACAAATTTGTCCACGCCATCCCGAGACCGGCACGAAGGTGTTATAGCATCTGTATCCAGTTCCTTTTACTGTTGACCAAGTTTCAGCCCCAGCTTCCAAAAAAAAAAAAAAAAAAAAAAAAAAAAAAACATAGCTAAAGCTCCTGTGACAAGTCTTGGAGAACTGGAACTCATCGCACTCTGTTCTCGTTATGTTGTCTTGTCTGTACTATCACAACACCGGTCAAAAACCTCTCTGACGTGGTCCCATACTCTTGTCGACACTCCCTCGTCATTGAGCCTTTGCAGCACCTGAGAATTATCAAGGAATTCATTGTTTCGACCAAGCAGATACAGTCTTCCACCGTTGAATGTATCACTTGCTGCAGCCCAGAGATGCTGCTCTCCAGATTCCTGTGCCGTCGAGACCCAGGGCCGAAATGCCCAGGACACGAAAGTCACTGCTGACCTCACAAGGGCAGCCAGTTCGCGATCTCCGTTTGTCTTTACCATCCCTGGTGATGTATGAATGAATGCTACACCGGAATTCGGAGGGGCAGCAGATAGGCGTTGGAAGTAGAGGGTGGTCATGGTGACTGCATGGTTGGTGGCCGCTTTAACAGTATAATTCCGTTCCACCGCAAGATCTTCTACGTCAACTGGCTTTTCATTACCTCCACCAAGGACTGTTATGACTCGAGCGCATGCTGGTATTGCGCCATCACCTCGTTGGTCACTTGGTCCTGGGGAAGCATGCCGAAGAAGAGGAAGCAGATTTTCTGCGAATCGCAGTCGGGAGTAACAATCGAGAGCTAGCTTTCGGTCGAGACCTTCTTTCGTTTCTAAGAAAGGCTTAGCAAGATCTGAAAAAGAGGCAGAGCTTCTAACCTTCCCTCCCTCTAAAGTGAAATATGCCGGCGCTGAGGAACAGGAGATTGACACTTTTCTCTTGTGCTTTGATCTGCTCACAGAGTTTGTCTACATTACGTAGCTGCGAAACGTCGCACTGTAGAAATCGGACATCGCTCGTGGGGTTCAGAGTGCGAAACTCGTCTTTTATGCGATCCGCCTGCTCTTGACTCCTTCCTAGCAGGTAAACTCGTGGACTGATAGAGTATCGAACAAACTCTCGCGCTGTGGCCTCTCCAATTCCGCTGGTACCACCAACTACAGAGATGAGAGACGTCACTTGTAAGTATTGCAATGTCAAGGCACAATGCAGGGCCAAATGGAAGCATTTCCTTGCCAGTTCAACTCACCAAAAACTCCCACGCGGCCGTGCCCAGAACTGGGCAGCTCTGCCAGCTGCCTGCGAATATATTGAGTGGAACGCATGGTGGCTTTCGTCTAGTTGTAGTAAACGAAGTAGTTGTCGCATGAAAAGAAAACTTGAGTGTGATGGCACAGACTTCCCAGCATTGACATTATATTTGGGCACGAGAGAAAATACCAACCACCTGTTGCTTACGCCCCTGCATTGAGCTACAGTATGTCTTCGGTGGCGCCATGCTAGATGGGCTGATGGCGCACATACGTCCAGTTCGAGCGGGTCACTACGCTAATTAATCATGTGCACTCTGCTTACACCCTTGTCCATCCCTTCCACATCCCCCCACGGGCTTTGGGGAACCGATGGTCGGCGGACCTGCAAGTGCTTAGGTTGCCTTTCATGCGTAGGAGGCCTGTTGGCGACTAAGAGGAAAAGAGGAGAAAGGGAAAGAAGAAATATGTCAGGAAAGGCCCGCTACGTGGATATCATTGACTCATGCCAGCTATTCGCGCAAGGCTATATAAGGACAAACAAGATGTGGCTTTCCCTGGTCGCTAATATCGACTATCACAACAGCATCTATCATTAAACTTGTACCATACCAGTTAATTTTCTACCTTGCTTTCTTACAGCACTTGTAAATGCTGAATCAAAGAAAGTCTAAAAGCAGTCGTCCAACATGTCTCTCGTCGACTTCTTCAATGCACGTCCAGAACCAGCAACTCCCTTGGGACGATATCGAGTCCTGTCATCAAGCGCTGGAGCTCGGATACTGGCATTACGCCGTTACTGCTTCGACCTGTCGCACCCTTCTCATGGCAGGTCGTGGGAAAGACGATTGTCAAGGGCTGAGAGTTTCAGAATTGAAAAACCAGAGTGGTATATACCATCTACTTAGATTAAATACAGCCGCCATTGCGTGATCACTTATCCACTACCTAACTTCCGTGACTACTGTAAGTGACTGCTCCTAGCCCTGTATCCAGTCCTGTAGATCAATGCGCATAGTGCTGTACACTGGCCCAAATACCGCCCTACAGATATGAACAACGCAGATTCAGAACCTCAGTTCATCTGCCTATACTCAGCAACACCAAACTTTAACAACATAATCAAGTACCGCAGTTCCAGCTCATGAGATGAGCAAGGATCGTGGGACGAAATCTACAAGTGCGGGCTGGAACTCACTGAAGGGCCGCTTTGGTTCACATACATCTTGTGTTGCGAACAGTAGGTTTTCCTTACCTGCCTTCTTTTAATACAGCTTCTGGTGAAACTCCCCCATTGTCAGTAGGGAAATATGCTCCTAGTAAGTAATAATAATAATTCTTAATTATCTACTACCAGAGGCATGGGTATCTGAGTCAAGATTAAGAGTCGAAAAATCTCTTTGAATTTGAGTATCGTATCCGGGATGCCTAGGCCAATGATTCCTATAGCCCTAGTGAGAATGGGATGTATGAATTGGGAACAGGGCAAAAAGGTTTGAAAGAAAGAAAAGAGCTAGTCAAGGACAAAAGGGGGAGTCCTTGGGGGAGTTTGGGCACTGAACTTGAACCTACCCTGGGTGCTGTCCCATGCAAGCCTCTAAATTGTTTCTAGCCTAGCTCGATCCTGACTCTACCCTTGCTACATGGGTGTAAGCAGGTTGCTTGAGACTTTGCCTCAATGAGTATAGTGCTTCCGTGGTTTACATAGCTCTTGGAGAACCCATACTACTAATGCCGGAGCTAACGGAGCTTTCAGCCGTACTAGTTGCTTACGCCCCTGCAGCATTCCAACGCCCGTTCGGCTGCTCCAACGTCCGACTTGGTCAAATCGGTATGATTTATAACAAAATGATGTTGCCGCCCAAGAATTCGCACCACTTCTTCCGTCACCACTGTTACTTCTTCTTCCTCCATCCTGCGGCTCCCAGTACTCTAGGACAGGCTCTCAAGCTCCATACAACAGAATCCATCATGCCCGAGTTTTGCTCCGAGGACATCCCTGACCTTTCTGGACAGGTCATCATTGTCACAGGAGGCAATGCTGGTCTAGGATACGAAACAATCCGCCAGCTCAGCAGACACAACCCAGCACGCATTTATCTCGGCGCTCGCTCTCGACAGAAAGCAGAGAAGGCTATCTCGGATCTCCAGCAAGAGAATCCCAAAGCCTGCCCCATCGACTTTCTCGAGATTGACCTCGCCTCGTTTGCGAGCGTCAAGGCCGCAGCAGTGGAGTTCCTCAGCAGGGAACACCGTCTTGATATATTGGTTGATAATGCTGGTATTATGATGGTTCCTGAAGGCGTCACTAAAGATGGGTATGAGATTCAGTTCGGCACAAACGTGCTGGGTACCGCTCTCTTCACTCAACTCCTGCTGCCGGTATTGCAGTGCACGGCCAAGGTCAATCCGCAGGCACGTGCTGTCATACTCAGCTCAGCCGCTCACGCACTAGCTCCTAAAAACGCATACGACAACTTTGACCAATTTCGATCAACGATTTCTCACTGGCGAACGACTGCGCGATACACTACATCTAAACTGGCTGATTTGCATTATGCCAAGGCACTGTCCGAAAGAGTAAAGGATATCAAGATAATTCCTGTTCATCCTGGGATGGTAGCGACCAATTTACATCACGGGTCTACCGGCCTTTTTCTTAAGCCGTTCCTGAATATTGTAGGAAGTCTGTTTGCAACACCGTTGGAAAAAGGTGCTTTGTCGCAGATATGGGCTTCTGTAAGCCCCGAGGCCAAGACCGGCGAGTACTATGGCCCGGTTGGTAAAGCAGAGTCTGGGTCAAAGCTGGCTCAACATCACGATCTTCAAGAAAGGGTATTTCGCTATATTCAGGCTCAGCTCGACGGACATGTGGACACGTTCCCATGAAAAGACTTCTTTGGTCTCTGATATGGGTTCAGGGCGGCCGACAGATAGATTGCGGGCTTGAGGCAAGGTATTTGCGGTACTACAAACCGCTATGGTGCTTGAAATTTGATCATCAATCAATATGAGAATGTTATGGATCTCCAACATATTTACAAAACGCCAGAGCATTAATTTAACCTTGAAAACTCGTTAATGCCAATGTAGCCCTATTCTTCTAGTTTCTCGTCGATGAGGTGATCCTTTCTTCCTTGTGGCAAATGTGGGAATCAACTTATCATCTTGACATGTGGCTACAGGCCTTGACGCCAACGAATGGGGAAGCAAATCATTGTAAGTATTGAGATTTCAAGCTGTACAAGGCTATCTTAAGACTCTGCCACAGTTAAAATGCGTACAAAAAGAGTTCAACAGCACTAGAGCGGTTTTTGGGAAAACACCGAGAACGCAATCACCATAATTGCTGTTTAATGATAAAGAAATTAGAGAACCTATCCTGTCCAGGTACCACCTTGAGCTCGAAGCTTGCGCGATCTGCGTTCATGCGACATGCTTGCCTGACGGTATTTACATGGCATGCCACCTAGTCATCCTTGCCGCCAACCAAAGCCAGACTATCGACCCATAGCTTCCGTTGGCTCTCCTCGTCTTCGATCCAGGAGGCGTAGCCGTATGGGTGCTCGATTGGGTTGACACCTTCAGCCCGTCCAGATTGCCGACAGTCCTCAAGGTAAAGGCCGCCTTTACCTTCCAGCTCCTGGGACAAAGCCGCGAGTACGGGCACTGCGGCACCTTGAGCTGCTTCCTTAGTAATCTGTTTTGCTCCTGGAAAACTCGAAAAGGCTTTGGCTGTTTCCGGATCCAAGTACTGTCCAATGTTGGTGTTTGCCATTCCGGGATGGGTGGAGTAAGCGTTCAGGTGTTGAGATCCGTAGCGGCGCTCAATCTCATTACTGAAATAGATATTGGCTGTCTTGGAAGCGCCATAGCCTTTGAATGGGGTATAGTCCTTCGTGATGTTATAGTCGTCTGTATCAAGGGGGGCCAGCCGGTGTCCCGACGACGTGAGATTGACGACACGAGATGCGTATTCTGGTGTCGCGCTGGAAAGCAATGCTGACTTGAGCTTGTAAAAAAGTTGGAAGTGGCCGAGATGATTGATACCAAACTGAGACTCAAAACCATCCTTAGTCTTTTCATAGGGACACATCATGATACCTAATCGTTTCAATCAGTCAAGTTGTGAATTGCATCGTGAGCGAGGATAAGTTAGCTTACCAGCATTGTTAATGAGCACATTGACTTTTCCACCAGACTTTTCCAGAATTTCGGCAGCTCCATCTCGAACACTTGCAAGAGAGTCTAGTTCGATCTGAACAAAAACCACTCTACCGGGTCGTCCATCTTCAACAAGCTCGGTCGCAACTAACTCACCTTTGTTAGAGTCGCGGCCGGTAATGTAGAGGTCGGCACCAGTGGCATGTATTGCCCGCGCGACTTGGTAGCCGATGCCAGAGGTGCCGCCTGTAACAACGAACACTCGTCCTTCTAGCTTTCCGTCGAGCTTCAGATCACGGACAACTCGGAGTGCGGTAGGGCGCGCATCGCTGGGCCCGTTTGGGCGCAAATGCTCCTCGGCGTATGCAGTGAATGCCATAACGATCGACTGGTGAACAAGGTGGTCCCAAATGAATAGTGCAACAGACTAGTTGAGTCTTTAAAAAAGAAAATCGAGGATTGGTGAAACAGCGGTTTCGGGCTTGACTTTTGTAAGGTTCGACTCGCAATCATCGGATGCCGATAAAATTCGGACCCTATCTTCGCAAGGTGACGGAGTTACTAGCTTCAACATTCCGCAAATGCGGATTTGCCCACCATATCGGTTGGATGTCGGTTGGGTTGAGGGATATCATTCCAAGCGCTCTGCCTCTAGGTTGTGGAGGTGAGTGGAATCGATGGTGGGCCCGTACAAGCAAGCATCTTCTTATGATAAAGATGGGGGCGGGATGATGGTAGACTCCGGTGAGGTGGAACTGATATGCGTCCTGCTTATCCCCTTCCCACCACAGTGGTGTCCGTAGTCAAGGCGCCAATGACGACTTAGTCTTTTCTCTGGATGTAATTACCTGCAACGCACAACATAGACATCAACAACTGTGAACGTGGCAAATTACCCCGCACTCAATATTACAGTAGAACTTCAGTAAATCGAACAATACCGTTGTGGCGACCCTCCTATGCGAGACAAGAGTGATGGAATTCAGTTAATAGCTATCTGAGCACTATTGGGTGAATCACTCTATGTACACCGCATTATGGATATATGATGGTCGTATGAAAAGCTGGCCGTGAAGAAGTAATATAATATGGCGAGTTTATATAACAATAATCTGAAATATATATACCAGATCACTAAGTTACTGCATGAAAATGATTAGCCTCGTCAGCTTTTGTTGGGGCTCGGTTATTGCAATCCATGGTCCCTTTAGTAATTCTAATAATAAAAGCATAAACGGCATAAAACGTCTAACCTATTAATTCCTAAGAGTTAAAGAGGAGCTGACTCCTCTTAGTTGGAGCTGGAAGGATAATCACGTCCCCATATTTACTATTCGATGTAGCCAATATTGTTAATTATTCAAAGAAGGCGATTAAAATAGAGACTGTAATAAAGGAGAAAGCCATCTAGTTTGAGTCAAATTCAATTTTCAATTCCCCGCGTACTTCCCTCCAATAATTTGTTGCCTGTATCAGCTCAGGACATCCTTCGAGTAAAAACCCCCACTCCTCAAAGAACTGAGGACTGAATTCCCATCCCGCTGCATCCCACGAGTCCCCCCAGATCAGCAGGGATGGGATGGAGTCCTCATTGAAACTTAGTAAATCACAACAAAGCCTATCACAGAGCTCATCCTCCTCAAGTTGGCCTAGCTGGATGCCACGGAGGATGTTGTTTCTTAGATTAGGGAAAGGGAAAATATCGAGCCAAGAGTGATGAACGATAGCTTTCTGGAGCTCTGTTGGGCATAGGCTTGGAGGCAGAGGTGCTTTAGAAGAATGAACAACAGGGCCGTGGTAATTGAATAGTGAGTGGTGCTCATCTGTCTCAAGATACTCATGAGGGATACGTAGCACCATAGCGTTGCGAGCGAGAGCATCGAAGGCATTCAGTCGTGACAAGCTTGGTAGATCCCGTGGTTGGGGTAAGTTGAGGCTCCAGTTTGTAGTGGCTCTCTGCAAGAATTCCAAGGCATCACGCCGTAAGTTCGGCCACTTAAGTAGCAGAAACATAGGGCGCTCCGCAAGTTTGTTGACATGCACAGAGTGCCGTTCGACGCAACCGGCCTGTGTACTGAAAGACCTTGCTGACTTTGGATTGATGGCTTGGGTACATCCCACAGACTCCTGTACTGCGGCCAGATTTCTGTGGTGTCTTCTTCTCCCTACAAGGACTGATTTAGCCTCAGCAACTCGGTCTGGATACGCGAGACCCACTGTAGGCCCGTTGGTTGAGCCGATTCTGCAGTTTTCTCCGCTCTGCAGAGCTTGTTAGGCCGAACCAAACATCTTCCAAGTCCCAGACTTCATTAACTTTAGAGGACGACATGGACGGGGTCAGGGAGAGAGTGTGTTTGACAGGTAACAACACGAGATTTGGGAAAAGAAAATTGGGAGAAGGGCTAAGAGTTGCAGCAGAGCAGAGCACACTTATGCTAGTTGCTGACACCCCTGCAAGCCACATGGTGACTTTGCCGAGTTAGGCTAAGTCCAGTCAGTGGTCGCAGTCGTAATCACACCAAGCCTACACCTCGCTTGACACTAAACACACTAAGTTCGTCATAGAAATGCTACCTTGTGCTCTGGATATCTCGACTAGAGTTGTAAATGCTGAGAAATTGGACGAGACCGAGGGCCGATTAAACGTTGGGCGATTTTAGCCGAGGTCATCTTCATAGTGGATTATGTTCTGCGTGCTTGCTTGGGTGCTGAAAAGTCAAGTTAAGGTGTCATGAAAAAAAGAAAAAAAGAGAACGGCATGCTTGATATAGTATAGCAACAGAAGGACTTACTGTCTCATAACAGTATTTATAATAATCATAATTATGATCGTTATTATCATTATCATCATCATTGATTACTATGATATACATCTGGAAGAAGAAACAATCTTACTAAAAAGTCAATCTGTAAGTAGCATTAGCCGTCTAAGGAGTGTTTTCTCTCAGGGTGCATGCGTGAAAGATAGGTAAGCATAGTGAGAATAGTCATTTCAACAGCAACATCGACGTAAACCCAGAAGTGCGGCGATAGCATCTCGTTTCCCTCCCCCTCTTTCTTTGTCAACTGAAAAAAAAAAGCCCATAGAGAAGAAAGTCTGTCCAGAATTAGAGCTTGACGACCATAGCTGCTCTCTAACTTATTAAGACAAAGGTAGTAGGAAGAAAGACCATGCCCAGCATGGCGATAGACTTCAAGAGACTACCATCGAGACGTGTCATTTGCGCAACCTCGAGATTTACTCGAGATATCTCCTGGTTGATCCTTGCGTCCTTGCGGCCGATACTATTCAGTTCCTGTAACTGTTTAGTTCCAAGTCTTCACTTACATACTGATACGTACCAGCTGTGTTACCAAAGTTAGGCCATCCATAATGTGAGTGCATTGTCTTATGTACTCATCGTACTCATCAACGAGGTCCTGGAGCCTTGTCTTCAGTCTTACCCCTACGTCCTGGAGAATATGTAATCTGGTCTGGCTGTTGGGGACTCTAGCTGCAACGGGAAGGTCCAAATCAGTATCATGAAGCTGATCAACATGATCGATCATCTTGCGAAGCTGGGTCCGCAAGTTCTGCAGCCCAATCCTCAGGAAACTGATATTCTGCCACAAAGCACAGTAGGCTCTTGCTCTTCATGCGGTTGATGTGAATTTGTCTTGAGTTGTGAAAGAGGCTTGGCAGCCTCTGAGTGAACGAAACTCGATACCAGTCGAAAGTACGATGCTAAACACCCTCCCTTCATCAACGGCACAACCTTCGAGTTTATTGCTTTCAGAGCTCATGGAACTTTCATTCCTGTTCATTGATCGGAGGTCCTGGTGGGCGAGATCGTGAATTCGCTGGACAAACTGCATCAGACACCCCCTCACCGTACCAATGTGCCTCTCCCTCTCGAAGCCAGCAAATACTACCGGGAGAACCATTGGGTAGAAGACGCCTCCGTCGAAGTTTTCTAGTTGACCGTAGATGAGCTCAGAATCGGTAATCAGATCTCCGTAGAACTTACGCTTGGACAGATCACATCCGTACCAAACCGCATTAGTTGTGAGACTTCCAGGAAAGAAGGTCACAGAGAGGGCCATATCTCCCTCCCAGCAAGCAGAAGTTCGGCAATTGTAGACTAAAAAGAAATAAGAATGACTGTTATGAGATGTTGCATATTGACTGACCGATAGAAGGGATAGCCTTGCTCGTAGGGTTCCATGTGAATGGAAAATGAATAAAGGCACAGCTCATATTGCGATTGATAGCTCGTACAATAGATCCATGGACTTTGAGCTTGTCCATGACGTTCTGAAATCCCGTCTGACAAAAGAGAGCTCGTCAAGGGAGTCAGTTTTCGAGGCCAGAAGCAAGTTTATGCTTGAAGCTTTCGTATCCGGACTCCACGGGGAAATGCTCTAAAAGGCTTTCAGTATAATTCAATCAAGGGAGATCACTTACATCTCACCATTGACGGAAGTCATCGTCACACGCAAGAAACTGTCGCTTGGTTTTCAGATTCGGGCCGTTAATGGGACCGAGAGAACAGGTATCGCCTGATTGAGGTGCCTCAGACGGTCTCGAAATTTTGAATACGTCGTTGGGCTGTGGCGAAAAGTCGAGCAGATCCCAGTCGTGTTCCTGTAACTCTGACCTTATCGTGATCCATGACATGTTGGCAAAGAAGTTTCGCCAGATTCGTTTGGAAGGTTGTTGATTGTTTGGCGATGTTTGTGAGTTGAGTTGAGTGCTTTACAAGTTTGGTTGGGCTTGCGGCTTTCAATGCTACACTAAAAGCTAAGCGCTGGCTATTCATCCGACAGAGAGAGGTAACACAGTGAGTCATCAGAATCTTTGGCGTGATACAGACCCTTTGGGAGTCACATTCACGAATTCCCTTGTTCCTGGCTGTTACTGAATCCCCTTCACGATGTCCCTTTCACAGCTCTTTTCCCTCCGTGTCACGGCAGCATTGGTCTATGAGGATGTGAACATCAAGTCCTGGGAGTGAGTGACACAGATGATTAACAGACTTAACGTTGCTGCCTGACTTTGCAGTGTGCTACCTACAGAAATGATATGCTCTGGCAGCTCAGGTTTCACAGCTAGTTCTCTTCCCTCAGTTGATGCAGAGTCGTGATACTTCAAGTGTTGCCTCGTCTATTGGCACTGTAAGACTAGGATTCGAAGTATAAATATCACAGTCAGGATCCTTTTCAAGTAAACCAAAGCAGATATGTGACGTGGTCAAGCAAGATCTTGTACAAGCAAATTATCCCTGTATTGGTAACTAATTCACGAAATAAAGATCCCCGCAAATATAATTCAACAGTTCTTGACTCTCGAGTACAGAAACAAGAAGCTTAGACAGAAGCTAGATGGGTACTTTGGAAGTAGAAACTATGAGGTAGTCGAGGTTAGAATCAAAATCCATGCAGTCTACTAAGTATTGACTTTTCATACTGACCATTACTAGCGGTCTGGCAACCAGTGGCAGGTCATGGTACCTCGCAAACTAGAGTCAGTTAGTAGTTTCTTAACACTATAATTCTACCACCAAAAGCTGATCTGAAAGCGGGCAGCACAAGGCAGTGATTCGCTACCGGCAACGGAAGCCATCACAGCGCACCCAAGTCAACCCATCACGGAGCCTCGACAAGCCTTACTCACAATCATAAGAAGCTGCTCTAAATCAATGTCAGGATTCATTCAGTTCTCAGAGCATAAAGTGGCTTTAAATTAGCATAAGAATCTTCCACAAGACAAACGAATAAACAAATCTCAAACATCCTTTCTATCCTTCACAAGACAGCCAAGAATCTTCACAAGTTGTTTTCTACAGGTGATGATAATTCTGGGAGACTTGGGCAATACCCGGTTTCTAGCTGATGGGCTAAAGGACCGTCTCGAATATGCATTGCTTCCCAACAGAATCAGTTAGCAGGAAAAGGTGGAGAAGATTGAACTAATTATAAGAGGATACCGAAATATTTCGATATATTGCGAGCTAGATGTGTTATTTGTAGTTAAGACCTGTGGCTAAGACCTTATATCACCACACAGAAATAAGAACTATTTTAATACGTTTTTAGACAGTCGGATATCTGAAGATTGGGGAATTGATTTGTAGAATACAAAGGAGACATAAAAGAATCAGCTAGTATATATCATCAGAAGTATTAAGATACATGTCTACTTTGAGTTCGCCCGTGATATTACCAGTGATAAAATTAAGGCTGAGGGGTTAAAAGAAGCTTTAAGCCCACATAAAGGTAGAGAATAGATATCATTAACACAAATGACAATCAACAATAATATCATCGACTTAGGCATCATAGATCCCCTTATTTCCATCCGCATACATCTGTCGGTAGGACTCTCGACCTTTCATCTGGTTCCACCAAGTAAGCAGATTTTTGTAACCTGCTAGAAGGGTAGGCCAAACTCCATCTTGCAGGTAGTGCATATACGGGACATAAAAAAAGTCAACCAGTGTAACAGTCTATGTATGTCAGCTGCACTGCTACAAGAGTCGAATTACAACCATACTAACCTCGCCAGCCATGAAAGGCTGTGTGCTGAGCTTTTGGTCAAGGAGTCTGAGAACTCGTTCAAGTTTCACTTTGAGATCCTTGACGACCTGTTCCTTCGGCTCTTGGTTCATAAATTGCCTGGAAAGAGCTGTTAACTTCTTATCGTCGCCTCGGCAGGGCTACCCACGGTTTAAAGTAGGCTTCGAAGGCCAGTGGATTAGCAACAGCATCGAAAGAGGTCAATTCGATGGATGCAGCTTCTTCGAACTTCGCCTTTGCAACTCCACCGTCAGGGATGAGTTTATTGCCCGGTCCGCCATATCGATCTGCGAGATATCGCGCAATAGCCCGTGACTCAGTCAGAACAAGAACTGGATCATGCGAGTGGTCCTGGAGACATGGAACAGCTCCAAAAGGATTGATTTCAAGAAATTCTGGCTTCTAAGACAGTTGCAAAAGGTATCAGCGTCGCTTGGTCTCATAAGCAATATCGATATCACATACCTGCTGCTCACGCTTGATGATGTCCAACTGATGAATGTTGGTGATTTTGAGACTCAACTCGAGAATCACCAGTTGTAGTCTCTGGGGACAAGGGAACCGGCTATCTGTAAACAGCGTCAATTGAGACATTTTCGCAGCAATGAGCAAGGCAGTAATGAGATGAGATCTATGAGGTTCTTCGATGGGATAAGTACCTAGAATTCGAAGACCTGTTTAGTCTTTAAGTAAATGATTTCACAATAGCCCACTTCAGGATGTCGTGGTATGAAAAATGGGCCTGTCCGAAGCATCATAGACGCGTACACTCCTACTCCTCATAGTTGAGGGGTTCTTCCCGCAATTTCAGGCGCCATGTGTACGTACGCAATTAGAAGTCGTCAAAAGTACCGCACTAGGTGTCTCAGCACACGTAAACTGACAAAAGCCTAGAACAATTATTATTCCAGTGTTTAGGCGTTAGATGCAAGACTGTAGTCGACCTCGGCTATGATCCTATTATCATCTCAGAACAAGACTATACCGGCGAATGACTCAATCGCTCCCCTGTATAGGCAGCGGGGTATACGACATTCAATGACATGACCGAATTCGCTAGCTGTGTTCCCAGAATGATTTGAGCTTTGAAGAAATTGCAGCCGGTGTGTCAAATCGAAAATAAAACGACAACTGCGCGGTGGGCTGGTGAGTTTCGCAGTACTACATGGAGCCTCAAAACAACCAACTTCGCAGAATATGGTACAATACAAGATGGAGCCAGGAGTCGTTGTGGAATTTTCTGGCATCTGTTGAAGAGGAAATGATGCACCCTAAGAGGGTCCAGAGAGCTGACTGTAGAGGGGCCCTTGAATTCTTTAATGAGCATATGGATAAAGCAGACATCCGGACCAAAGAGCCACCATCATCAAGCGACGGTGGGTTTGGGGCCTGATAAGTGTAGCCAAAGTTTCTTTTTACTATGGTCCTTGGAATTTTGCTATCCTATGTAGTAACTAAGTGCAAAAGATATAGAATGCTCTGTAAAGGTTTCCTTAACTTTTCTAGCACTTGACCATACGATAAGGCCTTGAGGATTAGTTCAGATCAAGCAAGGTAATGGATATTTAATGTTTCATGGACAACGTTACACTGAAGGTGATTCACGCACTGACAAACGACTGTGGACAAAAGAGATACGGTCTTAATAACTGAAAATTGTACTTGTGTATTACTAATAAAGCATTGAATCTTCAAGCTGAGAGAAGAAAGTGAATGCCTATCGAAATCATTAGTCCTGCCCACATCAACTTCATATCTAATACATACCGAAGAGTCAAGATCCAACCAGTCAGTCGGCTGCCACTGACTCAATGGATTCATAATAGACTGTAACCCCGAACTCGTTTCGTCCTGATCATCAAACATGGAACCCAACTCATCTATACTCGTCCCCGACTCATGTTCACTTGAGATGAGTGACTCCTGCTGACATTGAATTGTCTGTGATGGCCTTGTAGCATGCTGTGGTCCTTGTCTTGCTTCTTGTCGTAGTTCCTCAATGATGATGCTGTATCTTCGACTGGCTGACTCAGCAGCAATAGTTCTCGCCAGATGATTCTGGCATTTCTCTGCGAGGTCGAAGAGCATCGCGTTGCCAGGATCAGCGGTGGTGTTGCTTCTTTGTTGAATATCCCATACGTAAACAACTGCTAATGCACAGAAGGTTACGTATGGCATCCACCATAAGGCATGGAATAAGACTGATTTCTCAGAAAACATGCCATCGACGATTTCTAGTGCGAGTTTCGCTGCGCTGATACACTGAGTCACGCAAGCTTGTAACGCGGGACTGCAATCTTCTGAGTGATCAAGAAGGAACGGCCGAGTCGTATGCATTACAGCGTGGCAGTACGCAAGCTTTAGAGCAGTGGCTTGTCGAGAGAATATCGGTATTAGGCTTGAGGGGCGAACGGTGCCAAGATGGGGAGGGAGAGCTTGACGCCATTCGTGGAGCTGTTGGATGAAGCCTTGGGCTGCTGCAAGGCGTTCTTCGGGTGGCATCTTTTTGAGTGAGTAGACCTGCCGTGATACATTTTCGATGATTATTGCAATCCTGATACGTTGTAAGTGATGGTAAAGGCGGCTTATGAGGTCTCTCTTACCTAGCGTGAAAGAGCAGTGAGTCAACATGGCAGTCCATGGCGGGCTCCAATGGTGACGGTCCTTGTGGTGTCATATCTTCATCATTAACTCTATCCGGAAACTCCTGGTCGACATCATTGTCATGATAAAATCGAGGTCTGCCAAAAACAACGGCTAGGTATTTATCGATGGTATACAGAACCCAAAAGGTCCTCTTCCGACACTCAGATATGATGTAATCCGTGGGCTGTCGACCTCCATTTCGATATTGAGTCGACTTCCGATGCAGACCAAGCGCCGTAACAATAGGCACGGTATTACCGAAGACATACCAAGCTTGGTTCATCCGTGATGTCTGAAGGAGATAAAGCACCTGTAAAACTCGCGCCTGAGCCGATTCGAGTCGAGGTAGGCCGGTCTCTTGGGCAGTGAGCTCGGATGCTTGGAGAAAGTACTGTTCGCTCTGCTGTGACATAATAGACATGCCACCCGGAAGTGAGGCCTGTTCCGAGATTCTGTGTTGTCGAAAACTCGCAATAGAAAGAATATTGACCACTATCGCAGCTTTCGCATGACCAATACCTGTGTCCAGAGGCTGTCCGTTATGAACATTGTTAATGACAGCTTCAAACCATGCCTGGCAGTATTGTCTGTTCAGAATGCGATATGTGACGACACAGTTCTCGAAATAGTAGTTGAACAGCTCAAAAGCTTCTGGCTGACTGACAAACATCAAGCTCGAGTCACCCCTTGTAGTGAAGGGTTTATCACCAGCAGACATAAGAGGCTGTAAATTCTCCGCGCCCGTCAAGACCCCAGATCTCGACTCCGTTTGCTGCGTCTGCTGTGCCAATCTCTTCCACGCACGATGTACAAAAGTCAGATTCGACGTGGGATCAAAGAATTGGCCCTCAATCTCTGCAGTTTCAAGGCCAGAGTCTCCTTGTGACGTGGATCTTGAACTCGTTTGTTCAGGATTAGTATCAGGAGGTGCTGAACTCATAGATCCTCGCTGTGGTCCGACGGTTGGCGGCGTCGGTGGCCTTCCTCTGCGATAAAGCGAGTCATATTGACAGTCTAGACGTCTTTTCACACAGCCTTCGCAGGGGAGAGTTCCAGAGCATTTGAGTTTCTTGAGTTTACAGTGATCACAAGCTCGGCTAACCTAGGTTCTGTAAGAACAAGTACATAAATCCGTTTTCTGAAAAGTAACTCACCTTGGAGGCTTTCCGACGGTTCTCGGACTCGCGGGTTGTATCTGGCGATAAAGGCAGAACACGTTTTGACCGATTCACTGGATTTGTGGCCGTTGATGCTTCGGACAATGGTGTTGTTGTTACTGGGGTAGTCATTTTGGTGGGTTTCCGAGGTTGAAGGGGGAGAATCCGAGATTGGAGGGGGAGAGTGCGGGGAGCTCGGATATTATAGAGCATGGGTGAGCTAGTTGCCCCGGATTTTCTATGACCCCAGGCTCTGGCTAACCTGGGGCTACCACGGGAAGTGCGATTGATTTTGTGGCATGTTCATCTGGTGATCCGTGTTTTTGGTTTGGATCTGGTGAATAGAATTGAAGCTTGAAATTGGGAGTCAATGTATTTTAGGGGATTCATGGTTGTTCCGCTGGTCTTTGAGCTGCTGGAAATCCGATGTCAAGGCCAATCCAAAGGCCAACAGTTCTATCACCAATTCTCTTACGTCTTGTGAAAATAATATAACGAGTTTTTAGGCTTGCTCTCATATTCGCAGAAGAGAATTATGTGATTATCTTTCTAATGGAATTATTGACTGGTCAGTCTCTTTAGCAGTTTTAGGTAGAAATCACAGATAAAAAGCTGTTTAACGGATGATATGAGATTCTTTTGTTCTAAATCTACAGTACAAGCTCTATGCTACCCCAAGTCCAAGTCCTGATTTAAGCAACCTTCTTCAGAGTCGCCGATGAAATAGCAGCGTGAATCTCCTCCTCTGCTCCATCAGGAAGAGGCAACAGCGGCGATCGCACAGTAGCATGTGACAAAATACCCCTAGCAACAAGCGCATGCTTGAGTGCAACAGTACCCTCCATATGCGAACCCCTGTGGTAAACAGCCTTGGTAACAGGAAGAAGCAGATCGTGAATCTCCCTTGCCTTAGCGTAGTCCTTAGCCTTGCCAGCCTTGATCAGCTCGAGAAGAGGCTCAGGGGCAATACCACCGTATCCGACAAGCATGCCATCCACGTCAAAGGCGGTGTGGAGAAGGTATTCATCGTGGCAGGTGAGGACGGGAACGTTGGGACGTTCGCGGCGGAAGACGGGGATTTCGGTATCCCAGCGTCGCATGTTGCGAACACCATTCTTCATAGCAATGACACCAGGTTGGGCCGCAATGTCGAGAAGAGTCTGGAGGTTGTATGTAGCCTTTGTGTTATCAGGATACTGGAACAAGATCAAAGGCAGTTTCGAAACCTCGTAGACGACCTTGTATCGATCCTGCGGCGCACCAGGCTGGTAGCCAAAGCGCAACCATCCATGGGAGGGATACAGGAGACCAGCTTGGGCACCAGCTTCTTTAGCACGCTTGGCCTCTAGGGCGGCGACTTCAGTGCCCTCGCCGGTGATGCCAGCGATGATGGGGATCTTGTTGTCGACGGACTTGACGAACGCCTTGATGGTGTCGACTTGTTCTTGCTGGGTGAGGAAAGTTCCTTCTCCGGCGTGGCCTAGAACGACGAGACCCTTGACGCCGTCGATGCTGCCGAGCCAAGAACCCAGACGCTGGATGGCGTCGTAGTCGACTTTGCCATCCTTGGTGAAGGGGGTGACGGGGGCGGGGACGAGGCCTTTGAGATCGAAAGACATTGTGATTGGTTGGGAGACTTTGAAGTGTCTAAGCGTATTTGAGAGGTGGTGATGATGCTTGAGATGTTCAAGATTGCTCTTGTTGTTGTTGTTGTTGTTGTGATTGTTGATTGATGTGATGATTTATTTCCCTTCCATTGAGTTTATCGTCTTCTTATATGTCTAAAAGAAGTCCCCATCTCGCGCCTCGGCTTCATCTTCAGAAGGCGAATTGTCGAACTTCACGACAATCCTCCCGACAGAATCCGAGTATCCGAGGTGTCTTCATTCACAAACATCACCATTTTCAGAAGCGTATTTTAGATTTCCGAGCATGCCCGGATTCTTTCTCCGGCCTTACAAACTCAATTTCCACCCATGACCCCATATTCTACTAGCTCACCCCGGAAATCACTCTAATTCGTCGATCCATCGCTAGTTTTCTACATCGTCTCATCCCCCGCATCCCCGGACTTTGCAACTCCACAATCCAACCCCAGACTCTGGGACCTAATTCCGCATGACTATGATTTCTTCACATTTCCCTGTTCTCTTTCGCAATGACACTCAGCTGAATCATCCTGTTTGGGATATAAAGGTGCCTCTTGGACCTTGACCTTTTTTTTTCTCATCAGACATCTTCTCATCAAACAAATCGTTTTCAAGAAGATATCAGCTCGCAATGGCAACTCAGACTCAAGATATCGAACGCGAGTTTTCGCGTGATGAAAAGTCTGGGATCATGCATAATGAGCACGCCCAAGGTGGCTTATCTCAAGAAGATGCTGATTTCTTAAATAACTTCCCTGAGGAGAGGAAGAAGGCTGTTATCCGAAAAGTCGATGTAAGTTTTTCACCCAATCAGTACTTCTCTTTACTTACGCAGATCAGTGGCGATTGATTCCTATGCTTGTTCTCTTATACCTCATTGCGTATTTGGACAAGACCAACATTGGTAGGTTTCATCTAACGTTTTCTATAAGGCCAATCGCTGACTTGATATAGGAAATGCAAAGATTGAAGGCATGACTGGTGACTTGCACCTCAAGGGTATCGAGTACAACATCGTCACCGCCATCTTCTTCATCCCCTTCGTCCTCTGCGAAGTTCCTTCCAACATGATCCTTCACAAGTTCAAGAGACCATCTTGGTACATGGGCGGCATCGTCTTTTGTTGGGGTGTCATCATGACTCTTACTGCCCTTGTGCAAAACTACGCTGGTCTCTTGGTCATTCGATTCTTACTCGGTATCTTTGAGTAAGTCCCCTTGATATCGCCAAGGTCTCATAATCAGGTACTGACTTAGATAGGGCCGGTTTCCTCCCCGGTGCAATCCTCATCATCTCAAACTGGTACCTCCCCAACGAAACGCAAACCCGAATCGCAATCCTCTACACATCAGCTGCAACAGGCGGTGCATTCTCAGGCCTTCTAGCCTTCGCCATCGCTAAGATGGACGGCATGGCAGGTATGGAAGGCTGGCGCTGGATCTTCCTCATCGAAGGTCTCTTCACCGTCGTCGTCGCCATAATGTGCGTCTTTCTCCTCTGTGATTCACCCGCCCTATCCACACGCTGGCTCGACGCCGATGAGATCCGATATCTTGAACTCCGACAACTTAGCCGTCGGGCTACAGTTCCCATGGACTACAAGGAGAATGATCATTTCAACATCCGCCTTTTCAAGGATATTCTTATGGATTACAAGATTTGGCTTTTGTTCTTCGCGAACTGGTCGAATGCTGTTCCTAACTATGCTATGAAGTTCACTATGCCTACTATCCTGAGGGGTATGGGGTACACTTCTTCTGATGCGCAGTTGATGACTATCCCTCCTTATGCTATTGGAGCTATTTCGGCTTATGTGTTTGCTATCTTTGCTGATAAGTACTCATGGCGCGCTCCTTTCATCTTGGGACCTCAATGCTGTCTTGTAGTTGCTTTTATCATCTTGTTTGTCAAGTCCAGCAACATCGAGGACAACATTGCTGTTTGTTACTTCGCCGTCTGTCTCGCATGCTTTGGGTAAGTCCTCATCCACCATCCTATACTCGGTTACTAACAATGTGCAGCATGTATCCTATTCTTCCTGGTGTCAACGCCTGGAACGTCGCCAACACGCCCGATCCCGCCAAACGATCCGTCAACATTGGTCTTCTCGTTTGCGTCGGCAACATCGGTGGCCTCATCGGCTCTTACATCTACCTCGAGCGTGAAGCACCCCGATACCCAACTGGTTACGGAACTTCTCTGGCTTTCGGTTTGGCTGGTGTTGTTGCAGTTTTGTTGCTGGAGACTCTTCTTAAGAGAGGTAATGCCAAGAAGGCTAAGATGACTGAGGAAGAGGTCAGACAGAGATATACAGATGAGGATCTTATTCGCATGGGAGAGAAGAGTCCATTGTTCAAGTATGCTCTTTAGATATCTTCATGGCATTACATAATAGGTCTAGCGGATATCACATTGGCTCTCTTAATAAACGGTTATCACATCCCCGCATAATCCTTGCTCGATTGACTTTTCAGCATCTCAGCCTCATTTACCCGCCCAACGTCGCCTAGTCTCACCACTTACCCCAACCCCAATCCGTCTGGCAATCTCACACACCATCTCATAATATGATTGGTGCCCACAGCCTAAACAACCCATGTCCAGGCAGCATCTTTCTCGCCTCTTTGATTCGAGCCAAGCATTGGCACGACACAAACCAACCCTTGCGTTACGTTTGATAATCATGACGTTGCGGTTCTTACCTTATAATCAGCCGCATTCCATCCCCTTTTTCTGCTGACAGCCCCAGATCTTACAACTTTTAGTCTGGGTGATATTCGCAAAATGTCGCGATGGCGCCAAATCCCGATGTCACTACGAGAGCGCAGCAGGTGTTAGAGGCGTGGAGTCAGGGCTTCAATGTCGGTGCTGTGACTATTCTGCTTTTGTTGGTTTTGTGCAATTATCGGAAGAATACGCTTTTGCATAAGCTTATTCTCGGTGAGGTGAGTAATTCCTTTGTTTCTCTCTATTGAATATCGATTAATCGCGAACAGCTTCTTCTTGCACTTGGACATGGGTTCTTTTGCTTTTTCGATGAACCTGAATATGGATGGTACTATTGCATTGATCCACTATGAATTGGGTTGTTAACTTGAAGCAGGGTCCTCAGCAGCACGGCAACCCTATTATATATCTCATACTTCATCCACAACCTCATCGCATGGCTTAAAATCCGTCCCTTCCTCCCAAAATGGGGAGCCCGGATCTTCATCATCTCACTTCTCATCGTCCAGCCCTACTGGGTTCTCGAAACATGGGCCAACTTTCAATATCACAACCATCTCGGTAGTAAAATCTTCAACACATCACGACTTCTCGAACCACTCTTCAGAGACCCCTGGTGGGTATTCACGACTATAAAACTGGTTCTAGCCATTAACGAGAACTACGAGTTTACGATTCCGGGCCTTATTCGAACTAGTCCACGATTTGGAATCATGTTATTCTGTTTGTTCTTGTCGATTGTGTTTTTGATCACTGATGTCATTTTCATGATTGCCGTGTCGAAAAGAGGGGGCATCAATCCTTTTTGGAGGGTGAGCTTCTTTGTTCTTCCATCAAGCCACTTCTAACAGGTTTTAGCTCGCTTTGGTTTTCAAATGTGCTTCTGATGTCATTTTTCTGGATGACTTCAAGAGCGTCCTTGACCGAATTTCAGAATCAGCCATGCGAAAGATCACAACGTTCGAATATCGAGACCACGCATCACCGTCTGTTAACCAACATACCTCGGTTGATTTTTCCTCACCAAATTTCCAGCGTAAGAGCTCAAGATTTGGATCATCTTCTAGGGCGGAAATGGGCTCTATCCTCCATCCAGTGGGATCTCGAGATGATGGCCATTATGAATTTGCCTCAAACTATAGCCAGGCTTCTGTGGAAGACGGTGCTGCACGGCCATGGCTTGAGGACGATGCAAGACGTTCGAGCTCTCATTCGCCAAGACGGAGAGGGGAGTCCCCGGATAATATGATCACTATACAAGAGGTTTGTTTTGCAACAAGATGTGCAGGAGGTTGACTGACTCGATGATAGGACGATAGAGCCACTGAAGTGGAGGATATTCCGATGGAACCAGTCAGAGCGCGGACAAGAAATGACCAAGCACGTTAGGAAATAGTATAGCAGGTATAAAAATTATATTATGATGATAGAAATCTATATATGGTATTCCCCGTTATCCATAAAAGCATCCAACCCTTTTCTCTCATCCCATTAAACATTATACCATGCCATGTCTGCCCTAGGATTGACTTCCTATTTCCATAGCAATATTAAGCATACTCCTCGGCCACCACGTCTCCATCCCCAGAAACTCCCCAAAGAAATTCTTCCTTCTCGTATACTTCACTATCCTCCCCAACTCACAAGCCCCAATACCTCCAATCCACCAAACACCATCTAACAGCATAACCAAAACAAGCCAATGAGAGAAGATATCCATAGCAAGTCTCGTCGTCTCAGAGACATCGCCTTCACACTGAATACCCTCGTCGGGAATATTTCCTGGACTTGTGGGGATGTTATCTAGCACAGACTCGACGATGCTGAGAAATTCGCTGGGGATCCGGTTCAGGAACCACATTATTGTTCGGCGGAGGGGTTTGGGTGGTGTCGAGAATGTTACGCGGGCCATGTAATTTCGTAGCCAAGGTGATACATCTGAGAGTTGACTCAGTGCAGCCCAACCCGCTTCTAGATCAGGTTGTTGGGAATCTGTATAAGCGCTCTGATCTGGGTGAAACAGCTCATTCACGATACTGCTCAGCGCTTCGAGGGCAACAAGACAGGCTTGAAGTTCAGTATCCTCACCCGGTGACTCCCAGGATGGCTTCAAGTGCGCAGCGAACTCCAAAGCCTGCGCTCTCATTCGTAACTTCTCCAGCGCTGACCCCGATGTCGCCGCGATAATAGGCATGAGAAGTTGCTCTGTCTGGGGCGTAGGTCCGTTCTCCCCCAAAGGAATCAAGCCATTAGTTGACTGGCTGTTCAAGGTGATGTCAGGCGGACTAGCCGTAAAGTCCTCCAAGAATCCAAAATCCTTCGTCGAGTGCAAAAGACCCGTATACGCTAGATGCGCCGCCCGGATGAGCGTCATCCAGTGTAACTGCACCGGCGCCAAGCTCGTTCTCTCCCCTGCATCCAATGTCTTTTCAACGTGAATTCTCACAGCGTGATTCGCCGTTGCGTAAAGGACCATCAGCGGTGCATTCGCAACAACGTGGTCGTAATGATTAGCAATTGGAATATCAGCCCTCGTCTGCCGAAGCGAAGCCCTATGATGTTCATCTGCAAGAGCAAGTAAATGCCTAACTTGACTCTTGTCGATCCTCTGCAAAGGTTGAGATATCAAATCGTGACATTTTCGCACAGCTGCGAGAGCGAGGATAGAGCTCATGAGGGGTTTACTTCTGAAAGCAAGATTGGGAAATCCAACTTGCAATGCATACAAATCATCTTCATCGTAGGCTAGAGAGCGCGCTGTGTGGGAGAGATAGTAACTAAAGAGTTCAAGCTCTGCGGCGCCGAGATCGACGGATGGAAGGGGGATTTCTTGCGGGAGGAGAGTGAAGTTGGGGCTTGGTGCGAGATAGGGCGACAAGCCCGGTGAGAGATCTGACGTTGAGAGACTCGCGCTTGTTGAACGGGCGTAGTATGGCGTTGGGATGGTGAGAGACTGGAGTTGACTCCATGTGTCTTCTTGAGTAGGTGATCTCAATGCACGAGATTTTTGACGAGGATATTCACATGGGATGTCTTTATCGAGACATCGTGAACATTGAGGTCTTTGCTCATCACACTATTTCCATTAGAACTGAAGTCAATTGATGATAAATGGAGGTAATCACCTTCTTCCTTCGTTGTTTGCAGCCCAAGCATCCATGTCTAGACTTTGTATGCGATCTTCTCGACCTAACATTCGAAGTCGGACTTGGTGTTTTGTTCGCACTACGCGATGGTGATTCCTGGATTGTAGACATATTACTCACTTTACTCAAACGATAAGGTAATCACAAGTAAAGCGTGTGGCGACTAGGCTTATATATCCCCATCCTCTCAATTAAGCTTACATCGTCACCCTCAAAATCTACTTGTGAGTGGTTGACGCGAGATCCACAGTCGAACCGCAGTCACAATGATTTGAATTAATTTCTCAGCCTCGAAATTGAGCTACGTAATCACCCACCCAATGCAATACCCGGCGCCGCGGGCCCACGCGGAGAAAAACTGCGCCTCGCTAGGCTCAGCCTCGAGAATTTGGAATTTCTGTCAGCGCGATGACCAGCCAATTGGGAGTGAGATGGTGTGTTAGGTGGTCGGCCAGAGCGAAAATGGACGCCGAATTGCGACGTTGGACTGACATGAGTGACGTGCTACTGTACCCATTCTATCGAGAGATGCCCGCCATTTAAGTTAAACAAAAGCTGCCGGGGTCCCCAAGGAGCGGCTGTCTCAGTCTCTGCGCAATGCAGTCCAATAGACTTACAAGAGAAACATGTAGGAACAGCGTCACATCAAGCACCTGTCGCAAAAACGGCCTAATACGGTAGTGAATACTACCCTGCGATGCTATGCTGACAGTGTGTGAGTCGAAGTGTCGGTGAGCTAATGATTGCCGCTAGAAGAGACTTGGAAGGGCGGGAGAATAAACTCGCCGATCATATGCAGTCATCTTGCTGCATGGGTTTATCGGCAGTGGGTGTCGAAGCCCCGTGGGAGTGATGATGTCGAGCATGAGGATTAGGCAGCGACATTAGCAGCAGCTGAAGTCTGCAATTCTCACTTATTTGTATATGATGTAATATTACTATTGATGCACCTGGGTCAGCTCAGAGCAGAATGGATATCATGGAAAGTGGAAAGGTGTGAATAGTGTAGGGTAGGCGATATCACAAAAAATTGTTAGGCTCTTGTCAATCATTAATATTTTTCATGCTGGTACAATGGTATTTACATAGCCAATTCCTTCTGAGCCCTAACACACAATTACACCACACAATCCAGGTATCCCATAAACTCTCTGTCCAGGGGGTATATGCCAATCGCTCATTACCTATCCACCTCAACACTGCGTACGATGTGCGCGCTACGGACGCCCATTCTATAGTGCCTCCGAAAGCCGCTCACGTGTTCTTCCCCTTCTTCCTCCCTGCCTTCACTCTCTTCTCTTTCGTCATATTCGCTATGTTCGTTGTCATCTTCTGGCTCTTCCTTGATATCAACATCTTCAATTGTAGGCGCAACACTGTTCTGTTCTGCCAAGTGTCGAGGGCTTTGAACTACAAAAATTCTCAGCTTCAACCTCAAAGCCTACGATTCGTCGTGTTACCTGTACTCCGTGCCATGGACTGACCTACGGCGCTGTTCTCAGGACCTCGATGGCTTCCTGGTTGAAGCCGATGGGTTCTCTCTGGTGCGGTCGCCTCATCCTGCATGCCCCCGGCCGATGGGTCATTGCACCACTCTGCATAGTATTCGATGTACTCTTCAACGGATTCTTTGTTCCGAGTGCGAGGGCAAGCCTTATCGTAGACCTTGAGCTTGTTCAACGGGACCCAACCCGACCTGCAGTCATATGGGAAATCTTGAGCAGCACGAAAGAAAAGACCCGGAAGGCTACGCTTGTGAGCCAAGTCGCCATTGTCTTCATAGCCAGGGGCCCAAGGTGACGGAGTAAGATCCGTGGGTTTTGCACCATCATAGCATTTGGGGATTGTTGTGTGGAGTTCTACGTCCTGTAAGACCTTATTGAGCTTGAAACGTGGGAAAGGTCCCCACGGAAGGATCATGAGAGGAGAAAAGGACTTGGTTCTGTCATTATACAAGCAGACGATGTCGCCCGGCTTTGCATTGATGATTCGAGGATCAACATCCTTGAATGCCTTGGGAGGCACCCAATGAGCGGAGGGATTCTTCCGTCTCCCGCGTTTCCCTTTCTTCTTTCGTGTATTCGCGTGGTTCGGGCGTTCGGATGGCTCTTCATCTCCATTTTCAAGCTCTGTCTCGTCGCCATCTGGATCCGGAGGTAGGGTACAGAGCGCATTGTTTTTCTCGGCGAGCTCCGTATTGCAGTCCGACACATGGGTGCCCAGCACCTGAACAACTTGCTCCTCTGTGGTACTAAAACTGCGGCCGTGGTTGTGATAGAAATGGTCATATGCATCCTCAACAACATCCTCTCCTTGGAACTGGATATCGCAGTCCTTGCACTCCAAGATGTACCAATTTCCTTGGCGAAACGGAAACTGCACAATCCTGTACTTGGCTGGAGCGTCGCCACCCTGAAAGACCTCGTTGAACTTGATAGATCGGTCCGGCGTAAGGGAAGGTGTTATTTCGCCTCGACGACTGCGTTTGACGAGTCGGTTCTCATCGCGCGAGATGTTGGAGGATCTTCGTCGCGATGCAGAGGTTCGGGGCTTTCTGCTCGAGATACGTTCGGCATTATCGGTCAATGAGGGTTGGGATCCAGCGGTCGCATTGCGCTCTGGCTCGGCTCTTTCCAGACCATCGTGGACTGCAGAGCTGTGCGAAGGTGTAGGTATCGAACTAGCTGGAAATGGAGCTCGTGGAGCTGGGGGCGTGGGTATCGAATCAGTTGGCAAAAGATTTTGTGGAGTTTGGGATGTAGAAGCTGCCAGCGCCTGAAGGCTTTCCGGAACCGTGCCCCAGTCGTTGAGGAGCTGTTTCAAAAACAGAGCTCTGTCTTTCTCGATTTCCTCCTCGAGCTTGGATTGCTCCAAAACGAGCGTCCTAAACGGCCGGATATCAATCTTGCCAGCTGTGTCCTCGCGGAATCTCTTAGCATTCTGCTGGGCCAGCTCCTCAAGCTGATCGACACGTTGCTGTCGCGCAAGGATCTCTGGAGTTCTGAAGTAGTTGTCTAGCGCCTGGAGCCGCGGCACCTTGTCCAGGATGGACTTTGAGATTGCGAGTAGATCGTCCATGCTGGACGTCAATCGGGCGGCACTTCACAAGAGTAGATAGTGCGGGAGCATGAGAAGGATGTCATGGATGAATTATCGCAGTCGCAATCGCAATCGCATTCGAGAGAGAGTGGAGGATGGAGGAGGGAAATGGGAGATGCAGGGCTTGACAGTGCAGTGCAGTTGGGAGCCGTGTTTGCTCTGACGGGGCTTTAAGCTCGGCCCAATGGACGTTGGGTGTTGGTTGCAAGCGAGTACGCTAAGTATCAGCCAGCAAACGGCTAAAGACTAGCGAGGCTCCCTATTGGCACATGATTTCTCTCCCCTCTTGTCTCAGCGGGAAGCGACAGTGAGTGTGACATCCTATATCAATGTAGGAAAAGATATGAAAGCATATGTATTAAGGAGGAATAAGAGAAAAAAAGTATATATACACAGAAGTAAAATTGCGAGACAGTGAAAACAGGTCTAAGCTTGCACGCAAACCCAATAGTCCACCCACAAGCTCTTACAAGTCGACCCAATAGCAGGATTCCACTTGAAAAGATTGGCCATCGTGATCTTGTAGTAATTCTGAATTGAGGCGCAAGTAGTGGTTGATTTCACCTGATGAAACTTCTTACAGTTCTTTGTTATACCGCTCTGGATAGGCGAAGGAGTCGTGACATCGTTGCTTGGCTGGGTAGGTGTAGGCTTTTGTCCAACTACGCCCACGCAGACGTTATAATCAACCCACAAAGCGGTGCATTTAGAGCCTATAGCTGGATTCCATGCATAGAAGTCTGCGAATGAGATCTTGTAGTAATCCTGAATCGAAGCACAGGTCGTTGTTGATTTGACTGGATGAAATTTGTTACAGCTCTTGGTCATACCCGCCTGTATCGGCGTGGGAGTTGTTATTCCATTGCCTGTGCTTGTTGGTGAAGGCGTTTGGCCGATGACACCTACACAGACGTTGTAGCCCACCAAGAGGGATGTACACTTTGAGCCTATGGAGGGATTCCAGGCATAAAAGTCCGCGAATGAAATCTTGTAATAGTCTTGAATCGAGGCACACGTGGTTGTTGACTTGATAGTATGGAACTTGTTACAGTTTTTGGTCATGCCGGTCTGGATAGGCGTGGGTGTGGCGATTCCATTGCTAGGTGTTGTAGGAGTCGGGGCTGTCCAGCCAACTACACTGACACAAACCCAATAGTCAACGAGCAAAGACTGACAGTTCGTGCCGACGGCGGGATTCCAGGAATAAAAGTCCTTCAGCGGGAGTTTATAGTAATCCTGTATTGAGTTGCAAGTGGTAGTCGATTTGATGAGATGGAACTTGGTGCAACTCTTGGTCATACCAGCCTGGATAGGCAACGGTGTCTCGATCCCGTTGGTAGGCTTAGTAGACTGCGTAGGAGTTGCTGTATGTCCTATGACAGACACACAGACCCAGACATCAGCCCATAATCCTGAGCAACCCGTGCCGAGCTTGGGGTTCCAAGTCGTGAACTGGGCTAGGGTTATGCCGTGCTTGGAGGAGACTGCATTGCAGTTGTCACCTTGCTCGACAAGGTAGAACTTATTGCAGTTCGAGACCATGCCAGGCTGGATTGGATCGGGTGTCTCGACGCCATTACCACCGACAGCAGTTGTAGATGGTTTTGTTGGGGTTGTCTTCGAAGGAACGAGCGTGGTAGAGGACGGAGGAGCCGTGGTGAACTTGGTCGTGGTGCTGCTGATAGGGGCGGGTGCTTCTTTCTCCTGAATGCAATACGAGAAACCTTCTTTGAAGTTCCCGCATTCTGCAGTGATGGAAGGGTTCTAACGTCATCCATTAGCTTTGATCCTTATGGGATAACGGCCATAGCAAAATACAAACCCATCTGATCAGGTCTTCCAAAGACAGGTTCCATGCGTAAGGGATCAGCTCGCATGGAAGTGAACCGTCATTGTCGTACCAAGAAGCACAGTTCTGTATGGTTCCCGGGGCTATAGGCATAGAAGGCTTATCATCGCGCCGGTGATGATGAGATGAGGAGCCATGGCTGGCTTGGAAAACAAGGGAGAGAGCCCCAAGATGGAAGAGTTTCATAGCGAACAGAAATGAGAGGAAATTTGCAATGGTTGCTTAGGTTAGCCAGGAGCATGTCTCAAAGTATGGATTTTCTTCATCCTATATACACTTTACAACATCCTGGGAATTCAGATAGTCCCTCATTGTAGACAAATAGCTCGTCCGCGCTCTGGATTTGTCTCCATTCAAACCATATTAGAACTGTACCACGGTCCCGGATAAATGACATGCAACCATCTGAGTATTCTGTTTAATTAACGCAACAGTCTATCTCGTCTAGCTCAGACCCCAAAGTTGGTCAGAATAACCTGGTATGAGGAGAAGTTGTCTAGACTTACATGAATCAGGACACCACTCCCGACCAATCATACCACTTCACAGCGAGTCAAAAAGGTTAAATATATGCATATTTCTGCATGTTGGTTCAAACTGCAATACTACTCGTACGTTCAATTTAATTTTAGCCGAAAAGAATCAAATGCCGGGGTTTGCATGTTCCTACGCCGCAATCACTCATATTGACCAATGCCGTCTCTAATCAACAACCTCCAGGTGAAATGGTACGGGCCGCCCTGCCGAGTCAATGCAGGTACCAGGGCACGAATGTAGATAAATATGCCATGCAATCCCTTTTCCAAACCCGTTTTCCCCACACAACCAAGTACTGAACCAACAAAGGATCGCAAGCATGAACGTTTCTCTTCTCCTCGGGTCTGTCCGCTGCGTTCCGGTTCCTATAACCGTCAGATCATACTAACGCTACAATTAGGGTGTTCTTGGGAACCTTTGCAGTCCTTGGCATGCAGGCGAAGGAGAAGCCTTCGCCACCATTTCCCATTGACCTTGGCGTCAGTCTCATTTTTCCTCGGCCAAATGAGACGTACCGCCCTGTTTACCCATTTCCTATCGTGTTTGCCCTTACTGGAGCGACCAAGGCGTGGCCTTATGGCTTCAAGCTGCAGTGGCGTTTGGAGGGCAATTGGGCGATTCCCATCAAGAAAGAGGATGTGCCTGTCGTCCATGGATCAGCTCCAGATTGGCTTTACAGCTCAGGGTCGCTTGATCCAGCGACGGAACCATACTTTGTGATCAATGCTACAGATATCATGGGTAACACTTCGTATACAGAGTGGGAGCTTGGATGGAGTTTGTCAGTTCTCCAAGAGTGCTCTCCTGGACCTGAGCGATATTGGAAGTATGGGTCCATCAACTTCTCGACATCATCTTCGGGCTTACTCCCCAATTACAAGCCCAAAGGGCCCTGCCCTCTCGAGATCCAGCACACTCGGTTCTTGGACAACAGAACAACGCCAAAAGGGGTGACTGGGGATAGGAGGTCTGAAAGTTGCGTGGTGGTCACTGATCAGGAAGGAGAAGGTGATCCGTGTAGTATTGATACTGGTCACGAACTGGCAACCATGGTTCGTGCTGAGATGCTCAGGTACGCAGAATGCCCAGATAATCAGTCGTGGCCTGATGAGAAGAATTTACTTGGTCCAGACTCTTGTCGGCGTCTGTATCCTAGTTCCAAGGACGCCGAGGATGTGGCAAATCTGATGTTACCTGCCGCTCTGACTGCGGTGGTGATGGGGACTGTTGTTGTTGCTTTCTTCGCTATGTAATTAAGTTCTAATTATTACTCCTTCAAGAGACGTGATCATATTGCTTGGCAAACCTGTGCCACATTTCTACCTCTCATACGGCGGCCGACTCGTTCAACAACACCATGCTTTCTTTGACTGATTGAAGAAATGGAGAATTTATTCCACCACACAGCCATCGGATCAAGGAGCTTTGTCCCGAACCTCAGTCTTCGCATCCTTGCCATATGGTCATTTGAGCGAGTTGTGAAGACCCTAGAACCAACAGACAGTTGCATTCTTTCCAGTCATGCCACCATTGACTTTAACCGTTATTGTTTAAAAGGACCAACACTACCGCCAAGGCTGCACAATTAGCCACCTGAGGAATGATCGGCTAGAAGGGAATTGGGAACTCGCCGTGTGCTGGATTGAAGAAAATGGAGGTTGGGACTTATAAGGATTCAATACAGAATGCTCTGAGTTTAGGGACTTGAAATTATAGCCGACCGTTACATTCTTTCAAACTTGTTTCTGGTCACTCTTTTGCAGCACATTCCTTCAATATTTCTTATTCTTTAGGCGGCGAATGACTTCTTTAGGCATTCGTCATGCGTATCTCTACCTTTATAGCCGCCGTGCTATCTACGGTGTTTACTATCTACCCAGCTTTCGCTTATGGGACCGCAGCCCCTCAGCTGAACTCTTGCCCACCGCTCATTGATGAAGCTGGCGTTGACTCGTCAAACTGGACGCTCTTTACAAATCTTGATGAAGCCTTGGCTTGTAATCACAAACCTAGACTTCTCGACTTTACCATTCATTACCCACTTCGACCATCGGGTCCTGGCAATGTCTTGAGAGCATGCACCTCTTACCAAGGAGAAACCCTCAATCTCACCAGCGTGGTGAGCACCTCATCGCTGGCTAGGAACAATCAGACCAAATCTAAGCTTGAGCTTGTTTGGGATGACACCGATGAGAAAGTCATAATGCCCCAAGCCATCACCGCACTGAAGGAACTGCAATCGTTTCTATTGACTGAGGGCTCCAAAGACAGACAGTCGATTTTCTCTCAGTATGGTGATACATCTGTGGGCCTTTACATTGGAGACAAGGTTGTGCCAAGTAGCGTTGCCAACGTCGTTATCGAGGCGTTGGTGAAGCGTCTTCGAGAGTCTGGTATGCCAAGAAGACTCGGAGTTCAGCTTTGTGGCGATGGTCGCAATTCTGACTACACCTCTGGTATCATGATCGACACCAAACCTGGTCCTGCCTCGCTCATCAACGCTCAAGTAGCTGTGAGCGGGTGGAGTAATGCTACGTGTATTGACGGATTCCAGCACAGCTCAAACTTTGGCAGCTTCCTCATCGAGACCATCAAGGGAGATACCGCTGTTTCTCGGCCCTCCAACTCCACGTCACCGAAGCTCGCCAAGCGCGCAGAGTGCAAAACCATTCAGGTCAAGTCGGGAGATGGCTGTGGCGACCTAGCTCAGCGTTGTGGAATCAAAGCAGCCGACTTCACAAAGTACAACAGCCAGACGAAGAATTTGTGCTCTACTCTGATCGATGGCCAGCACGTCTGTTGCTCGTCTGGAGACTTGCCTGACTTTCGGCCCAAACCGAAGCCTGACGGCAGCTGTGCAACATATACTGTCGAATCAGGGGACTTTTGCAACAAGATTGCTGCTGCAAACTCTCTCAAGGTCGAAGACATTGAGAGTTTCAACAAGAATACCTGGGGCTGGTCTGGGTGCAAACTCTTGTTCGACAAGGCAGTGATTTGTTTGAGCAAAGGCGATCCCCCAATGCCTAACCCCATTGCAAATGCAGAGTGTGGACCTCAAAAGCCTGGCACGAAGAAACCTGAAAATGGAAAAGATCTTGCGGATCTCAACCCGTGTCCTCTGAATGCATGCTGCAACATCTGGGGACAATGCGGTGTCACAGCAGACTTCTGTAAGAACACCACGCTTGGGGCTCCAGGTACTGCAAAACCGGGGACCAACGGATGCATTTCCAACTGCGGCACCGACATCGTGAACAACAAGTCTCCCCCCTCGTCTTTCATCAGTGTCGGCTACTTCGAGGCCTGGAACCAAGACCGGCCCTGCCTCTGGATGGATGCTTCGGAGCTTGAAAAGAGATCTGAACTTACCCACGTCCATTTCTCATTTGCTCGACTTACCGATAGTTTTGAAGTCGACATCAGCCACGTCTCCTACCAGTTCAACAAGTTCAAGAAGCTTAAAGGACCCAAACGCATTCTTGCCTTTGGGGGTTGGGTGGACTCTACTCATCCTACTAAGTATCACATCCTTCGCAACGCAGTCAAGATGGAAAATCGACTTCAGGTTGCAAAGAATATTGCTGCCTTCGTCAAGAAGCATGATCTCGATGGCGTTGATATTGACTGGGAGTATCCTGGAGCTCCAGACATCCCAGACATCCCCAAAGCCGACGAGGAGGATGGGAAGAATTACCTTGGCCTGTTGACCCTTCTCAAGGGCCAGCTCGGTGGCTTATCACTCTCCATCGCAGCTCCTGCTTCCTTTTGGTATTTGAAGCCGTACCCCATCAACAACATCGCCAAGGTAGTTGACTACATCATCTACATGACCTACGATCTGCACGGTCAATGGGACTACGACAATAAGTGGGCTTCTCCCGGCTGTCCAAAAGGAAACTGCTTGCGTTCCCATGTCAACCTCACAGAAACCATGGGTGCTCTCGCCATGATAACCAAGGCTGGCGTGCCGTCGACCAAGGTTATTGTTGGAGTTACAAGCTACGGAAGGTCCTTCAAGATGGCGAAAAAGGGATGTGTAGGTCCCATGTGCACGTTCCTTGGGTCTTCGACAGAGTCATTAGCTCGCAAGGGCGTTTGCACTGGCGAGTCCGGGTACATCTCGAATGCGGAGATTGAGAACATAGCCAACAAGCAGGCAACCTGGTGGATCGACGAGAGTGACTCCGATATTCTAGTGTACAACGACACTGAGTGGGTTGCCTACATGTCTGACTCGACCAAGAAGAGGCGAATTTCCAAGTATCAAGGTCTTAACTTTGGAGGCGTCACCGACTGGGCTGTTGATCTTCAGAAGTTTGGCAAGCTTGAAGATAGCAACTTGATCGAGATCATCGACAAGGACGGCAAATGCAAGTGGAAGACGAAAGACGGGTTTAGCTGTCTGGACAAAGCCGTCATAGAGTCTGACATGAATCCCCAGGATCGCTGGAATGGTGTACGCGCGCCGTGCGCCTGGAGAGACATGGCGTCTTCTTGGGTGGACAAGCGATCGTCTCAGAATATCAACGTAACCGGAAAGGAGAACGCGAATAAGTTCTCTAGGCATGTGTCAGACCTTGCTGATGGTTATGAGAAGTTTGACTGTGCATCGTTTTCTGTAGGTGTCAATGGGTGCGAGCAGGAAGACAAATGCGAGGATACCCGGGACTCAGGACCTGCCGGCTACTTTATCCTCAACTCTTTCACTAGCATACATACTGTAAGTCGGCCTCCCTGCCATACACTGCCGGTGGGTTAATTCCTCTCTTAAGACGTTCAAAAGCCTTTGGCAGACTGTCGACAAGGTTGAAAATGGCATGCAGTCAAAGCTAGATCAGCTGGTAGAAACGTTTGCTCCAGATGTGGATGAATCAAGCGAGTTCAATTTGATTGCAGATTTTCTCGGAATCGCCGTGGGGATGTTTGCCGCTCCGTTCTTCAACAAGAGTAAGTTACTGAAAAGGAACCTTTATTTTTGATGGCTTGAACTGACTTTCCTATCAAGTTATGAAGACGAAAGACAGTCCCACGGCTGACATCAAGGACCTTATTGCGAACACGGCTTCTTGGGGAGCCACTCTAGCCAAGGATATCCAGAACAGGTTCGTCTAATTCACCCTTTTAGTCGTGCCACCTGCTCTAAAAATCATGGATAGCAAGAGGGAAACGCCCAAGAGCAAAGTCGCTGGCAAGCTCAGCGAAATCTCAGATCTCTGGACCGAGTCCATCGAAGCTTTTACTGAAAAAGCATTCCGCGGAGACGATGAATCCGTCGATTACATCGGAGACTTGATTGCCGATGGCAAATTCAACAATGACGAAGTAACCTTTGACATGTCAGATCTTCGAAAACAACTGCGCAAAGTCTTTTTCGCAGTCCTCATCCCCGAGGCTTGGAAAGTTGGCGCCGGATATGCTCCCGCCTTCGTCATGGATTCCGGTTACGATTGCAATGCTGTTGGGCCTCTCGACTACGAGTACATCGCCCCGAGCACTGGTGAGGAGATGGGGTACTGCTACCAAGGCCGGAGGTATTATCTCCTTGCACCGAATGGTCGTGAGCGGAACTGTGATCCTCAAGTACCCGGTGGCACAGGCGGTAATCCTACAGACTGCAAACCCAACTACTTTACCGCGCCGCAGGGAATAGAGAACTTAGGTCCTAAGAATCAGGATACCTATGACTGGGGAGGGATCAAAGCTCAGGATCTCGTTGCTGGGTAAGTAAGCCTGAGTCCAGATAGATGGTATTATGCTAACTTACATCACAGGGCCGTCGAGGGCTGGAAGGCCAACAAGGAGAAAAACGGTGGTGGGTTTCTTGACCTGACAAAAACGAGCAACTATGACTTTCTTCTTGACGGTAACTCGGATGAGGTCAATATCAGATTGCCCGGTTTCATCCAGATTCCAGTGTGTTCGCCTGAAAGAGCGAGAGGGGGATGGAAATCCTTCGATTCATTGTCCTCGAGCCAGAAGCAGAAGGTCTTTGAGCAGCTCCCTTACTACCCATGCTGAAGGCCCTATGTCTTTGAAGATCCTTTTGGGCCGGTCGTGTAATCAATGAGATGATTTGGGAGCTGGAATCTAGGGTGTTGGGTTGCTTGATTGTTTTCATATGTAATTAATATTCTTCACCTCGCCGTTTGGCGATATCTTGTATTTTAGCAACTCATTCTTTTCTTAGAACTTGGGAAGGTAAACAATAAAGCCCTCGGTTCTGTACTATCATGGAATTATAACTCCTTTGTACTTCTAATGAAAACCGAAAGGCCACGAGCCCATGAACTTTATCTCAGTATGGCGGCCACAACGGCAACTGGAACTCGACTGCTCACGGTGGCTCTAAGCCCAGTCCCAACGGCGGCTCCAACAGTGGTTCCAAGTGTGGTTCCAGTGGCGGCTCCCAGACCAGCTCTTACGGTGGTTCAAGCTCTGGTTCCAGCTTTGGTTCTAACCGAGGTCCCAACGGCTCCAATGGTAGCGGTTCCAAGAACACACAACCCAGCATCGTGCCTGTTATCAGCGGGGCTGGTAAGCAGGCCATTGGCATGCTTTCTCTTCTTGCTGCAATTGCAGCCGTTTTCTAAACAGATTTCTCTTCACCTCTGAGTTTCGTTTCCCATCTGCAGCTTTAGCTTTCTAGTGCCTTAGGTTTAACTATATCCGGCTCATTGCCACTCAACATCTTAGAATAGAATAAGCTTTTCTTGAATCGCGTTCCACGATTGGCTGAGAGTAGCCCCTTTTATGGGACTCCAAAACTTTGACGCGACGTCTGCTTACTAAATAAAGTGAACTAACTCTTTTCTTCTGCTTGTTGATTTTTCAAACTGAGATATCTTTTTATAAGAAAAGTGATGACCCTTCCCTATGCCTTCGAAAGACTCTCGAAATATCTATAGATCATGTTTTCTACTCGCTTTACTAAGCGAGTCGCTACCAGCCTCAGCTGAGCAGATCTGGCAAAGTAAGCCTTGGATTCGAAAGTATCCATGCAGTCGTGGATATCAAGGCATAGGTTCCATCGAGATCAATCCTTTTTGGATCGACAGTTTTCGAGGGTCATGGAATATCGATGCAGAGAAAAGCTCAGCGACCTTGGAGTTAGACATCCTCGCAGTCCATAATGCGTCGCTGATGAGTTGTGAAGACATTGATGTTCCTTCACTGAGAAACTCGATTGACTTTCAAGTCCTTGGCCGCTTAGTTGGGAAGTTGGAGAATTTCTCAAGTAACTGTCCTTTACCTATCACAGATACTTTGACACCGTAAGTATAATCTGTGTCTCTCAAGAGCTTGTCAGAGTGCTGATTGAACAAATAGGATTGGACAGACGCGTCTGAGCTCCTATCATCTGCTTTACAGCTTTCAAAGCACACATCAATTTCAAACTCTGGAATCAACGTTCCGCTTCAGACAAGCCGATGGCCAAGAATTGGATTGCGGGAGAGCGAAAATCACCCCGGACTTAGGCGACAGCATATCAGCAGTTTTGACATTCGTGCCACTTGCCATTCTGATCGTCGTCACTCTCTCATCATGGCGAGTAAACCAGAGCAGTCTCACCTATGCCCATGGCCTCAATGCTAGCTCATTGTGGTCAGTCGTTCTGGACGTGACGAGCTACCTTCGCTACCTGCAATTCGCTTTCATAGCGGCATTGATGAGCATTGAATATCCCGGCTTCTTTGTCCCTGCAGTGAGCAAGCTCTCCTGGGCTTCTTTACTATACTGGTCAGGTCCATTCAGCAACGGATACATGTATGAGGGGCCGACAGGTGGTATGTACGCTAGCAATGCTTCTTATGGGCTTGGTTTCATGACGCAGATGCTTCGATACCCCAATATGCTCAATACCTTGGCGAACTCCCTGATCAACCTGATCATTTTGACTTCACCGATATTCTTTCTCTTATTAATCTCATTCTGGACCTTCTCCCGTTCGAGTTCGGTGCATTCCCTCCCTTTTCTTTCGATTTTGCAGAAGGCTGCCTGGACAACTATTGGCGTTGCACTATGCTTCTTTAGTATGCCGTTACTTTCATACATCTCGTATGATCTTATCCTTATTGGATACCTCCCAAATTATCGCATTGGCTTAGCTGTCGTAATGCTACTCATAATCCTCGGAGCCGGTCACTTTCTCGTCCAAGTGCTGGATGACCAAGCAGGTGACCAACTGAAACCACCGCGAGCCAGCCGATTGGAAACAAGTAACCCCAATGTGAATTTCCATACACTATGGCGGCTACTTTCTCGTCATATTCCACATACAATGCCGCTTTTACAAGCCATTGGTGTTGGCGGCCTTCAAGACTTTCCTCTTGCCCAGCTCTTCATGTTGATTGCTTGCGAAATCTTCATCAGTATTTCGCACTTAAATTCAAAACGAAGCAGGCTGTTAAAAACACCAACAACAATATACATATCGACAATGCGATTGATTCTTTTATTCCTCACTAGCATATTTGCTATGCCCATTACCGAAGGCACGAGACAATGGATCGGATATGTGGTATTGATTTTGCATGGACTTGTCATACTTGCTGGATTCTTCATCAAGCATGCATGGAAGTTATACGAGACTGTATTTACAGGCGAGGCTATCGACCGGGATTCCTCAAGCCACACTACTGGTGGAGATTCTAATCTGGTTCCTGTGAGCCTTTTGCAAAAACATTTTAACTGCTTGCTAATTTCTTTCTGCAGTCTATCCATATGGATTCTTTAGACACACATTCAACCGCAGATCTCCTTGAGTATCGTCAGGCCCCAAGCAGAGAAACCTCAACAAGAGATTTCCAACCAGATCCATCGACATTTTACAGACCACCGAGGTCTGGGGCAACAAGCTCTGCTTATCACGCACCTCGACCAGCCGCTGTTTTAACTAATCCAAGATCACCATCAACTGACAACAGCAGTCCTAGCATAGGACATTTTAGCATAGATCTGGCCCTATCAGAGGTAGCATTTCAGCCAGGCATCGACTACTCGTTTCGCGAGTCTGACAGGTTCTATGGAATTGATGAGGAAAGGGTGTTCGTCTCGTCAACGTCAATTCCAAACGTGGACACAAATCCAGGGCCTTCGTCAGGAATGAGGCATGATGAAACGGATAGGAGTCAATTGAAGAATAAACTGATGGCTGGGCTTACAAACGCGTTTACGAAGCCCAGGCCAAAAGCACACGAGAAAGGATTTCAGGTCAAGAGACCACCGAGGCCTCCTTGATCGACATCGAACATGTGAATCCTAGTTTCTATGCTTAGTAAATAACATATATGGCTGAAATCGTCGAGCAATAATGCTCTTACTGCTATGACATCTAGATATGGTTTTACAGTTCTAACTCATACTATTTCAAACTGGAAAACGGATAAAAGCTTGCCTATATAAATAATCATATCATAAGACGCGGATGTTTTTAAAAACATTCATTGGTTGGTTCCCTGTCACAAGATTAGCCCCTCACGCCAAGGATTGTCTGTCACCTTTTGATTCATGATAATTATACGTAGTCTTCCTAGGCAAGCTCATACTTACATTTCATCACTGTCAGCACCGACAAAATGGACTACAGCTCGTTACCTCAACCTCTGCCTAGGCTTATACCTGCTGATCAGATTCTCCCAATCATGAAACGAATCGTCGGTCTATATCAGACCGTACGAGAAAACATTATTGAAAGTGTGGATGTACAAAAAGCCAACTTCGACAACTTAATTCAGCCCCTAATTGATATTGACAACGAAACTCAGGGTGATATTGCAATCATTGCCATGCTCCGTTATTCATCTCCCGACCCAGCATCTCGTCAGGCGTCGGAAGAAGCATGTGCTCTTGTCAACGAAGATCAAGCCGCCTTTACTGCAAGACCAGATTTCTGGCCGTTACTCAAAGCTGTCAAAGAAGCCTGTCAGGAGATTTCTCTTCATTTCGAAGCTCGAAAGTACCTCGATAAGTTGTTTCTAGAGTTCAAGCAGTTTGGACATGGTATTTTGCAGCCTGTTCAAATTCATGAATACCTAGAGAGAAGAAATTATATCGACGGGATGCGGCGAAAGTATAACCAGAGAATCAGAGAAGATGCTGTAGGTCTTTGGTTCTCTCTTGACGAACTAGCCGGTGTAAAGCAGCATGATCTCGATCGCTTTGGAAAAGACCCAGAAAAGCATGACATGCGATTCGTTTGCTTTTCAGCAGCTGATTCTTTGGTTGTATACCGAAATGCCTCCGAAAGTGCTACACGGAAGAGGATGTATGTTGGCAATGCCAATAATCTCAATCAAAACGCCAAACTCTTCGAGAAGATTGTTGTGGAGAGAGATTTGAACGCTCGTCTTGTGGGCTACGAGAGTCATGCGGCTTATCGACTAGAGAAGAGGCTGATGAAGAACCCGGCTCAGGTTGAAAGTTTGTTGGCCGACTTACACGATAGACTACTAGCTCGTGGGCAGCACGATATGAACCTCCTAATGGATCTGAAGAGAAAGGAGTCCAGGGAGAGTGCCAAAATCACTGAAGATGATGCCAACGCGATATTTCCTTGGGACTATTGGTATTACGCCCGTCTAGCTGAACAGCACCTCCATGTCGATCCCGAGCAGGTTGCCGAATATTTCCCACTCCAACATGTTATCTCTGTGATGTTGGAGATGTTCTCTGAATTCTTGCAACTTCGTTTCTGTCCTATATCTCAGGAACAACTTGACGGCTCGGCGTGGCATGACGATGTACGAGCTTATGCTGTTTGGGATGGTCGCGAAGCATCGAAAGGTCGATTCATTGGCTACCTCTATACGGATCTTCTTTCAAGAGATAACAAGTATAAGGGTAACCAGAACGTCAACCTCCAATGTGTAAGCATTCAGATGCGTCAGATAAGTACCGACTTCTAACTCAATATTCCATCAGGGCTACCTGAAAAACGATGGCAGTCGAGTATATCCCGCAACCCTTCTCATGTGCTCCTTTCCGCCACCTGCACCTTCAGCTTGCACATTCCTAAAGCACAGTCAGATTATCTCTCTATTCCACGGTAAGAAACACGGTAAAAACCAACTAAATACACAGGAACTCACTAGATCAGAGTTAGGACATGGCATCCATGACCTGCTGGCCAGGACGAACTACGTGGCCTTTCACGGCCATAGGTCACCACCGGACTTTGCAGAAGCACTCAGTGTAATGCTCGAGAAGTGGTGCTGGATGAAATCCGAGCTCAAACGCTTGGGTCTTCATTATACAAACACAGATCTGCACTTGAAGGAGAAATGGCTTCAAGCGCATCCAGGAGAGAATCTTCCCCCAGAGCGTATACCCGATGATACCATTGAGAGGTTGATAAAGGGCCGTCAAGTGACGCGCTCGTTGTGGTATCTTCGTCAATTGTGAATATTTCTCGCTCAAAAGGCTGCTGAGCTAATATTGCTTTTCTAGGGTTTACGCCCACTTTGATATGAAAGTTCATCATCCCAGAAGCCACACTGAGCTATGCAATACGGACTCGACCAAAATATTCAACGACCTCCTTGAGAAGCTGTGGCTTGTTCGCGCACCTCAACCAGACGACCAAGGATACCCACATGCTGATCTAGGTCATCTAGTCTCTGGCTACGATGCAGGCTACTACTCATATCTCAGGCGAGTTGACCTCAATCTAACTATAAAAATTACTAATTGGTTATTATTAGTGCTCATGTGTTTGCTGAAGAGTTCTTTGAATCGACGTTCCTTGAGGATCCTAGGAGTGTATCCGCCTGGGATAGGTATAGGAAGGGTATTCTTGAAATTGGTGGAAGTAGAGATGAGTTGGAGCTACTCGTAGAGTATCTGGGCCATAGTCCTACTGCTGATCCGTTGCTTCGTGATATTCTACAGTAGCTAGTTACTCAAAGGTTCGCTAAATATGTGTCTTCTTCAGACCTACACAGCAGTGTCACTTCCTTAAGGTTAATGATATTCATGATGGCGACTTGGTCAAGAGATTAGGATTAAGGCAGTAGTGATATTCACTAGAGCCTTTCTCCTATAGTATCTATACCTTTTCCCAAGTCAATGACTCTGAGCTTAGCTTTCCCTGCCTCCGGATATCATCCCCAAAATCGAACGCCCAGACTTCTCCCCAAGTGTCAACATCGCAAACTTTCGTATCCAATTCCCATCCGGCTGCTTACTCGGATCATTCGCCATACGCAGAATATCCGGTGGGCAGTGACTCTCCATATACATCTTCCTCTCCTGCGTCTTCTCCGGGCCTTCAGGCAGAATCGTTATAAAGCTCTGAAGAATCGTAGCATCACTCGCCGTCATATTCGTAAGAATATCCCGCAACAGTGTCTTTGGTAGGTAATAACCTCTCCCTTGATCACTAAGGCCTTTCTGGGCTATTAAAAGCGTGGCTCTTGCTTCTTTGGGATCTGTGTCTCCGACATCTAATCCAGATCCCGTGATGGTATGCTCTGGCTTGGTGAATGTTGTCAAGGATTCGATCTTTTTTAGGGATAGAAATGCTAGCATTGACAGGAAGCGTGTTAGCATCATGTTTCCGTATTCGAAGCTATGGCGAAGATAGTGAATTCGTAGAATGGTCTCGAAGTAGCCTCGGTATTTTGAGAGGGACTTTTGAAGATCTTCTTCTTCGATGGGGAGGTTCGGGGCTTGTCTATGTCCTCCTGGGGCGAGAATTTCGTATAGCTGGATGATAACATAGCAATAATGAAGACTAACGGATATTAAAAATTGTCAGCTCGTTTTACTATCAAAATGTAAGGCTTGAGTGAGATATGGTCAACGTACTGTATCTTGAGTTGTGAAGGTGAAACAATCTGCGTTGGTGACAGTGGTTCTGGCATAGCTTTATACCATGTATCCATTCTCTCCGCTATCTTAATGATCCTTGTGGCCCCATTTCGAAACAAGTAAGAATCAGTTGAATCTTTTTCAACTTCTAACATTGCCTCGTTAAGAACGACACTAAAGCGCATCTTTGCTTTGAACACCAAGCCAAGCCGCAATGGCACCAGTGTTGAACTCGAAGGATACTTGAGCCAGATCTCACTAAACCACTCTGGATCGCGGTCAGGGTCGGGAAGGGGTGTCTTGGGTGGTGTTTTTAATAACGGCTGGGTCATCAATTGGTAACTCAGCGTACTTATTCTGTTAGCTATAGAATAGATGTATGAGGGGAATCTTACCATTGCCAGTGAAACAAAGACCAGGCCGTAAGGTCATATGAGTTTCTCAACTTCTTGTTCATTATGTACGTCGTCGGTTCAAATAACCCCAACTCATGGGCTATTTCTATTGACCGAACGAGGAATGCTGAGGATAAAGGATCCATATCAAACATATTGACGATAGTGTTCACGACAAGGGCTGCCTGTAACGTTGTCAAACTTCTGTTATGCGTCACCTCCATTATCCAGAGCCTTCTTGCTTCTTCAAGGAATTTAGAACCAAGACTATTGGGATTCCAATACTCTGCGGGCTCAGATACAGAGTTTCGACATTGCTGACAGCTTATTAGCATGAGCTTTATAGTAGATGAGGGGGGACTTCCACATCCAAATGCCAAAACAGCGTTGACGAGCAGTGATGAGCAAAATGTATTAGATCCATTGATCATATCGTCTAAGAAGTAGTCCTTATGAAAGAACGTGAACCAGTCATATTCTTGAAGGAAATAAGCGCGTATAAGCTCCTTCATTGTATCATCGCTAACGTCCACAGTAGTCCATTTCGAAGGTACTATCTCGTCCAGCCTTGAGTCGACAATTGTTGCCGCATGGTGAGGTCTCAAGTACTGCGCCCGATATCCCAAATCTGTTTCTGGAGAAACCGGAGATGCAATACTAACAATATCATCTCTTGTGCTCCACTCATGTATAAGAGATCTCATGAAGGGATTATCTTCAGTCTGAAGATATGTAGGCATGAGCGGTGAGTAGATAAACTGATATCGTGATCTTGTTTCTGGCTCCAGTTGTACTTGGAGGAGTAAATCGGCGCTTGATAGTTGGCGCATCAAAGTTTCAGCATCGACACCAGCTTGAATCCGTCTGACAATTTCAAGTGCTTCAGATCGTGGCCGTGTTTGAATAGCTCGATATACGACGGCTGCAGGGTGTGATTCTAGAAGTGCCTCGTATTTATCACGATAGTCTGTGTCTGGCGTCGCTCTGTAAACACACTCGAGTTTCCGTGCCCGGCATTGAGAGCATACCGGTCGAGCTCCGTTACACTGCAAAGACCGATGAGCTGCCGCCATAATACGCAAAGTAGGAACTATACTGACCTTTATTTTCTTCTGTCGACATGCTTCACATGCCAAGGCTATTGGAGCTCGTTTTCTTGTCAGGGGAGCTGTTTGGTAGTGATTAGAACTTTCAGCCGGCTGGGGACGAGCAGCTGGTAGTAAACGTCGAGGGCCGCCTGTTTGAGAGGTATCTTGAGTTGATGATGTTGATGCATCGGAAATACTTGGTGTTCTATGGGGTATCATCTTTGATAAGTTGACGTAGCTTGGTAGAAAATCAAAACTGTCATGATTCTAACGAGAGTGATATCGGAAGAACAAAGCCCTGGTTTTGAAGGGTGAGGTCATACAAACGCGTAATTGACTCACAGGGCTATGTCTCAGTTTCTTGATTACAAAGTTTTATATGCTTTTGCATGTTCGAAACATGATGTCATGGTGGTTGAAGGATGATGCGCTTTATGTCTTGGGAGCCACAAGAGCGGCTTTATGAGAGGTGTTTTCTGATTCGTCCAGTCGCTTGCTCCGGGCCATGCCCCGTCCTTTCGATAGGCTCGTTTATTGTGGTATAGCATCCATTAGAATTGGATGTTACGGTCTGGAAGCCGACCTGTCGTCGAGTCTACAGGCGTTTGGCAGCCTATATTATTATTATTGCCTCTTTCATCGTATAAGTCACTATCCAGCATACTTTAGAGATGATGAGTTACTACACATTACTTCAATCTGAAGACTGGGCACCGTATGTATCAGGCTATGCCATTGCAGAGGAATTTCCCAATCTCCATCATCGACCTGTTCAACATGTTACTGAAACCACAGAGGTGGCGATTAAAGCTTGGTCATCCATTACACTCTGGGTGGGCTCGTTTTGAAAAGAAAATGATCCTTGTTTCCTTGCGATATTCCTTGGAGATCTAGAAGATCCGTGATGACGATCAGTCCCTGAAACCGCAAGGTATAGAGCCCATCAGCAATCTCACATAATCGATGATCGAATTGGGAATTAAAAGAATATTCTAACAATGCTTCGAAGTGATTTCGTCATCTGAATTGCGTTCATAAACCCGAAATCCGTCTCATTATCTCATATTTACCTTCTCCACCATCAGATGACAGATCCCAGATCGGCCTATTATGCAATATTGAATACCACTCCCCGGGATTAAAGTTCTTGGCTACCAGACTATTAAAAATCCAGGGTCCTGGTCGGCGGGAATTACCCAAATCGCTGTTGTGACGCACCACGCGATCTGCGCCAGAACGCGCCACTATTCCCAACATGGTCTTACCCAGCGCTGTCTTATTTGTGGTGGGGATCATATCGCCTCATGAGCCAAGCATGTAATATTATAAAAGAAATAAAATTCACTTACATCATGGCGAAAATACTCCAGTTGGCTTGGAACATCAATTTCTTTCGTCGTTATCATGCCTGGCGTTCCGAAAAGTCGAGGCTGTAATACCTGTCTGAAGCAGAAGAAAAAGGTGAGTTCAAAACCTTGCTAGAAAGCCCGTTAGGGATTTATTCACATTAGCTAGTGTGACCAAGCCAAGCCAGCTTGCTCAAGATGTGCTCGGCTCAGGGTTCCCTGTATCGGTTCAGGCGAGCAGAAATATGTCTTCAAACCAGTATCATTCACCAAGCCATTTAAACCCAGCTTTCAAAAAGCACGAAAACGCGAGAAACCCTCTCAGGTATCCATTACACATAAGCCTCAAAACTCCTTAACTCTTCTCGAAGCCAAGTTTGTTGCGGCGCTGGAAATAACAGACCTTCGCTATGGTGTTCACTGTTATGGCGACTTTCTAGAGCATATTCCTAGAAGACTAGGTCACAGCCATACTCTCGATGTTTCAGTTGATCTGATGATGAGTACCTTACCTTATCATTATTCACATGAGATCCCATCTCAGGTTCTAGCCAAGTACGGCAGCGGTCTGAAAGTATTGAAAGGTTTCCTGAATGGGACGGGCGCACGGCTCGGTCCCGAGGACCTTGCATCCTTTCACATTATGACTATATGCCAGGTAATAACCATCCTCAAGTACAGAGCATGCACTGATAAGCTTAAAAGAGCTGGGTGGGGCGAGCAGATGAGGACTGGAAAGGTCATGGGCAGATGCTTGCGCGGTTCATGAATACCGCAAGCGAAACAGGCTGTAGTGACATTTTTGAACTCAAGTCGCTTGATACCTCGTTGGTAGCTCTATTTCTTGAGGCTCTGATCGACCCATCCATCGGCTTGGAACATTATGTCATATTCATAACCTCACAGTCGCGCCAAAACACATACAACCGAGATCAGGGTTTTCAAATTCGAACTTTTCAACTACAAAGGTTAATCAGGATACCGAGATTTTTGCATGAACCTCTGCGTTATGTGGACGAAATCAAAATCACATATCAAGAGTTGCGAGGCGATTATTCAAGAATACAGTGCCACCTCGAGAGTCTAAATGAACAGGAACCTCCTCCCGAAGACTTACATAATCGACCAAACCTAAACCACAAGCTTCAAGTCACGGAAGCGATCTTTCTCACGGCAGTACTAGCTCTGAACAGCATACTTCGAGCAACGTATCCAGATGACAGCGTCTTACTCCTGGAAGCATCAACTTTGGTGAACGAACTTATCACACTTGCCAAAACGGCATCCCAATACAGGCCTCTTGGGGCCAGCTACATCCCACCATGCCTAGTAGCTGCAGTAAGTCAATTTCCGGCTGGTACGATCTTCTACATATTGGAGGTTACTGATCGCTTTTGTAGTTGGCGACTACGAGTGCTTTGGAAGCCCAGCAAAATGAGATTGGGACGTTGCTAGCGGAATATCAGCACGATTATGCTCGCATAAAGTGGATTGATCAGGCTAAATTGCTCAGGGAATTAAATGGGACACAGCTGGGGCGACTATCTGGATCGAATAGTCGGGACAAAGTCGAAAAGTCTGATATCGATGGAAATCTCGAGCTGTTAATGGTCCATTATAAGGCAGTGTTTGGGTCCATTGGCAGCTACTTCTTCCCGTCAAGCTGAGGCTCTTAATCGTCAAGCTTGGAAAATTGACAATGGGTATGAGAGATAGCGAAAAGCAAGATTTGAGCTTTGTTTAGGGTGAAAAAATTAAATATTATTCATGCCAAAGAGTTGACATCATTAAAAACTTGGCATCATTATTTGAGTCATTGCCCTATATCAATATGTTCCCGTCAATCGTTAACTTCTAGGACCAGATTAGAGTAGCACAATTGCTCCAAGCGCAACACCAGCAACGGCAATCAAAGAACCCTCCATGACTCGAGCCGTATTAGACGCAGCAGTAGTAGACGCAGCAGCGGGCGTAGAAGTAGAAACAGCCTCCTCAGTCGATTTAGTCTCCGATGGCAGTACAGGAGCCACAGTAGTTGATCCAGTCGCCGCCGTGATTCCAATCGATTCAGTCGGTTCAGCCGATTCAGATGCGACATGCTTCGTCGTAGTCCTCGTTTCAACCTCAACCACAGTACTAGGCTCAGGAGTTTCCGTCACAGTTGTCTCCGGTGTCGTCTCGGCAGCTGCAGCTACAAGCGTAGTCGAAGGTTTCCAGCACGAGAGATACGAGGTTCCGATGGTCTCAGTGCCGGTATATCCGGCACATCCAGGCACGCCAGTCTTGGGAGGTGCTCGACCGCCGCCGCAGTCGAGAGGATCGCAGATCATTCCATCGTCGGGATCGAACCAATGCACTATTTTATCTTCGCATGTTGTGAAGCTGTGAGTTGAACAGCCGAATCCAAGGACTTGCTCGGCGAGCATGAGCAGTGGGATGGCAGCCAAAAGAGTTGATTTAACCATTTTAAATATTTGTAACGAGTGGATCTTGTAAACGAGTGACAAGTTTATCGAGAGATTTGACGTGTAAGATTTTGATGTGGAGGATGGCCGTGCTTTAAACGAAAATCTCACAGGGGTCTTGACAGTATTACCTGGTGACTCCATGAGCCAGCTGTAACGTATGATCTTTAGCGTTCGCCAAATCCTTCTGCTGGCGGCTGAATTGTTGTCCTATGACCTTTGTACGACCCATGCTGTAGGAGATTGCGGTAGAAGCGAATGGGTTAGTTCAAGAAAGAAGAGCTGTGATTGGTTAGCGGAGCTCGTAATCTCTTTGCTGTGCCGTTCTTCCATCCCCTGCAGAAGGAATACGACCAGCTGCGCCTTGCTATTAAGGTACGCTGGCGGATCGACTTCATGGATAATTGGGTGCCAAGAAGAGAAATCACCGAGTTGACAAGACGACTTAGAGAGATGGAAACGAGTTGGCTTTGCAGTTTCTCCTTGGGACGAAAGCCACTATAAGGGTTTAAAAGTGTCAAGATAAACGATGATATCATCCAAATCTATTCGACTCTTCAATTTGTTTTGTCAATTTTACGCTGTCGAGACAAGTGTCAAAACTGCCGAGTGCTTATTCAGTTGAGGTATAAGATAACGAGAGACATTTTATTACATCACAACCGTGAATCCAGTGGCTCTAACAAACATCTTATAGCACCTCTATATATCTCTATTAAACTGAATATGCAAAGTAGTATAAGAAAACAATGAACCAATCATCTCAGGTCTTTTAAACATTATGACTCTATTTCATTGCTTCAGGTCCCGGGTAGTGCATCCGGTTCCGATACCGGCCGGTCGATTAAAATTCCGGCGGGGTGGCTGCCGTTCGCGACTCATTCCATCCCATTTCCCAACGAGGGGCACCAAGAATTTTCCAAGCATCAACAAGCAAAACAACAATGGCCAACGATTCGACACATACGCAATCGCAAGTATACCTCTCAACAAGAGGCGGTGACTATGGTGTACGACCTATCTGTCAATATTCGCAATTGACATTCCGCTGACCTCTGAAAGCTCTCCTTCGAGACCGTTGTCCTGAAGGGATTGGCTGCCGATGGCGGTCTTTTCCTCCCCCATGAGATTCCCGCAGCGACAGAATGGGTGCGTACGAGCCGATTTTCCACATACTCCCCAGCTGCGATCGAAAGCGATGGATTTATGAGACAAGCGATTAACGCAATACTAGCAAAGCTGGAAAGACCTCTCGTACCAGGAATTGGCCTTCCAGATCTTCAGCCTCTACATCTCCCGCAGCGAAATCCCCGCCGAAGACCTACAAGGCATCATCAACCGAAGCTACTCTACATTCCGCGCCCAAGAAGTCACACCCCTCGTCCAATTGAAGGACAACCTGCACCTCCTCGAACTCTTCCACGGCCCTAGTTACTCCTTCAAGGACTGTGCACTGCAGTTCCTCGGTAACCTTTTCGAGTACCTTCTTGCGCGAAAGAACGAGGGCAAGGAGGGCAAGGACCGACATCATTTGACTGTTGTTGGTGCGACGAGTGGTGATGTGAGTCATGTTGTGGCCTGATTGCGGTAATAAGCTAACTTGTGAATTAGACTGGATCCGCTGCTATTCATGGTTTGAGGGGTAAGAAGGATGTGTCTGTTACTATTCTGCATCCCAAGGGCCGTGTCAGCCCTATCCAGGAGCTTCAGATGACGACGTGCACTGATGCCAACGTGCACAACCTTGCCGTCACCGGTACCTTTGATGATTGCCAAGTGAGTATGCCTTTCGCACGCCCTTCGCGTCGCGCTAACGAATCGGCAGGACATCGTCAAGGCCTTGTTTGGCGACCCCGAGACCAACGCCTCCCTCAAGCTCGGCGCCGTCAACTCCATCAACTTCTCCCGCATCCTCGCCCAGATCGTCTACTACTTCTACTCCTACTTCTCCCTCGCCAAGAAGTCCTCCACCTTCAAGGTCGGCGACAAGGTCCGCTTCGTCGTCCCCACCGGAAACTTTGGCGACATCCTCGCTGGCTACTTCGCCACTCGCATGGGTCTTCCCGTCGACAAGCTTGTTATCGCGACTAACGAGAACGATATCCTTGACCGATTCTGGAAGACTGGAAAGTACGAGAAGCAGCCCGCCAAGGGCCCCGAGGCCCAGGGTGGTCTGGAGGTCGATGGTGTCAAGGCGCATGAGGAGGGCGTCAAGGAGACTCTTAGCCCTGCTATGGACATTCTGGTTTCGAGTAACTTTGAGCGTCTGCTTTGGTTCTTGGCTTACGAGTTTGCTGCTACTGTTGGTATGGATGTTGAGTTCAACCGAAAGCAAGCTGGTCAAGAAGTCGCCACTTGGCTCAAGGATCTCAAGGTCAAGGGCGGCTTCGGCCCCGTCTATGTCGATGTTCTCAACAGCGCCCGCAAGACCTTTGAGAGCGAACGTGTCAGCGATCCCGAGACCCTCGAGACCATCAAGAGCATCTACGAGCAAGACGGCTACATTCTCGATCCTCACTCCTCCATCGGCGTCACCGCTTCTCTCCGATCTGCCCAACGCGCCGAGGCCAACCTTCCTCACATTTCTCTGTGCACAGCTCACCCCGCCAAGTTCGCTGGTGCCGTTGAGCTTGCCCTCAAGGATGAGAAGGACTTTAACTTCCAGGAGAAGGTTCTTCCCGAGGAGTTTGTCGGTCTTGAGAAGTTGCCTAAGCGCGTTTCTGATGTTTCGAATGATTGGAAGGCTGTGAGGGAGCTTGTCAAGGAGCAAGTTGAGAAGGAGCTTAGCGGTCAGCGATGAATGCGAGATGAAAGGTGTTAGTTCTGGGTTTCGAATGCATATTTAGAGGGTTAAAATGATCAAAAGACGAATTAGACATATTTCCTGAGTTTGAAGATGACCCGCATATGACATAATGAAGTGAATGTTGCTGATCCGGTCTCGGGAAGGTATCAATGTCCGCTTCCAGCTCTATTTGAAAATATGCCTCGCTTTGCCTTGTCAAATCATCTGGTTGGCGCTATTTACATGCTTGAAAAGCACGTGGCTAAATCTCGAGGTTTGGCTGGTGTAAGTGAACTGCCAAGCCGTGAGATATTCAGCTGCCAAGACGACCCCTGCTTTCAGCCAATATGCCTTAGCAATTTGATAAAGGCTCTGGGTCCTCGATCAAACTTCAATTATTTTTCAAATCACACAACGTACAGACCACTAGATCTTATTTGACAAAAATGAGACCTCATTTGTTCACTCTGCCTTTGCTCTCGGGTCTGGTCAGCATATCAGCAGCCAACACCGAAAGCGGCTATCTAGCAACTGTGACCCTCGCCCCAACAGCCTCAGGAGTCGAAGCTTTTGACCTTGGGGAAAAGCGCGCAGAATGTTTTCAAGCTTGTTACAAGACTTATGGAAACTACAATTCTTGTACTAGAGAAGGTGTTGCTCAGTGCTGGTGTAATGAGTCTGATGATTGGGTTGAGAGAGAGGAGGATTGTGTTTGGGATATCTGTGGCCCATCTGCTTATAACCGTGAGTTTTAATCTATGGGGGCTGTGTTGGATAGAAGGCTGACTTTGTGTTAGTCTATGCGACTGTTTTGAGGAGGGTTTGTGAGACTGTTACGGCATCTGCTCGTCAGACCATTGAAACTGGATCAACGGTTGGTTCGAATATAGCTGAGCTCTTGAGGTAGTCTGCTGACATGGAAAAGTCATCTGCTGAGAGGATTACTTCAACTTTCGCAGAGACCACGAGCAAAAGCGCAGCCGAGACTACAAGCAAAGCTGAAGCTAGTCAAGCTCAAGCCACAGAGACTTCAACTTCTGGTAGTGATTCCACAACAGCTAGCAGTGAGACAGCAGCAGCAACTACGAGTGCTGAGCCCAATAGTGCCTGTAAAAGGGGTTCGCCTCTGGGTGTTCCACTGGTCCTGACGATTGGCGCAGTCTATCTTGCTGGAATGGCCTTTTAATATTGCAGTCATGTGTCAGAGCTGTAAATATATTAGATAATCGCATACAACATATGTACTTGAAATTCATTAATTATTTCTCGGGAGTCCTTAGGGAGTAATCAAACTTCTGACGTTGAACCAGGGTGCTAACATTGGCTGGTCTAAAGGCCTTCTAAAGATATACTAAACTTACCCAAGTATTCTCATTACTTAGGATAGAGGTCTTGAGCTTTCTTACCCCGCCTAAGGAGTATTTATCCGAATTCAAAGTCTATGTCAACGAGGCAGTAGTCAGTGTTGGTGCTCCATCATTGTTTGGTTACTAACACTGTCCTGCGTCACTGCACAACCAAGTTCAAAAGCACAAGACTAACCCCGTCGTGGAGCTTAGTGAAGTCAGAGAACCCTTATCATTTCCCGATACCAAATTGTTTAATCCATACCGAGGATCAGATATCTAGTCGTGGCACTGCGTCATCGCTCCACAACGCCCCCGGGAAGGCGGCAAGGAGGATGTGGGGCTCCAGAACCTTTTGGGTATATCAAATAGTTCCCTGGTAAATGATCGTCACAGAGCTGAAGAAATGGAACTGAGATCTACATGTCAGTAAACGAATTGAAACCATGTAAGGGTCTGATGTTGAGTTTCCTCTATCAGAATTGCAGACTTAGTTCTGCGGCAAATCCTTTGGTTCTTATTTAAGGTGCTCTTGGCGAAGGTACCTTGAAAACCTTGCATTTTATCATGGTACAAATTCATGTTACGGGATCAACTATTTAAACATACTGCAATTTTGAGATAGGAATCATGATAGAAACGTGGCAGATCATACTGGCGGGCGCTACTCTCTCTGGGTACCTGCTGGCCATGCTACACCCAGATAACCAGAAGTCAATATTTTTGCTTGGCTTTTTAGGGACAATATGTTTAGAAACATTACTTTGGTGCATTTACAGGATCTTCATACGCCCTCGATTCATATCGCCGCTTCGCCATATCCCCACTCCTGGCGGAAACCACTGGCTTTGGGGCCATGGGATGAAGCTGTATCGAGAGCCTTACTGTTCACCAGTGAGAGAATGGTAAGTAGACATCTCTGTTAATCCCTTAAAACCAGCTCACAAATCTGGGGAACAGGAACGAAACAGTCCCGAACCATGGCTTCTTACGATATCTGGGCTTCTTCAACGCCGAACGAATCGTCCTCACATCCCCCGAGGCTCTCCATGAAGTTCTCGTTACCCAGAACTACTCTTTCCCAAAACCTGCTAGCTTGAGAGAAACAGCAGGGCGATTCTTAGGCATAGGCCTTATCCTGTCTGAAGGAGATGCCCATAAGTTGCAGAGACGAAGCATGAATCCTGCTTTTGCACCCAGAAACATCAAGGCTCTGTATCCACTATTCTGGGATAAGACGAGGGAGATGATCGAGAGAATCACAGCTGATAGACTCGAGACTGTGGAGGTAGTAGAGTGGGCTTCAAGAGTAACTCTGGACCTGATCGGTGTAGCAGGCCTGGGGAGGGATTTTGGAGCTATACAAGACGGGCAGAACGAGATGGTGAAGACATATAACATCGTGTTTCAACCATCAGCTCAAGCTCGTATGCTGCACCTTATCGAGAGTCTGGTTCCAGCCTGGGTCCTTACAGCTCTACCTATTAAGCTTAACTCGGATATGAGCCAGGCAGCCCGGTCGATACGCGAGACGTGCAGAGACGTAATCTCTTCGAAGCAGAAGAAACTGAAGGAGAAGAAATTGGATGATATGGATATCATCTCTGCGGCGATACGGACTGGGACGTTTACTGAGGATGGACTTATTGATCAAGCCATGACATTACTTGCTGCTGGTAAGTTAGCTCCCCAAGGACCTTGGTAATATCTAACAATCTCAGGCCATGATACAACAGGAGCGGCATTTACATGGGGCATCTACCTCCTTGCCAAACACCCAGAAGTCCAAGACCGACTCCGCCGCGAAATCCGTCAACGCCTACCTCCCCTAACCCAAGCAATAGAATCCCCGATATCAAGCGTCAACATCGACTCAATGCCCTATCTTCAAGCAGTCTGCAGCGAAATCCTACGCTTCTACGCCCCCGTTCCCCAAACCCTCCGCGAAGCAGCCCACGACACAACCATTCTCGACCAATTCATACCAAAAGGCACACGCATCGTCATAGCGCCCTGGGCTACGAACCGTTGTACTAAACTCTGGGGACCAGATGCACATGTATTCAAGCCCGATAGATGGTTGCGCGAGAGTGCGCATGGAGGCGCAGAGAGTAAATATGGGTTTTTGTCGTTTTTGCAGGGTCCGAGGGTGTGTATTGGACAGGGGTTTGCGAAGGCTGAGTTGGCGTGTTTGTTGGCGGGGTGGGTTGGAAGTTTTGAGTTTGAGTTGAGGGATGGGGTGTCAATAGATGAGAAGTATGTTGATGTCAAAGGAGGGTTGACGGCGAGACCGGCTGGTGGGTTACATGTGAAGGTTAAAAAATTAGAAGAATGGTAGAAAGATTTAGGCGTATAGACTGCACATCGGCAACAGTTTGAATCATATCAAGTTTATTGCATGCATTTACCTGTGTAACTATGTGTCTGACAAACTGACATGCTACAGCTTAGCTCTCTTCTCACCAGCAATATCCCCCAACCACTCCCCCACAAACCCAACACAATCATTCATCCTCTCATAAACAACCTGATGTGTCCCCTCAACCCACCTAACATAAACCCTCTCCTTCAACTTCTTAACGTCAGCCTCGAACATCTTCGCCGGCACAGCAAAAGGTCTCTTGGGCATGATAGCAAGCAACGGAACACTTATATCCCCGAACCGATCGTAACACTCTGCGGGCGTTTGCTTGTCGTACCATAAAGCCCAGTCAAGTCTTGGATGGGCAATGAGTTTGGCTCCTCCCTTGTCGTTAGGGACCAGGCCGTGTTGGGTGAACATACGGATAGCGCGTTCATCCCAGTTTCGTGTACGTTTATTCTCGCGAAGTGCGTTCTCGACGGCGTTGCGATCGGGGAAGTTTTCCTTGAGACCGAGACAGAAGATCTCTTTGGGGAGTTTTGCCATGGCGTCGTTGATCTTTCCAGCTGGAATCATGGCTGGGTCGACGACCATTAGGCTGCTGAAGATGTTTGGTGCGTGGACGGAAGCTAGGATAGCGGCTTGAGCACCGAGACTGTGGGCAAAGACGTGAAGATTCTGTCGTGTAGGCTGTTGAGCTTGGTCTGTTGTTGTTCGAGGTTGAAGATGCTTCGGTAGCTCTTCGCCGGGTTGCACAGGGAGGTAGGCTGTAAGGAAGAGCAGTAAATCTCGAACGATGTCTTTCTCATTGGCGTACAAGTATCCCACAGAATTAGCCTTGGCCGTCTGTCCGCTAAGTGGCATATCTATGGCCCAAACCTCTTCAACCTTGACACCAGACTTGCGCAGTCGAGGTAGCAGGTCTTCAAGCATAGGCTCAAACATCTCCTTGGGAACGCCCATGCCCGTAAGCGTGAGAAGAGTTACGCCCTGTCCAGACTTATTGACTTGGTTCGTTGGGATGTAGCGCTTGGCAACCAGCTTAGGAGGCGGGACATTCGATTTGTTGCTCTGACCTGAGTCGGAGTACAGCTTGAATATGCTGCTGTTGGCTTTCTTGCTTGCTGTATCGTATGGGATGTTGTATGCCTCGTCGTTGGGAATATTGGACGGGTCATCGTTGAACTTGGCTGGTGGCCACGCATCAGTCTCATCGCGATCTTCTGTTCCCCGAAAAATATGTGTCGAAGCTCGCCATTTGGACCCCTCTGACAGACCTGCCGACTCGTTCGTGGCAGTGGGATCGATGGGAGGTAAGACAAGCGGACGGAGCAATGCCCGCTCGTACGTCGTCGATAGATTGAAGCTCATGATTATCGATTTGCTTCTATTGAAATCGTTAAAATCACAGTTACAAGATAGTGCAAGTTAATTACATAGGAAAGAAAACAGTTCAGCTCATTGCAGCTGTATTTCGATCAACTCATCCCAGGCCGATCTATTTCCGAATTTGGCAATTATACAGAGTATCCATGTTGTGGTGCCGTGTATCCGCTCCCCACGGGGCTATTTGAAGCTAATTCTGTCAATCAAGACACTTGACATCATTGACATCATATCAAAGAACTCACTGTAGGTCAGGGTCGTGGAAAAAAACAAGTGGAATACTTCCGCTCTCATTCAGTGGCTTACAGCATGCCCGAAAGACTTCGGCTCCAAGATATTGTTCTGGCTCTAAAAGCGACATGCTACTGCCAGTAGTAGTCAGTTTACCCTATTCTATGTAGTCCGATGCTCGTTTATTCCAAGGCGACCATGTAAGCCAGGCTTTTCTACGTTGTTGTGAAGCCTTTGCAAAATGTCTGGAAGAGTATGATGTGCCATTCTCATCTTGTTTATCCTCTGGGATTATCAAGGTACCAAAGATCCTAGCTGGTCGATTAGGATTAAATTTCTTGTATTCAAGCATATGCTATCAAATCTTCATGACGCCCTACTCCTCCCAAAAGAATGATTTTTCAACTTTCCGTCCCCCTCGTATCAACCTGTCCAAGTCTGACATTCTCGTCATGCTCAATCTTTACTATCACCCTTCCAGCCTCCTTCTGCAAATCATCCAAGTCCGTCTCCTGTGTCTGACCCACCACATTAGGTCCATAAAACAACAATGGAAGAATCGAAGTCTTCCATACCGGCATTCCCGGGTTAGTAAACCCTTGGACAACGGCAGTTATCAACAAGAGCATCGTGATGGCCATCAGACCGGCCGGCAAAAGCACCCAACGCCAATCAAACACAGTACAGATAGCCATCTCTGTAGCTAGGCCTGATGCCTTGTCTGTCCCTTCCAGTAAATGGTCCAGGTAACGACCTCTTACACCCTGCTTGCGGAAGTTGTTTGTTACGGCGGTTGTGAACAAATCAAAAGCAGTATCGAGACCTTGAAATGTTGAGTTATAGAGTGGAGGTAGCCACCATTGGTCGCCACAATCAAGCTGGTCTTTCGCGCCACCACCTATATTGGCGAAGCAGACAGTGTTGAAAAGTGTATTCTCAATGAAGCTTGCTAGTGCTTGCCGGTAGCGAAACGTGAGCGTGTAGACACATTGATGCGGGACTGTATAGTTGGTACCGTCGATTGGGACAATTGTTTCTGAGTATGAGGGTTCCTTGGTTTGGGAAAAGTTGGCAAGTTGATATTCCGTCCCATTGATCATGCAGGGCTTTTGTACGCCAACGCGATTTCCTGCGATGTCATTGGCAGCCCTGTTGTAATCGATGGGCTGCTCGTCAACCACCTTCTCGATGAGCGAACCCTTCTCGACCTTGGCGTGGTATTTCTTGATGCAAGGATAGAGGGCACATGAAGTTGCTATGGCATACTGATAACGCATTCCCTCTGGGGTTTTTGAGATCAGCCTATCCTCAGGACAAGTTGCGTGCATGCTATCAGTAACGTTGCAACCGTTCTGCGTGAAGCTTAGAGTCGTCAAATTCGAAATAGCGACTTTGGCCAACTCGGCAAAATTGGAGTCGGGTGTGTCGAGCGCCCAATCCAAATCCCCCGACAATACCATGACCTGGCTTTTGACAACAGCCTGAATCCACTGACCATTTGGCAGAGTGTAGTTGTAAACTTTGCCGAAGTAACCATAGGTTCCATTACTCTCGTTAGTAATGACTTCCAACTCGATGAACTCCGTGGTGTCAATGCAGGCACTGCACATGGCAACCGAGGAATGGGTTACGCCTTGGGAGTCTGATGGAAATGTGCAGTTTCCAGTTGAGCAAGTTGCTGCTATAGCTGTGTCCTTACCCGTAGGGTTGACGAGGCCATTCATCATGGCGACTTTCATATCACCTGAAATTTGATTGCCAGCGGCACTTGTTCGAAAGCTCGAATTGACGGCAGGGACATAATGAGTAATCGGTAGAGATGCTTGCGCGCCTTGGACTGTTCTCGGGCAAGGAACTGTGCTGACAGACTGCTGGGCAAAGGGAGTGATTGCGGGAGATATAATGATAACAAGAGCGGCGGCGATGCTCGTGAGCCGTGGAGGAACCGTCCAGAATAGCTTCATCGCTCCAAGGATGCCGCGACTGGCATTGTTGAAATGATGAAGATCGGAAACAGGACGGGGCTGCTGCACAGCATTCCATCCCATCTGACCGATGAGCTCAGCAACGACAAGTAACATTGAAGCTCTCATAAAGGTGCTAAGGATAGCAATAATTGTGTTGAGGCTGATGTCGTATGGCCATGGTTTCAAGACTCTGTTATTGTTCTGTGCTGGAATAACAATCGTAGCTATCAACAAGCCCAGAGCGAACAATAACGATAGAGTCTCCCATAGCCAGGAGCGAATAGGGCCAGGTTTGGCTTTTCGTGAAGAAACATCTTTGGTTGTTATGCTGATGTCGTGGTGTTTGTGTGGGTGTTGCCTTGAAAAGGTTTCCATAGTAAATGTTGTGTTGTATATGGTACGACAAACGCCACAGAAAGCACAGAGCAGCTTCCCTCTTTATCATTGACTCGAAGCGCTTTCCTCGAGTCCTAAGAATGCCTTACCTTCTGCAGGAGGGAAGCATGGTACTTGCCTTGTTAGGAGCGTTGTTAGTGCTAATCGCTGGAAATGGCGGGTAGCACTAACAAATTTGCAGGGCGGTTCTTGCCATTTCTTGTACCCAATTGCAGGGTTTAGCCTGTAGATGAAACGCATACAACCAACATGCATAGAGCTCAGCCAATAACACGCGTCAATTTCGCGCTGAGACACAATTTAATGGATCATTGCAGAATCCTTTTATTAGATCATGTCATGATCGTCATTTAATTCTGGAACCATTGAATAGCTGTGAGAAATAACTGTAGCTTCGGCAATTTCACCATGAATAGAAGAGGCCTTGATGTCAGGATTATATCATCTTAGACTCGGCATGAAAATGCGTATAACTGGGAATCCAATATAGGAAACAGACCTCAATTAGATGCAAAGATCATAGGTTCGGATATAATGAGAACTCTTGATCTAGACCATTCACTGCCAACTTCAACGCAGGCGGTTAATTTTAAGCGCTTGGTTAAACTCCAGTCTCCAGAAGTGCTATTCGCGCCAACAGCTCCAATAGGAATGCCTGTATTTATTCGCTTAGAAGCACAGCAGGGTATCAAAGGAAAGGCTAAGGTAATTATTATTAGAGTTTGGCTTTCAGCCGAAGAAGTTATCGTTGGATCTTGATCCTTGACGCCCCTGTTATTGATGGCTTGAACCAACACTTGACCAGATTGATTTTGTCTACCATTTCACGTGTGTTTGGGGACCTATTGTTTCAAATGGTACTTCGTTCAGGCTTGTATTGATAAAAGGTTGTCGTAGAACTAAGGAACTATTGACATCCATCGCCCCGGCAACTCAGTCATGTACCTCCAGCCTCCTATACCTTGGCGCAGTTTATTTCTGTTCGGAGTTATCAGAGATAGTATTATTCGAGATTCTTTCAGTACTTACGCCGCAGTTCTTGCAAGAGCAGCTCTGGCCACAGGAGCAAGAGCTAGGACCGCCGCAGTTACAAGTAGATCCACAGTCGCAAGCCATGATGACAGACGTAAAGTTATAAAGTTGTATGTGACGAGATAGTGACTTGAGAAATTCGAATATGGAGAGTTTCAAAGGCTCAAGTCATGAACTTGGCTACCCAAGCGCTTTATATACCCCAATCCCCGCATCTAAATCCGGCAACGGGCCACATGTGATGGATATGAGCATGATCATGACGCATTCGTGACTACCTTAGATTCTAGAAGGAGGTTCTTCGGGCCGTCGGTAATTGTTTGCTGAAGTGGGGATATACTTTGGTCTTTGCCAAACTTGGATATACGGCAAGTCACGAGCTGGTAGTATCAGCCTATCACATTTTTGGTATATGACGTTGAATAAGGTCACGCAGGCTTACTATAGAAATGCCGGGCAAGTGACATGGCATCGTATCAGAATCAAGTACAAAGGGGGGAAGAGACAAGTTTATTTAACCAACCAATCAATCAATCAACACGTCAAAGTGATGTTGCAATGCTCTTATAGAAGCTTGCCAACTGCTTAGCATCCCATTGTCTCGTGGCAACAGCAAACATGAGCGTCCTTTATCTGTTCATCGATTTCATCGCTGATGAAGAGTGCCTTCCGTAGCTGGTAACCGTGTAACTGTAGGAACATATTGGCCGCTACCAGAGCCGCCCTCTTGTTCCCATCTTGATAAGGGTGATTTAGGATGATGTTCTAGGCGAGAATGCTTGCTAGCTCAAAAGGATCCTCCTGACCATAGTTCTTGTGTTGCTGGGGCGAGAAAACAGCAGACTCGAGGTAAGTCATTTGGGTAGGTCTAGCGCGAATGATATTTGTTTCGTAGAGTCGAAGTATTTGAGCTGCAGTGAGGAAACGAAAGGATTGGGCAGACATCATAAACATGAAAAGAATCAAAGACCGATTAAAGGAGGGTGCTTTACATTTGGGTAATATGGTATAAATTGATATAGCAGGTCAGTGATTGAGAGTGGTGATGATGAAGCGGAGTAGAATATCGAAAACGCGTGGATACCTGAGGCTCGAAACTTGTAGGAAAGAGAACGGAAGCCAACTTGTGAATGGGGGGTATCACTTATACCTCAATTGGTTTCCAGACGAATAACAAAATACATCAGAGGCTCCAGGTTCAAGTAAGCCTATTTCGTAACCAAGCTAGCTACCTTATCCTTCAACTTATCCAATGCGCCCTTGAGCTTGACAGCGGTTTCTCGGGACATTCTCTCAAAATCCTCTATCGAAAGGAGAAAAGCACGAAATGATTAGAGCCGTTCAAAAATGTGCATTGGTAACAAGATACGAACCGTCTGGTGACCCATCAAGTGTGACTGCATTCCAATTCCCTGTGAGCCAAAGTGTCGCAGAACTCACGTCATGCTTAGAATCGCCCAAGTTTTGGTGTATCTCAATCCGAGGAAGCGGAAAGGACTCTACCTTTTCATTAACAGGTGAATTCGTGCTCTGTTTCTCTGAAGGGCACTTACGATGTATGAAGTGTAATGAACGGTGATCAAAACGAAGTGGCAGCGTTACGACTTGGTGTGCACCATCGGATCCAAGTTGGGAAACAACATCACGCCTGAAAGCTTTCCCGATATCGAGCTCAATATAATATAACTTTCCCCAGGTTCGCCAATCATGATACCAATATCATAGGAGACAGGCATGCCCTTTTTATCGATGTTGGTGAACTTTGCGACAGCATTGTGATATAAGCGAGACGAGAACTTCAGGGTAGGCTTGACTCCCCGAAGAGACTTGGGGATACAGCGAGATAGCATCACGCGGAGAAACGGGCCGTGATGCGTCCGTATTGATTGAGAGAGTCAAATGATGAGGATTAGCAATATGTAATTGACTGCAAGGGTCATGAACCATGTCAGGTGATCTTAAGCGGCCTGGACGTTGGGCCAGCCATACCTGCAGTAATTTACGAACGATAAATGATTTGAACACAATCAACAGCAATGAGTTATTCAGATACATTACTCAAACTTCAATTCATTATCATGTCTCCTGCTCATCAAGCGACTGCAACCTAGGCTGTAACTCCTCAAAATTCGACTTGCCCTCCTCATTGGGGTATGCCTCAAACACCATCCTCCTCATAAGCCGACGCGGTGCTCTCCGACCAGTAAACAACTCAAATTGAGCAAAACCTTGCTCTGGCAACATATCAAGACCATCCATACTTACCCAACCACGATGCGACTCTGCTCGGAATTGGGCTAGGAATGGTGTATCTAATGTCTTGTACCCAAGCTCAATTGCGACACCACCAGTCCGACTTCCCAGCCACTCGTTAGGGAGGGTAAGTTCGGGGGCTGGGACGTTGCCGATGCGGTGAGTTGGGATACAAGAAACAATGACGGTGGGTAGTCGGAATTCTGTTGGCCAGGCATCTTCTATTGACTCGATGACATGGAAGCGAGAATGCTCGCTACCAGCGCTCAGTAGGCCATGGTCCTTCCTCTCAAGGACCTGCGTAAAGTGCATCACCATTTTTTCGGCGTTCTTGGGTGTGCGATTACAGATAACAATGTTCTTGATACCAACTTGAAGCATCGCGTAGACCGTTGCTCTAGCCATGCCACCCGCTCCAATGACCAGACCACAGCTGCTGGACACGACTGCGTTGGCGGGAGAGAGGCCGCGGCGAATGCACGCGCGGATGCCAATCCAATCCGTATTTTCGCCATACAGAGCCTTGATGGGACCAGAGCGATTAACGCTATCGAAGAAAGCAGCCCCAGTAGGAATTGTCCCGTCTTCATTTAGGGAGCGGATGGGAATCAGCGTATTGACGGCACCGATTGCCCGGGCATGTTTGCTCAATGAATGTGTCAAGGTAATGATCTCAACTTTGAAGGGGAGGCCGATTGAACCTCCACCAAATTCTGGATCCTCGATTAAATGCTTGATTCCTCTAAGCGACGCGCAAGACACTGGCTCGTAGGTATGGGGCAAACCGCATGCCTTTAATGCTGCTTTGTGCATCGCAGGAGACAAACTATAGCTCACGTTGGCGCCAAAGACGTAAAGCTTCATCTGGTCGTATATAAAAGACGAGAAAAGAGCTTCTGTTGCGCCGACCGTGGTAATTGATGGTGTTATTGGGGGCCTGGGATTCACCCGCTCCAGCGAGTCTGGTCGGACAACAGTAAGAATACGATTGAAAGCTTGGGAATTCCGACCCAGAGGGCCAGAATTGTAAGATATAAGTGGGATCTTCGGCCCCTGTAAAGCTGCAACTGATGTCTTAAGGCAGTGAATGCGGAAATTGTCTTCAATAGTAACTGCAGGACGAATCAATCTAGCAAGATGGCATCCCAGATTGTTGGCCTTCTTATACCACGACATCCATATTGGAGATTCCCATGACGGAGGATCTGTGGTAATGAAACAATTGCCAATCATCTTTGTTCTCTTTCGAATAGATAGTATGCGTGAGATGTGGACGTCTTCGAGTCGAAGATCAACTGTCATCATTTCTGGTGCTAGTCGTACGGAATGGTGAACGAGATCGAGGTAGACACGCAAGACTTCGTCGCTTGCTGTATGAGGTAAGAATAGATGTAGGATTATGGGTAAGATTGTGCTTCGCCTTACGATACCGACACCTTTGGTAATGTTGGCAAGCAGCTTTGCGCTGGCTTCAGACGTCAATGTGCCCTGTTCGGCATGTTCAGCCAAGTCATGGACGACTATTTGCACAACATCTGCTCCAATGACATGCTCTTCAACATCCACAGAGTCTTTAAGAACGTCGGTAAGAGGAATGGAGGTAGCGTAGGTAAAGTTGCGTTCCTCCGCAGGTATCCTCGATAATGGGAATGCAGAATCTGTGAACGGTATTGTGCCCGCTGGGTAAACAAGAGACAGAAACTTTAGGAAGTGTCGCTCAACATGTTTTAATGTTAAATATGGAGCAGGTGATCTTTGTGTCAATGATTCCCGAGAAAGCGACGACTTGGAAACTCTCTCTGTGACATTAAAGAACTCGAAGTTGGTGCAAGACCTAAAGATGGCGTTGCTAACATCGAGCAAGCTCTGGACCTTGGTACCGTCGCGGATCTTGAGATGACTTTGAATGGCATCAAAATCGCGGACAATGTGGATAACTGGGTTGGTCGCTGCAAACTCTCGGAGGAGACTCTGCACGCGACTCTCCATCCAGGAACAGACAAGGATGCAGCCAGTAGAATGTCGCTGCAAAATACTTTGCAGGACCTTGGCTTGCTGCTTGTAGCACTCTGAAGACCCATGTTCGGACTTATAAGCGGCACTCGACAGGCCCATGGATCTCTGGAAAGCTGGCTCAAGATCAATGACTTTGCGGTCCATTGCCGAGGATGCCATGATAGCCAATGTCGACTTTCCAGCTCCGCGCATACCAACAAGTATCATTGACGCATCTGGACTAAAATCTGGAACCTGCCCAGTCAAGGGAGGAAAGGTTGGAGAGGGTGTTCGAGTAAGTCCATCGTGTTGGTCCGTATTTGACGGAGCCGCGGATTGAGAATTGGCTCTCGAATTGGCTCGAGAAGTAGCCCGGGATGGAGGTTGAGACTGAAGCACATCGCTCAGTTTGAAAGACTGTGATTGCGGTGTCGAATTATCGAGGTTATCGCGGGGAATTCCATGATTGTAGTGGACGGTCTTCGGTCGGCTGTGGCCGTTTGGTCGAAGCAAGGTATCCTCGTGGCCAAGAAAGGTCCCCAGGGACCTCTTGACGCCTGCCATTTCGTGTTGCATGTGTCCGGACTCTTTTGACCAGCGCTGTTTCAAGAAGGCGCCATAGTCACCAGGATATCGCAGTTATTGAGGCTGTAGAGAAGGGTCTCTTTGTTGGGTAGGGGAGAATGGTGATGTGGGCTTGTCGAGAAGCGCTGAGTCCGACTGTCAGTTGTGAAGTGGGTGGGCGATGGGCGAGGAAGCTCGGTAGATCCCCCACCAGACAATCCGGGGCAAGAGCGAGGCGATTGGTCGGGAAAGCGTTTATCCGACCCACTCCGAGGTCCTGTCCAATTACATCGGTGATGACTCGGCGGTCGGAACTTGGAGGCTGGAACCTACAGACCATCCCCAAGCAACACAGAATTATTCTAGGGCCCCAGATTCTCCCCGCATCACGTCTCATCGTATCGTATTGCTTTTGTCCAGTACTGTTGCTTTGGAATTCGGTCATGGGAGACAGATCTGCATGACAATGGCACAGGAATCGCGTATCTGAGCTGAGCTTTATTGACATGGGACTCGTATACAATCCACATCATCGTCATACTAGCAAGCATTGATCCCTCTTCAACTGCTGTTAGGCTCCTCTCCCCTCATCTCTCTTTCATTTCGTCATGACTGCTGGCCTCGCGGCGCAGGCAGCTCATTCATTCTTTGATCAACTACATCCAAGCAATGCCGCCTAGGAAACGCGAAAACGATGCGGATACTACCAGCGCTCCCGCAACCACAGCTCCCGCCAAACGTCAACGAGTCTCCCTTGCCTGTGATTCATGTCGCACTGCTAGAGAAAAGTGCGATGGCGCCCGTCCTCACTGTGGAACATGCACCGCACAAAACAGGCCATGTTCATACACCCCTGCGTCCCGCAAGAGAGGCGTGCAGACGGGATACCTACGGACAATTGAGTTGTCGCTGGCATGGCTCTTTGAACAGGTTCCTGGCTGTGAGGGAGCTCTTCATCGTCTCCTTACACAGAATGATGGAGCAGATGGTACCCGCATCCTCGCGACGAAGGACAAAGCTGGCCATCGCCTCTACCGACGATGGAGCAAGAGTCGGGTTCACAAAGACATTGGCAGGTTGCTGTCCGATGAGAAGACGCCTCAAAACGATACATCCGCAGACGACTCGGGAACTGAAGATAGCAGCCCGACTGGTGCACAATTGTTCGACGGCAAACCATCACCCGGACTATCGATACAAGGCGCCAATCCATCACAGACGAGCATCCCGGCGGCATCTTACAACTTCAACTCAGACCAGCCATCATTACCTACCAAGCTGACATTGCCTCCACACTGGAAAAGACTTGTCGACATCTACATGTCTTACACTCACAGCTGGTTCCCAATTATTGAACCTGGAATCATTACACGCACAGCTTTGATGTATCCCCCAGAGGGCCTTGTCATCGAAGCCAACCCCTCGTCGACGCTACACGCTCAGCTTTGGGCAGTTTTTGCTGTCTCTTCATTTCAAGACGCGGCTTCTTCTGACCCATCACGACAGAACGGATTCTCTCCTAACGAAATTTACTCCATCGCGCAACGGCTTATACCCTCCGACGACGAGACCTTCGAATTGGCCCATATCTCCTCACTCCTCCTTCATTCGCTAGTACTCATGGGCCAAAAGAAGACGATGACAGCATGGATCTTGATAGGCCGGGCTTCGCGTCTTGCTTTGCATTATCGCGCGACAGCATCTCACATGTTTCCGGTCAAGGAAGGCGACGCAGCCTCTCTGAATCATAACGAAGTCAGGGTGCTGGCGGGAAGCTTTATCCTGGATTCTCTTGCTTCACTTAGTCTTGGTCAACCGCAAGTGACATCGGGAATTCGACATAGTCTTCCTTCTGTTGTTATAGAACAACCTCTCGACTTGAACGAGCCATGGACTTCGATTTCGGGATTCGGAAAGGCGGCGGATGATGGACAAGAATCAACACCAGATTGCGCATCACCACTATCAACCTTTCGACAACTTTTTGCTTTCTGTAGACTTTGGGGTACCAGCATGGATGCAAAGCTATACAATGACCGCAATCCTCAACGAATCACCCCAGAAGACCTTGTCAGAAGCCTGGACGCTCGGTTTTCATTTTGCAATTCCCTCATCTTCGGTGGCTCGACGCCAAGAATGCCCTCAGCATACCTGCTCCAAGGCATGTTCTTGGCAATTACCTTGGACTTGGTGCCAGGTCATCGGCCGTCCCTCTTATCTAATTTCATAGAGGTTGTTGAGTCGTGTCTAGAAAACTTTGGACCAGGTGGAACACCGCCAATCATAGCCATCTTGATGGATATAGTCAAGCACCACGGCCATGGGAACCGAATGCCAGAACACGATCAAGTCAAGTGGAATTCGACAATTGGATCGCTCACAGACGGCTGGAAGCTCAAATATCAAGGGTTAGACGCACCTAAAAGCAACCAGCATACACCTAGTTCTGTGGATCCGTCACGCCGCCCAATAGTGAGCCCATCATTTATGGATGAGATATCAACCGCCTCTCATCCCTCACATCACACAGACCACCCTGCCCCTATCACATCCGGGGAACTGGAACATGAGCTCGGCCGAATGCAGCAACGCCAAAAAGAGCAACAAGCATTATCATATGAACGGCAACGTTATCAAGCTGCAGACCGTAGCCCAGCTACTTCACAGTCTCTATACACACTTACACCCAACCTGACCTTTCATACTCTTCATACACCATCTCTTGATGGGCAAATGGGATCCCTACAAAACTCGATGCCGAGTCAACTACTTGATTACGACGCAATTCTGGATGAGCTTGGATCCATAGACTGCGCGGATGGTATTGATGTGGATCCTCAGTTTATGACTAACTTGGGCTTTGCGCCAGGATGTGATCTTGGCGAAATGTTTCAAGGTGATTTTGGGACATGATTTAATGCAATCTAATCAATATTTACACGGATACATATTCACCCAAGTTGTCCTTGCCTGCCTGCCTGTGATGTCTTGGCTGATGGGGCGTAAGAAACTGCCCAGACTGACAGCGCTGATCACATCTGTTCAGGTCGAGATCCTTGTGCGACTTACAAGCATCCCCAGCAATAAACATCCTTTCATCCTCGGAGAATGCTATATTTTTGCTGACGCGGTGTGTTGGAGCTGCTGAAAAATGTCCAATCAGCCTCGGAATAGTGCCGACATCGCCGTGCAAATGGGGAACACAGGGATAAATGATGAGCGCTTGAGATTTTCTCCCCATTTCCTAACGAAACAAGGTTAGATCCGCGGCCACATGGTGGTAATGATGCGGAGACCCCAGAACAGTTGAGTCAGGATGTGGCACCGTGGAAAAGTCTTTATCCCTCGACACGTTCTCTCAGCAACACGAGATCCAGACACCCTGTGCGTCCCAGCAAACAGACAATGACAATCTCGAATCCCATGCAACGACGGAAGCATATTCTTCCCCCACAGATCCAACCCCGCAAACCCCGGACTGAATCTCCAATTCTGGAGAAGCAATTGTTCGGTTGTTGAATTGAGTTGGCCCTTGCTGGTCCAGCGGCACACTAGTTTTTGGAGACGTTTTACTGCTAGACTAGGGGGAATATGGGTCAACTTGACTTGTATAAATCTTTGCCCCCCACCGGTTTTGGGGATTGTCTCTTCGACTCTCCAGTTCATCCACAACCTTCTTTGCAACCTTATCTCCCCACAGCTGCAACAATTCTCAAGCAGTAAAGTTCAGGTTTGAACCTTGAGACGCCGCAATCATGGGCCTCTTGACTCTGCAAGAAGATCGGCCTACGCCGAAGGCCGTCTACAACTGGCGCGTCTACACATGCGCCGCCATTGCATCAATGGCTGCTTGCACAATTGGTTACGACTCTGCTTTCATCGGCACGACACTTGCTCTGCCCTCATTCGTGCAGGAGTTCAACTTTGAGAACTATGAGCCTAATGCGCTTGCCCTGGTCAAGCAGAACATTGTCTCTGTGTACCAGGCCGGTGCCTTCTTTGGATCTCTGTTCGCCTATGTCAGCAGTTACTTCATTGGCCGCCGATATTCTCTTATCCTCTTCTCTCTTGTCTTTATGGTCGGTGCTGGTATGATGCTGGGTGCCAATGGTGCCCGGGGTCTCGGCCTTATTATCGGTGGACGCGTCTTGGCCGGTATCGGTGTCGGTGGATGCTCCAACATGACACCCATTTACATCTCAGAATTGGCTCCTCCCGCTGTACGAGGTCGTCTTGTCGGTCTTTACGAAGTCGGATGGCAAGCCGGTGGTCTTGTTGGTTTCTGGATCAACTACGGAATCAACCAGCACCTCCCTTATGCCCCTGGCCAGAACGAAAACGTCTGGCTGATCCCCTTTGCTGTTCAGCTCATCCCTGCCGGTCTTCTTCTTATCGGTGCCGTCTTCATTCCTGAGTCGCCTCGATGGTTGTTCTCCAAGGGCAAGCGCGACAAGGCTATCAAGAACCTTTGCTGGATGCGAAACCTTGACCGAGAGGATATCTACATCGTTGAGGAGATTGGCTTTATCGATGCTGAGATTGACCGATTCAACAGCGCTGTTGGCGCTGGCTTCTGGAAGCCTTTTGCTGCTCTCAAGCAAGCCAAGGTTCGATGGCGCTTCCTCCTCGGTGCTCTTCTCTTCGTCTTCCAAAACGGTAAGCACACTCATCCTAGTCTTCACTTCAATGACTAACTTTTCACAGGCTCCGGTATCAACGCTATCAACTACTACAGCCCCACTGTCTTCCGAAGTATCGGCATCACCGGTACCAACACTAGCTTCCTCACCACTGGTATCTTTGGCGTTGTCAAGACGGCTATTACCTTTGTCTGGATTCTCGTTCTTATCGATCACGTCGGTCGCCGAAACCTTCTCATGATCGGTGCCGGCGGTGGTGCTTTCTGCATGTACTTCATTGGTGCTTACATCAAGATCGCCAACAACCAGGCCAAGATCGATGCTGGAGAGACCCCCACCCTCTCCTCTGGTGGCATTGCAGCTATCTTCTTCTTCTATCTCTGGACCGCTTTCTACACACCATCATGGAACGGTACACCATGGGTTCTCAACTCGGAGATGTTCGACCAGACCACCCGCTCTCTCGGCCAGGCCAACGCCGCCGCCAACAACTGGTTCTGGAACTTTATCATCGCCCGTTTCACCGAGCAGATGTTCAATGCTTGGGGATGGGGAGTGTACATCTTCTTCGCCTCCCTCATGGTCTTATCCATCTTCTTCGTCTTCTTCTGCATTCCTGAGACCAAGGGTGTTCCTCTTGAGGCGATGGACAAGCTGTTTGAGACTAAGCCTATCTGGAGGGCTAACAAGATTGTCATGGAGGAATTGAGACTCCAGGATGAGGAGTTCCGTCATAATGCTGATGGTGCTGATCTGCGAGAGGAGAAGGCCAATGCTGAGCAGATTGAGGGCAAGGCTTAAAAGTCTAATGATGATTTAGGTATGAGGTTAAATATAATTTAGATTGGGTTAATACATCACTATGAACAACATCTTCGTCTTTGTTTTAATAATTGAATACTTTGTTGCCTAATAATTAGGCAACTCGTTCACCCCTATACGGAGCTTCGTTAAGTGGACTATAGGCAAGCCTCCTCAGGCGCAAACGCGGAAGGATCCTTGATCCTTTCCACCCTGGCCGGGTGTTGTTGAAAGGAGCGCGGTTCCTAAGAAGTAGACGAGGTGAAGCAACTTTTGCCCATGCCCGAAGCACTCTGTCCTGAAGATCAAAGTTTGACTGGTAATGTAAATATCTCCATGTGACTTCAACCCTGAAATCATCCATAGCACACCGAAATAAGCATGCATAGCCAGTGTAGGAGCATCACATCTCCAGAATTCGCAACCGGGGCATGTTCGCTGCTGCTCGGGCGGCAAGGGTCAGGCAGATTGTTACCGTGTTTTGATTTGAACTCTGGCTTAGACACCTCGTTGCCATAGCCAGCTTCTCGAGTCTGGCCTCATCACACTTTCCGCGAGCTATGATTTCGTTGAGGAATAACACAGGATCGAGATCCGGGGGTACACAGAGTTCGGCAAAGCGGTGATATGCTCGGGCGAAGCGGAGTGATAAGGAGGTTTGGTTGATGTCACTCATGCGAGGATTGAATAGCCCAAGGACTGGTCGTTTGCTATAGATGAATCGCTTGAGTGTTTCAGGCAAGGAGGGAAGTCGCTGTGTAGAAGGATCTAAACTTGTTAGCACCTTTTAATCCAACAGTTGGGTTGAAAGGGGATTTTACCTTAAGAAAATCTCTCTCTTGATCATGCCTGCGTGACAGGTAAGTCGAGTAAGAGAAGGATTCCAGGCTCACGAAGCTTTCTCGAAGGACTCTCCCCAGAGATTGAAGCGCAATAAGTCGAGGCACAGCTCTACGAATCACAAGGCCCTTGACAATCGGCGTAGCTGGTAGGTTACGTGAAGTCTGCGAATAAACCCGTACTCTTTTGATCAGTGATGGCTTGAGTTCGAGGTTGTTTCCTCTAAGTCGTGACATCGGATCGTAGCCAGGCTGAATGGTCCAGGTGCGTAGAAAGTTCAAAAAGGGGGTTGTCCTCTTTCCTTTATTTCATTATGTCTCTTCTCGTAGAATTCGCCGACAGCGTCGAACAGCCCCCCTTCATCTTGGAAGCGGAAGGGAAGTTGAAAGCTCATAATTTCACACAGATCTTAGACAGTTCAATAATACCAGCCTGTGACTCCAAAAGTTTGCCCTTTCTGCGTGACAAGGCGTGGGGCCTTTCAAGGTAAAGAAAACTGCAAAATGGCTAACAAGGTGGACTGAGATGCCTTGGATAGTAAGGGTTTTTATGTATTCGAGATAACTTAGGATAGAGCTGAGGTGGTACAGGATAAACTGATCAAAGGCTTCCTGTCATCATAGGTTGTCTCCATATTATACCTCACCATTCTCCTTCCACGCACCATACTTTTGATAAATATCCTTTCTGAAAACATCCTTCAAGTCACTCGCAACCCCTCCATCAAGAGGCAACTTGGCAAGAATAGCTCCAACACCACAAATATCATTCTTGCGATCAATGAACCACGCAAACGTCAAACCTCCACCCCAAGACATAGTATGAGCACCATACCACCCCTCAACGTCTTCAAGCGTGATAGTGCCTCCAAGCCCATGCCCAAGCTTCGTCTCCTCGCCGATACCAACTCTAAAGAAAGGGCCGAGTGGGCTAGCTAGCATGCCCTGTTGACCGCTAAGTGCTTCAGGGGCAAGATGGTTCTGAAACATGTCGGCGCAGGTTTCGGGCTTAAGGAGCTTTCCGTCGTTGGCGAGTAGGGATTGGGTGATTCTGAGATAGGTTGGTGCAGGCATTGCGAGACCATGGCCGCCGAAACATCCATCTGTACGGCCGTTGATTTCGGCCCCTTGACCCATGACTGCGTAGCCGAGACCTTTTGGATCATCGGGGTTGAGATCGACGAGACGCTCACGCAGATCCTCTCTCGTGACGGGAAAGAACTGTGCGTCGGTTTTCAGACCAAGAGGTTTCAGGATACGCTCGTGAACATGTTCCTCCAAGGTATTTCCGGTAACGCGCTCAACAATTCGACCAGCCCAATCTAGACCAGAGCCGTACATCCATCCCTTTCCAGGTTGATGCAAAAGAGGATAGATGAAAGTATCTTCTACCTTTCTCTTCTTTCCATCCTTAGGTTTATACTTTCTGCTCCATTTTCCAATAGTCGGCTCCAAGAAATCATACGCCACTCCAGCGCTGTGCGAAAGCAGCATCTCAAGCGTGATAGGTTGACACGCTGGTTCAAGAATCGGTTCATCGTTTTCTGACCATCCTGTGAGGACCTGCTTCTCCGCCAGTTCCGGCGCAACCTTTGATAAATCCCCCTTGAGAGTGAGAAGACCATCGTCCACACATTGCAGAGCTGCGATGGAGGCTATGAGCTTTGTAGCTGATGCAAGACAGAGGACATCATCGAGCTGTTGGGGACGCTTTTCACCGGAGAGGAGAGTTCGCTGGCCGAGGGCTTTATTATAGGTGAAGTCTCCTTTGGAGTTGGTAGCACAGATAATGCCCCCGTTGATCTTGCTAGAGTCGATGGCGGCTTGGAAGTTCTTCTCGATGGTTCTCGCCATTGCCAGAGCGGAGAAAGATTTGATTCTGGTTGGTAGTTTGGAGGATACAGCGAAACGTGAATGATGAGTGATTTTCAGTCTTGATAGCATTGGGAATCTGAGTATTTATGCAGTTGGTTGATGTAAGACAGAAAGGTAATCATCCGAGGGAGAGTCTAATCACGTGGGTCAATATACACGGCAAGTTGTTATACCGACCAATCATGCTGCTTAGTTTCCGAGCGAGCGAATCGACTTGAACCATTTCCTTCTCATAACAACTATTATATAGCCGGTGAGTCAACGGTTGGAAGGCTCTACCACTTTGTATTGTGATAGAGATCTATTATCTTCTCGAATACCCTCCTCAAGAGACTTATTAAAACTCTGGCTTCAAGCTTCGGATATCGAATTCCTTTGCGCCTGTTTAATCAACCAGTCAGACGACGTCATCCAGACAGTCTTAACCTCAAATCTCAAATGACTCACCTCTTTCAGTCAGCAATTCAATTAAACATTGCATCGCCTGCTTAAAGGAAATGCTCGTGCTTATGTCTCCATCGCCTGAACCATGACGACCCATGAACCAAAACTACCCCAAAAACGCGAAAACCTTGCAGATCAGTCGGGGTAATCATTCGGCCATGAAGCATTCTTACCGATACACGGTTAAAATGAAAGCAATAGCTGACATTATATGAAATAACCAATGGAAACGTTTAATATTTCTTAAATAGGCTTGGTGAGGTTGTTATGGGCACTGATTTTGTAGCTCATGCATCTTCTGGCGTTCAGTATGCCTCTTTAAGCCGATATAGTTGCTCAACAAGACTCATCCAGTATTCTGTGAAGCATCGCGAGAAGTACATAAATAGAGAGTGATTATAATTTACACTGATTATGACAGAGAGAAAATGACGTGAAACTGAGAGATTCGGTATTCAGGTGCCGTACTATATGTTGCCAAGCTAAAAATCTCCAACACCACGGCAAGATATCGTCTTCGCCGAACATAGATTTCTCAACTTCGACGTCACTCCCCAGTGACCTCTTACCCTCTGAACGAAAGAGCACATCGCCATGGCATCCTCAGTCTCATTCCCTCGATCGGAAATGGTCCAAGTCAATACCATTTCACAGCATGAACCAACCATCTCACAAACAATAACCCGTATCAACGCAGCCTACGACTGGACAGGCCCCAACGATCCCTCCAACCCCCGAAACTTCTCCCTCCTCACAAAAACACTCAGCATAGCCTCCATAACATCCCTCGCCTGGGCGTCCTGTTTCGCAGGCGCTATATACGCCCCAGCCCAAACCGCCGTCAGCCATGAATTCCATCAAGGCCGTTTACCTTCTGTTCTACCTCTAAGTCTGTATAATCTCGGCATGGCGTGCGGTCCACTCGTTGGAGCACCGCTATCTGAGACTTATGGACGCAAGACGGTGTATGTCGCTACCACGCCTATCTTCCTTGCTTTTCTGCTAGGATCGGGCTTTGCGAATGGTATCGTGAGTTTATCGATTTGTCGGTTCTTTGCGGGCATGTTTGCATCGCCGAATGTGAATAATACGTCTGCTACGATAATGGATTATTGTGCGCCAAGATATCGTGGTGCGAGTTTGGGGATATACTACTCTATACCCTCGCTTGGAGCAGCTGTTGGACCTCTTGTTGGGGGGTTCGTTGAGAGGTCTTTTGGGTGGCGGTGGACGCAGTGGGTTGCTGTTGTGATAACGTGTGTTCTTTATATCCCGGTTTTGTTCACGAGGGAGACTTATAAGAAGGTTGTTTTGCGAAGACGAGCTATCAGAATGGGTTTGGGTGATAGCTCGTCTCAACACACAACTGTTGCTAGGACGATTCGACACTTCTTTACGGTTCTCATCCTTCGGCCGCTTCATATGCTGTTCACTGAACCAATCGTCACTCTGGTCAGTCTCTATAACGGCTTCATCTTCGGCTTGTTATACACGTTCATCATATCCGTTCCCTGGATCTTCAGACATTACTACAATTTCAGCGCAACAGGCGAGTCCCTTTCATATCTGGGTATAACTCTCGGCACCCTTTTGGCCTGTGCCCCCTTCGTCCTAATCGACTTCTTATACTATCAAAAGCGCCTTATGCACTGGAACCAGACCCATGATGCAAGCGAGCCTTTCCCCCCAGAACATCGTCTCATATCCTCCATGATCGGAAGTTTTCTCCTGCCCGCCAGTCTCCTCACAGCAGGATGGACAGCTGAATTCCGCATCCACTGGATCCTCCCCATCTTCTTCCAGGGAATGACAATGTTGGCTTGCCTTCTGATCTACGCTGGTGTAAATCTCTTTATGCTCGATGCTTACGGTCCTTTGTATGGAGCATCGGCGTCTGGTGCTATGATGTTAAGTAGATATTCTTTGAGCTTTGCATTTCCCATGTTTGCGCTGCAGATGTTTGAGAAGCTTGATGCGGGGTGGGCAACGACGCTCTTGGCGGGTTTTACGTTTTTGATGGCGCCTATACCGTGGTGTTTCTTTGTTTATGGGGAGAGGATTAGGGCGAGGAGTAGATATGAGTCAAGTTCATAGCTAGACAAGTCAATAGAAATTCTCAGTCCTCATCACCCCCAATCATCTCTATGCCCTCAAAAAGATCAAGCCAATCCTCCAACCTCTCCTTCACGAAAGTATCCAACTCCCAGGGCTCATCAGTCAGCGCATCTTCATCCCTAGCCCAGACATACATATCCGCCTCTACAATATTCCCATCCTCCAGTACAACATCAACACTAGTAGGAGTGTATACTTCCCCTTCAAAGTCATCGAGCTTCTTGCGCAGGGACTTGGTCTCCAAGATCAGCAAGTCCCCATCTACTTCATGCCCATCTTTCTTTATAACGGCAGGATAGTCCCTTGACCGGACGGTGTAGCGTGCGTAGCCGCGTACTGTGGCTGGGCTGGCGAGGGCGGAGATGGGTTCTGTGTTTGCGGCATCGCCGGTTAGGGCCCAGGCCAGTAGGGGACGGGCGCGGAGTGCGGCTTTGAAGAGTCAGCCATAGTGATGTCTTTTGTGAAGAGACTGTAAGGCCTGTAGTTTGTTTGTTCTGTGCCTGCTTGTGAGTATACGCATGTATGTATGTTGAGGATGTTGAGGTCAAAACTCACCTATGGTCGGTGATTAAGCATCGAAACAATCCAACTGTAATATTTTCTTTATTAAAATAGCTATTGCTCTTTGAAGCAAACAAAAGTATGTCCGTTTGTTGCCTCGCAATTTGCTGCATTGATTGGGCAAAGTGCTCATGGTCTTCTCCAGCTGTAACCTAAAGCCTAATATCGTGAAGGTTAACTTCGCTATCGTGATACCTTATTGCCTAGGCTGGTTATACTTTTCATCGCTACTCTAACATTTACACCAGGTGAGCTTATATTTAGGTAAAGATTTATGAGTTTAGGTAAGCTTAGGGTAGTCCAGATGAGCATCAATCACATCTTCAGCCAACAAAGCAAAGGCAACATATCGTAACAAAAAGTCCAAACATTTATATAAAACTCCAATAATGCACGCTATCTATGCCCATAAAAAACAAACCTCACAGCTTCGCCTCCGCTCTCTGCGCAACCTTCTCCGCAATAGCAACATGCACCTTTTCAATCGGCATCTCCTCCAACGTCTTGCCCGTCCAGTACTTATCCTGCTCCAAGCCCTGATAAATCAACGCCTCCGTTCCCAGAATGACCTTCCACCCTTTATCCTCCGCGATACCGCCCAGCCGCGTAAAAGGCGTGGGGTTGTAGCACATCTCCAGAATAGCGCCCTTTTGCTCCTTGTCCAAAAACGTCTCCGTCACTGCGCGCGCGCGAATCTCCTCTTCTGTCTCGGGCTCAAAGTCGGGGACGCATGCTACGATGGCGCCGGGTGCTTCGAGGACCTGTGCTTGGGATACGGTCTTGACGTGGAGTAGACCCTCGCCGTAGCCGCGCTCAGCGCAGTCGGCGATCACAGCGGTGACTTCTGCTTCGTCGCGGTTGACGAGGTAGATTGTCTTGACCTTCATCCATTTTCGCAGAGCGTAGATGGCGCTTCTAGCGGCACCGCCGCCACCGACTACGAGAGCGGGTTTGTTGTGGAAGACGGCGTCGGGGTTGTCGATGTTTTGGTAGAATGAGTCGCGGATGCCAATGACGTCTGTGTTTGCGCCGCAGAAGATACGGCGACCGTCTCTTTCACGGATGAAGAGGGTGTTGCAAGCGCCGACGTCGCGACATTCTTCTGTGAGTTCATCTAGGTATGGAATGATGGCGACTTTGTTGGGCATAGTAACTGAGGCGCCTGTTCATCATCAGTACTTCAACTCATGCATGACAAGGAACTCAATTGAGTGAGTGAGTGGAACGTACCGTAAAAGTCGGGATGTTGCGCCAACTCCAAAAAGCCAGGAATATCAGCTGAATCAAGTCTAACCTGACCCCACTTCAATCCCAAATCTTGATAAATAACATTATGAAGAAACGGCGACAGCGATGCAGTCAATTTCTTGCCAAAGAGGTAGCCGTGGCGTTGGAGCTGTGAGACTTGGTTCGATTGGAGAGAGTCCCCAGAGACGGAGACCTGCTCAGAGGAGACTTGTTGGACAGACATGATAGGTAGATAGTGCAGAGACAGAGACAGTAAGTGGAAAAGAAAGTGGCCTGATTGAGAAATGATCCTGGAAAGTAGCGAAGATAGGTGCTATTCAAGTACTGAAACCGTCCAGTAGTAGAGAACGCAATGGAAGAAACCCCAGATCCCATTTTCACACTTGCCCCCCGAAATCTCCGCCTCAAGGGTTTATCCACTAAAGCTGGGGTCGCAATGCAAGAAATTACCGGGTCTCGAACCCCTCCACCGGATAAAGACTTAGCCACCTCGGTCCCGGGTAATGGATAAACATGGCCTTCACCCCATGATGTAAGTCGCATGGAAATTGCCTTATCATTTTGCGAATGGGTGTCCTCTTAAACGATTAGCATGGCTTGGCTGGGTTCGGCTGGTACCGCCTCGTGACGGCTTTTTGTATGACGATGGATAAGATCGAGATGGGAAAACGGGGGTGGTATTGGATGAATGATTGCTTTATCATCGAGTCTTGATCAGGGGGATTCTCCGCTTTGTAGATTCTATATCAAGTTGCCACAGCATCAGCGGTGGTTTGTCTCTTTAGTTATCTCATTATTGTATCTATCGCTGTTCATATAAGCATTCTATCATCGAGTGTCATTCACCATATCATTGTAGTCACTCCTCATCAACTCATCACATTGACGGCTTCTCTGTATCGACAAAACACTATCGTCTGATCGCAGCTATGGCTCACAAACCAAGCATATGCACAATGTCCCTAGGCCGTTGCTTTGCAGGCCACTCCCTCCCCCACAAACTCGACATGGCCGCCAAATACGGCTTCCAAGGCATCGAAGTCTTCTACGAAGACCTCGTCGACCTCGCAAAGTCCCTCCCTGGCGGCGATACACCCACCAACCAAATCACCGCCGCCCGCACAATCCGCGACCTCTGCGCCGCCCGCTCCCTCACCATCATCTGTCTCCAGCCCTTCATGCACTTTGGCGGCCTGCTCAACCGCGAGGCACAAGCGCAACAGTTTGAAGAGTTGAAGTTTTGGTTTGAGCTATGTCACGCTCTTGAAACAGATCTTATCTTGTTCCCTAGTAGCTTCTTACCAGAGGAGCAGCTTACGGATGATATGGGTGTTATAGCCGCTGACTTTACGGTGGCTGCTGATATGGGGCTGGAGCAACAGCCGCCGATTAAGTTTGCTTTTGAGGCGTTGTGTTGGGGAACGAGGATTAACAAGTGGGAGCAAAGTTGGGATATAATCCAGCGTGTTAACCATGAGAATTTCGGTATTTGCCTGGATAGTTATAACATCCTCGGTCGAATCTACGCCGACCCTGCAGCCGTAGGCGGCAAGACAAAAGACTGCGAGAGCGTTACCAAGGAGTCCATCAAGAGGATCCTCACAGACATCGACGTCAGCAAAGTCTTTCTGGTGCAGGTGGCTGACGGCGAGAAACTCAGTTCGCCCTTGAACGAGAGCCATCCGTTTTACAACGCGGAGCAACCGTCGCGGATGAGCTGGTCGAGAAACGCGAGGTTATTTTACGGGGAGAGTTCATATAATGCTTATCTTCCGTGTAAGCAATTACTGAGGGCTGTTGTGCAAGGATTGGGGTTTGAAGGGTGGTTGAGCTTTGAGGTGTTTAATAGGAGGTTTTGTGATAAGGACCAGATTGTGCCGGAGGAGACGGCCAAGAGGGCGGCTGAGTCGTGGGAGAAGATGAAGATTGAGCTGGGGTTGAGAACGGCGGACGATGTACAGCCGAGATTGCAGGCCATGCTGTAAATAATTTTCTGTTTTGTTCAAGTTATTATAATACCACAAGAATGCATTGTTACTATCATCTGGTGCCTTTATTTGCTCAGTATACACTCAATCACAACTCCATAACCACTCAATCCCATGATCAAACTTGGACTGTAAACAAATACTTTTGAACAATCAAATTCCGATAAACAATCTTTTGATTCAGTGATAATATTTACAACTTCGTCCTCAACTTCAAGTGCTTAACAGCATACTCAATCGCAGCGCTGTACCCAAAAACTCCCAACCCACAAATAACTGCCTCCGCCTTATCACACAGATAACTATGATGTCTAAAAGACTCCCTCGCATGAACATTCGTGATGTGCACCTCCACAAACGGGATATCAACTCCCACCAGCGCGTCTCTTATAGCCACGCTGGTATGTGTGTAGGCACCAGCGTTGATGATGATCGCATCGACGTTTCCTCGCGCTTCATGGATGCGGTCGACTATGGCGCCTTCGCTGTTGGCTTGGAAGGATACTAGGCTGGAGGAGAGGGATTCTGCTTGGGCTGAGGCGGAGGATTCGACGTCGGAGAGCGTGGTTGAGCCGTAGATGTGAGGCTCGCGTGTGCCGAGGAGATTGAGGTTTGGGCCGTTGATGAGGAGGAGACGACGAGACATGATTGCTTGTGTATGTCAATGTCAATTGAGTTATTGTGTTGTTTACTGAGTATCTCTCGTTGTGTATCACTTTATCAATGATCCCTCGCAAAAGTAAAACTCCGCCAATTCCCCAGCTTTTCCCATCTCCCCATCCCCAAACTCTCGGCATCCCCCGCGCCCGGTTAAGCCTTCATCCCTTCCCCTCTGCCCCTCCCCCCACCAACACATCTTCCCCACAGCGCATCATAATCCGTACCGCGGAAACCACTCAATCAACGGTTTCATACGGCATTTGCTACGGACAAAACAGTTACAAGACCACTGTTTGGCTTTTATCCTTTTTCTGAGTCTTCTGGAAAAACAATAGTTTCAAACAATAATGGAGCAGCACGAATTGAACGACATTTACGCTTTTGCCGTGCAGCTCGGCAAGGATGCCGGTGAAATGCTCATGGCGGCTGCTCAGCGCCGGATCGATGGGAATGGGGAGTCTTCGAGTGCTGTTTCGTATGTTGAGAAAGAGAACTCGGTAGATATCGTGACAAAGACAGACAATGGTATTCCCTCTCTGCATCCTTCTGTTCATGGTTTTGGTCACTGACTGTCTAGATGTTGAGAACTTTATTCGCACAACTGTTCTCAGTAAATATCCCGATCATGGGTACGTCTTACCCCTCGTCTTATCATGACCCTCACTAACGATGTCAGATTCCTCGGGGAAGAGTCCTACTCTGCTGGTGCTTCGCGAACATATCTCGTTGAAGACAAACCGACATGGGTAGTTGATCCTCTCGATGGCACCGTCAACTTCACACATCTCTTCCCCATGTTCTGCGTGTCAATCGCTCTAGTGGTCAAGGGTGTCCCAGTCATTGGCGTCATCAACGCACCCTTCCTACGCCAATTCTTCTCATCATGCACAGGACGAGGTGCATGGCTCAATGAGACACAGCGACTACCGTTGATTAGAAACCCGATTCCTCCGATGCCTGCTAATGCGCCTAGCGGCTGTACGTTTTCGTGTGAATGGGGCAAGGACCGTCGCGACATTCCAGATGGCAACATGTCGCGCAAGGTCGAGTCTTTTGTCAACATGGCTTCGGAGAGAAATGGCAGGGGAGGAAAGGGTGGTATGGTCCATGGCATGCGAAGCTTGGGCAGCGCGACGTTGGATCTTGCGTATACCGCTATGGGATCTTTCGACATCTGGTGGGAGGGTGGATGCTGGGAATGGTATGATGATCTCACGTATTTGTCTTAACCCGGAAGCTAGTGCTAACTTTGAAAGGGACGTCGCGGCTGGTTTCGCGATTCTCGAGGAGGCTGGTGGCCTTGTAACAACCGCCAATCCTCCCAGTGACCCAGAGACTGCCGACATTACAAGAGCACATCTTGGGGGACGGCTGTATCTGGCCATACGGTAAGCACGAGTCAACTGAATCTTGAAAAGTCACTTATTAAGATTTCATAGCCCCGCAGGTCCATCAGAAACAGAAACTGGACGACAGACACAAGAACGAACAGTGAGGGAGGTCTGGAAGCGAGTCCGAGAATTAGATTACAAGCGCCCAGGCGTATGAACAGCTTCAGCAATATGAACATAATAAACATATAGAACATCATTCGATGAATACAGCACGACTGCCCATCCATATGCGAGATTGGTGGCGGAATAATTTACCTCCCAATTACATGTTGTCAACTTCCTCCATGCGGGCAACAAAATCTTCTTGTAAAAGCTGTAAGTAACCTGGAAGCGCCTCCTTGCTTCCAGAATCCTTGGCCCGTCTCAATGCATCCTGTAAGTTGAGAATGAGCTTTCGACGAGCTACAAGCCGAGTTGACTCTGAGCTACGCTTGGTCGTTTCTCGTCTTCGCCTGATGTCCTTGGCCACCTCTTCGGCTTTGTCAATGAAGGACTGAGGAAGCCCGATCGCACGTGCCAAATTGATGCCGTAGTGTTCTTCGCCCCTGGTGGCACCAGAGGTCGCCTTGTAAAGCATTGTGATATGCGGCAGCCCATCTTCAGTTGTAGAGGTAGTGGCCGCGAGGTGCAGGTTGAGAATACCCGGGCGATCCGCAAGAACCTTTGTTAGATCAATGTAGTGGGTCGCAAACCAGACAGATGCTCTGCTTTGAATCAATGCTTCAGACATTGCAATCGCAATTGCTAGGCCATCTCGGTTGCTTGTGGCCCGGCCCAGCTCGTCAATCACAGCGAGACTCTTATCGTCAATGTTCCTCAGGATGAAGGACATTTCTCGCATTTCAACAGAAAAGGTCGAAAGGTTACTCTCAATGTTGTCGTCAAGCGAAACTCGAGCAAATATGCTGTGGATGATGGAGAAAGCGGCATACTCGGCAGGCACAAACGATCCGATTTGCGCCATGATCTGAAGCAATGCGACCGCCCGTATGTAGGTGCTTTTCCCACTCATATTACAGCCCGTCACGATGTGGAAGCAATATTGCTCTGTGGAGTAATAATCATTGGGTACAAAGCTGCCGTTCATGGTCTATATCAGTCAGTCAGTGGGTATCAGTAGTGGCTTCTCGCACTCACTTTATCGAGGACAGGGTGTCTCGCTGCTTTCAATGCGAGCGTCGTGCTGAGATCTGGCTTCACGTAGTCCCGGGTAGTTGCAAGCTGCGCAAATGAAGAGATCATGTCGACAAGCGCAACCGATTCGCAGACGCGGAACAAGTGTGGGACATCAGAACGTAGTTCTTTCAGCAAGTCTTGTACAACCTTGTCGCTTCGAATGACAACCTCATTGGAGGTATCGGACAACCTCAGATTGAGCTTGACCAAGTCAAGTGTCTGGCATTCAATCTTGTCCTTCTTTCGCACCACATTGATCAACAGATCCGGAAGGGGACGGTCATCGAAGTCTGCCGCTCGCAGCCTTAGCCAATACTTGCGCCCATTATCGTATCGGAGGTTAGCATCAAGTCCGTGTACCTCTAGATCCTATTAGTAACATATTACACAAAAGACATGTTTAGTACCATTCAAAACATCGATGTGCTGGTGGATATCTTCGGTGAGCTCTTTGTATGTCTGGCGAGCAACATCAAGCATTCCGTTGATGCCCGCTTTGACAGCAAAGGTTCTCTGATTTCGAAGATCTAGCGCAGACTTCATGTAAGTAACATCCGCTTCAATTGTCTGTCGGATCGTATTGAGACTGTGGCTTGTGATTTCAGGGCGACACAGCTCTCGGACCTTGGTTAGTAACACGCTGTTGGCAGGACCCAACGCCGTGTGAAGTTCGGGGATTGACTCCAGAAAGCTCTTGATCATGAGGACCTGGTTGATCTGTTCTTCTACTTGTTGGACATCGGCATTGGTTGGAACAATGATCAACTTTGGGAGTTAGTAGGATATGCATCAAGTAGGTGGCCAGCTTGCCTTGGTCAGGAGCTTTTCCGTGTCATGAAAGAGCTTGAGGGCTGCTCGAGTTAGCGAGATTCTATGCTATCGCTGCAAAACTTGCCTTTACGAATCTCCAAGAACATTTCTTCATTAGTGGTCAACTCGTCCAACGCATCATACCGAGGTGTGATGAAGAGATCTGGGCGAGTGGGTGGCTGAAGCATATTGCTACGAAGCATCCTTGAACCCATCGGGGTGCATGTATGGTTCAGTAGGCCGAAGAGAGAATCTTTAGACTTTGAGTTTCGTAGATTCTGCATGATCTCAAGCGATTGAATAGCCGAAATGTCAATCATCATGGTATCTTCTGAAGGTCGGTATTGGATGCGGAGCGAGTGCGGCACGAAGTTGATTGAGAAGTGTTGTTGAATATACTTCATTGCCTGTTCCGAGTTAGTATCTTCATCGAAGTCCCCGGATGACTTGACTTACAGCGGCAAGAGAGCTAATGGCATAGAACTTGCCCTGTGTAGCCACCTTCAAAGGTTTGATGTCATCCTTGAAAGCTAGGTTGTGTATATACTCCAGCCCTTCTGTCTCAGACCATGCTGACCGTTCCATCGCGTCAATTTGAGTTTCAGGAATGAGGTCTTGTATAAGAGAAAAGAGGGTGCTGGGGTTGTTTGGTGGACAGGCAGTAGTCATGAAGAGAATGCGTGAGGGTGCAGACAGCTGGATCTTGTGAATTGTTTTGACATATGATTGATTGTCACATATTTGACTGATGACAGCCTCCCCAAGAGAAACATTAACAAATGCGATTCCGACTGCAGGAGAAACTCCACGAGCCTCGCTCACTGCGCACACAATGGTCTGCGCTTCGCTGAACCCTAGTATTGATGAGGCGGTTCCATTGCAAGACTTCCTTCCAGATGCAGTACCAGGTCTCGATCCAGGGCGTACAGTAGAAGGTCTTGAGATGTTAGGTCTTGTGCTATTCCCTGAGTGATCGTATCCAGAGTATTCGCTTAGACTGGTCTGTGGTCGCCTGGGGGCCAAGGAGCTCCGGGCTGCAGTGTGGTCAAGATGTGCTTGGCTATCGCTGCTCTGGAAGTAACTCGAAGACGAGCGACTGGCAGTTCTAGATGGCATGGAGCGGAATCGCTCTGTATTCACATCCATGTTGCGATCGATCCGCTGTGGTCAGCAAAGGGTAATGTCTAGATGGGGGTAGACAGGAAGTGCGGTGATCTTTTTGTGATTTAGAGTAAAAATTGGAAAAAATCACTTGGAAAAAATGTGTTGCGTAGAACTGGCGGTACCTTCCTGCGTTGGTGGTGAGGAACCTCAAGACCCTGAGCGAGTTTTGGGAAGGAGCAGCCAGGGAAAGCACCATCATGCCGGATATCGAGTAACTGCACGAGAAATCGTTGATACTTCATCTACGCACTCTCTATAACTTTCTATTCTCATGTTGACATTACTCGTGACTTCTTTCAAGGCAATATAGTGCTCATCTAAAGTAACACGAAATTGTGAAAATCCCGAATTTATGGCAAAGGCAAGCGAGAGTGGCCCCAGGAAGCTAGCCCTCACAATTCCAAGATTCGGGACCTGGGGTGTAGGCCCCAAGTATTTGCTGACGATGTGTAACAGAGCAGGCATGATGGAAGAGAATAAGGCCAAGTTGACAAGAGCTACTTCGCTAATGAGAGCATTTGTCTGGTTCGCGTATTAGTCTAGGCGTTAAATTCGTGTGCTGTCAAACTTGTCTTCGAAAGCTTCTAATCAAAACGAGAGGATGCATACTGTACCAGAGCGCGGAGTGAGATGCCTCGAAAGTTGCTGATAAGAAATCCTACCGCCTCCAGGCACATATTGTGACACGAGGGTATGAAGCGGAGAAGATGGATCTGATCGAAGGACGCATGGAGAACTGCCCACAGGATACTATGACTTTGCTCCTGCGACGTTGGCGGGTCTTCACTCGAGTCAATGGTCGCCGGGGATGGGGCTATATGATCCTTTGGCATAATCAAAAGCAGCGGAAAGGTCAACAATAACAAGACATAGCTGATGAGGAAGGGAAGCTATGGTGAAATGTCAGCAGCAGCGGAAGCAACCGGAGGGCCTACCAACTCGCTAAAGATGGAACACGAGTAGAAGTAGTAGAGGCCTCGAGTCCTATAAACGTAAGCTCTCCCTTATGGCCATTCAAGGGCTGAAGGTTACCTTGTCTCCTCGGTGCATGCTTTTGTACTCATAGCAGCAAGTTACATGTCCGCCGCGTATCTTTCTCCTCTCACGAGTAGGAATAGAGCAGAGCCCACACCAGCTTAATGGGGAGTACAGGACTAGTAAGTATTACGCTGTCAGCCCCAGGATACTGTGCATGCCTACAGTTGCATGCTTAAGAACGATGAGATTCCAAGTGAGGCTCATCAAGATGCCCGCCAAAACAACCATGAACACACCCCCTTGACCTCGATGATCAGCTGTGCGACGAATGGGCAGCCCAACAATGATGGCTGCCAGGAACATCAGGGTCAAATCTATCATACGAACATGTTACCTACCAGAGAATGTCTGACCCGAGCAGAGGTGCATCTTCTAGCTCTTTAACTACATCAAATTAATAAACCAATAATAAAATAGAGCAAGCCAACCAGAAATAGTGTCCGCTGGAGCCTGACCCTGAGCATGAGTGTAATGGATGCTGTTGTAAATTGAGGTTTGAGCGGTCTCGTATGTCTAAGATCAAATTACCGAAACAGGAAGTCAGAATGAAATAAGCACGTTCCAATTAATGTGAGCAGTAGACTTTTTAACACTTCTCTTCAATGATGAATGAGGATGAGGCTTTCTAGACGCAAGGTACCACTGCAGATAGAAGACAGTGTAGCCAGTCGTTGATGAATTAAACGATTCGTGATGCTCTTAGCTTGTGCAAGTCCACTCCTGTCCCGTGCTACTATCTTTTGCTCCAGGCCTCCTTGGAATACATTTCATTATGCCGGAGGAACGACCTCGATGGCTTTAGGTATCACGAAACCTTGGCTAGCTACATCTAAACTGTCTTATCCTCAGTGCATTGTCGTCCACGGCAAAGCCAATATGGGGCTGCTATCCTTGTCCACTACTTGCGCCCTTTCTTTCATACAACGCCTTAAATATCTATTGGTTAGCATTCGCAGCTTCCTCTTAGGGAGGGCGGCATCGCTCAACCAGGGAGAGCGGCCCGTCGAACGAAGCTGGCGGTGTTCTTTGTATCAGTGCCCCTCAACACCTCGGCCTTTGGTATGCACGTCAAAGAATCAGATGGTAGCAAAACTCTTTCGCAACATGGGTTCATGGTGGTGGTGGTGGTGGTGATATTGATAGCCACCTATGGCACCTTACTTTGGTACAGGACATGAGATCAGACAAGGATGATTAGAGTAGAGTAGTCTGGGCGATCAAAAAGGCCGAATGGCCTATACGCATCCAGACTGGCCGCTACATGTACCCTGTGGCCGATAACGCGAGGAGTGTCGGTTCAACGCCTAGTGATAGCTTTACGACATATGGGATGAGACAAAGAGCACTTCGATAGCTCTATAAATCAGTTTAGATGAGTTTTTAATAACTTATAAAAGCAGCACTTCGATCGGTAACGTCATCTAGAAAACTATGATGGCTTCCGTAAGGAACAGGACTACATTAAACTTGCTTTCAGATTCTTATGTATGATTAATTGGACACCATCACAGGCGAGATTTATCAACCTTGGAAGATCCATAAGTAGCTGCCCAGGGTTCATAGTCCTCCAAAGCCATAACACGCTGCATCTGTCGTCGTCTCAGACCAATATTTCCTCCATCAAACAACGGATAGCACATAACCTCATTCAACAACCTAGGGAAAGACATGTCCTTTGCATATGACTTCATGCCAACAGCCTTCATAGCATCGATGACACACTCAACAGCAACATCGGTAGTGTAGATCTTGGTTTGCATAGCCATCTCGAGCTTGACCTTCCATTCAAGAGCCTCATCCTCAAGGGTGGTCACTGCCTTCCACACTAGAAGACGACTAGTCTCAAGACGAATCTTGCAGTCGATGAGCTTATCAGCTACACTCTGATGCTCGATGATATGCTTGGAGCCACCGCGAGTATCGGATTTGGCAAAGGCGAGAGCTTCTTCGAATGCAGCGCGGGCAGTTCCTATCGCCATGGCGCCAACAAGAGCAGCTGACATGGCAAAGGCTGTCTCGACTAGACCTTGAGCTTTGAGACCAGGGGTGCAAAGAAGGTTCTCATGAGGAACACGGAACTCGGTGAAGCGAGTGTGAGGACCAGAGGTGGTGATATGGCCTGCAAGTTCAGGTTCACCCAGGATCTGATAGGCGTCCTTCTTGTTATTGGCGATGGTCTCTCGAGTTACCAATAGCACAGCAATCTGGGTTGCTGGATCGACGTTGGGATCTTGGGGCTTGGATGGATCGTCTGAGACTCTGCAGACAACGCATGCAAGATCAGCCCCTTTATAGTCCCAGCCACCACTGTTGGAGGGCCAGAGCTAAGCATGTGTGAGTATATCCTTGAGTGTTTGGGGATGAAGTGTACAAACCTTTTCACCATTGATGATCCACTCATTTCCAACCTTTCTAGCTGTCGTCTGAAGACCTGGTCCGCCCTTCTGTAGCCAATTCGCCGTTCCATTGGGCTCAGAGTGCATCAAACTGGCCAGAGGTTCACCCTCGCCGGAAATAAAAGGCTTCAAGAACTTCTCCTGCAGGGAAGGTGAATCGCAAAGAATCACGGGCATCAGACCAAGTGCAGTAGCAACGATAGTGATTGAAGTAGCTGGCTCAACTGCAAAGAGCTCCTCAAGGAAAATGCTCTCGTGAACTAGACTCTCCATAGTTCCACCAAGAGGAATGGGAACTTGAGCTTTGATCAAGCCATGACGAACAGCCTCCCTATAAAAGGGTCTGGTAGCTTGAAAGCGAGAGAGCTGGTCTTTCTGGGTGCTGTACTCTGCTGAGGCTTTGGTGAGGACAGTGTTTGCGAAGGCCTGAGCATGTCGTCGGGCTTCGAGTTGAGAGGGAGAAAGTTTGAAGTCAACCATTGTTTACAAGTACTGGAAAGTGTAATTAAGAGAATACTGAGTAGGTATGTATCACGAACAAATTTCTCTCCAGATGAAGAGACTCTTGTCAGTTTATATAACAATTCCTCTATACCAGCCTCTTATCAATATACCCTGTACCTGACAATGTGAAGCTGGTTAACTGTTACCCGACCACTTCCCCCGCTCGTGGATGGGCTGATCATATCTTGCTATCATGTAGAATTTAAGCTAGCAATGATAGATGCGAGCTAGCATTCTAAAGATCAGGAATAATCTGGGGTAGTGGGTGTTTAGAATCCGGGGCAGATTGGATAATTGTTACCCGGACCTAGCTTGACACTTCAGTCCACTCACTTTATCACCTTTATCCGTATCAAAGAAATTGATCTGCTATCATTGGATATATTAGTATCAGCCAATGGGACTAGATAGCAAATATCATGATAAACAGAAGATACCCTGGAGATAAATAACACTCGGGCCCGTGGTTCCTGGAGACTGATTGCCGAACGAGCTGAGGCGGCTACCGAGAAGTCAGGACAGATACACCAAGAGCAGTTCAAATGCCGGAGGCTGCCCCGAAGGTACTCATAGATTCGGTCTTTCGGTCAAATAAATATGATACCAGATCGCAGCAATGAAAGCATCGTGAGTATGAGCTGGCATTGGTGCCCTCCTCATATAAGCTTCACCACTAACTCAATTCTCACAAAAAAAACCAAAAGCCATCTGAAATTAAATCTTTCGACTTGTAATGATGCATCATGATTTCTTTTGGCTACGTTGCAAGAAATAAAGCTAGAAATAAAGCAAGAAATAAAGGAAAGACATGGCGCATGTGAACTTTTGAAACCTGAATGCCTTAGATACTGCCTGGGCCCAGAATACAGTGCACGTTGCGGCTCAACCAAGGTTCGGGAAAATAAAGGTCAGTAATGGGTGAGTTCCCAACTTGGTAATTGGGTGTTTCATGCCCAACGTTAACAAAACAGTAGAGACAAGATATCATACATGGCAGGATGCATGGAAGTTATCATCCAAGGGGTCGTCTCATGTTACACGAGC